ATACACAATTCTTGGTTGGAACCCATTTTCTTTCAGTGTTTGAAATATGTTATTCCAGGATCTTCTAGCTTTCAGAGTCTGTGTTGAAAGATCAGCTGTTATCCTGATTGGCTTACCCCTAAATGTAATCTGCTTCCTTTCTCTTGTAGCTTTTAAAATTCTCTCCTTATTCTGTATGTTGGGCATCTTCATTATAATGTGTCTAGGTGTGGATCTCTTATGATTTTGCACATTCGGCGTCCTGTAGGCTTCTAGGATTTGGGATTCTATCTCATTCTTCAAGTCTGGGAAGTTTTCTCATATTATTTCATTGAATAGATTGCTCATTCCTTTGGTTTGGAGTTCTGTACCTTCCTGTATCCCAATGACTCTAAAGTTTGGTCTCTTAATGTTATCCCATATTTCTTGGATGTTCTGCTCATGGTTTCTTAACAGTCTTGCTGAGCTGTCTATGTTCTTTTCAAGTTGAAATACTTTGTCTTCATTGTCTGATGTTCTATCTTCTAAGTGTTCTACTCTGCTGGTAGTATTCTCCATTGAGTTTTTAAGTTGGTTTATTGCTTCCTGCATTTCTAGGATTTCTGTTTGTTTGTTTTTTATAACCTCTATCTCCCTGTATAGTTGATCCTTTGCTTCCTGGATTTGTTTGTGTAATTCATTGTCGAAGTGATCTTTCATTGTCTGATTTTGCTGTCTAATGTCTTCCTTGATACTCCAGATCATCTGAAGCATTATATCCTGAATTCTTTATCTGACACTCCATCTGCTGCAGCTGTTTCCTCTTCTAAAGTTGAGTTGACCTGCATTGCTTGTGGTCCTTTCTTTCCTTGTCTTTTCATACTGCTTGCGTTTCTTTCTGCTTGGTGAAACTGTTGTGTTTTTGAAATGTTTTTTTTCCCCTGTATATTTATATTGCTCTTGTATAGTTGAAAAGTCTCCCTTGCAGGGTCGGGCGGCGGTCTGCCTACCTTGCATGCGCGGGCGGCGGCTCTGCTCTCTCCTTACTCCAATTGGAGTGTCGTGACTACCACGCCGGCAGGTCACTGGGCCTGTTCCGGGCGCGGGCGGCGGCTCTGTTCTGCCCCTACTCCAATTGGGGTGAGGAGTGTACCATGCCGGCAGGCCACCGGGCCTGATCCGCCGGTCGGTTGCAGGTCTGCCTACCCTGCAGGCGCGGACGGCGGCTCTGCTCTGCCCCCCCTCCAATTGGTGTGACTTGTCTACCACACCCGCGGACCGCTGAGCCTGTTCCGGGCGTGGGCGAAGGCTCTGTTCTGTTCCTACTCCAATTGGGGTGACATGCCTACCACCCCTGCCGGCCGCTGGGTCTGTTCCACCGGTCGGTCGCAGGTCTGCCTACCTTGCGGGCACAGGCGGCGGCTCTGCTCTGCCCCTACTCCAAATGGGGTGACGTGTCTGTCGCACCGGCAGGCCACTGGGCCTGTCCCGCTGGTCGGTCGCAGGTCTGCCCACCTTTCGGGCATGGGTGGCGGCTCTGCTCTGCCCCTACTCCAATTGGGGTGTCATGACTACCACGCCGGCAGGTCGCTGGGCCTGTTCCTGGCACAAGCGGCGACTCTGCTCTGCCCCTACTCCAATTGGGGTGACATGTGTACCACGCCGGCAGGCTCCTGGGCCTGATCCGCCGGTCTGTCGCAGGTCTGCCTACCTTGCAGGCGCGGGCGGCGGCTCTGCCCTGCCCCTCCTACCACGCCTGCGGACCGCTGGGCCTGATCTGCAGGTTGGTCGCAGGTCTGCTCACCCTGCGGGCACGGGTGGCGGTTCCACTCCGCCCCCACTCCAATTGGGGTCACGTGACCACCACACAGCGGGGCCTGATCCGGGCGCAGGCGAAGGCTCTGCTCTGCCCCTACTCCAGTTGGGGTGACGTGTGTACCACGCTGGCAGGCCGCTGGGCCTGACCCGCCAGTCTGTTGCAGGTCTGCTTACCTTGCAGGCACGGGCGGCAGCTCTGCCCTGCCCCTCCTACCACGCCCGTGTACCACTGGGTCGCGGGTCTGCCCACCTTGCGGGCGCGGGTGGCGGCTCCGCTCCGCCCCCTCTCCAATTGGGGTCCTGTGACCACCACACCCGCGAGCCGCTGGGCCTGCTCCGGGCGCGGGCGGCGGCCCGGCTCCTCCCCCCTGGCCCGAGGACAAATCGAGAGAGACTCGGGTGTCTGTGCCTCACCCTCCCTACCAGGAGACCAACTGTTTCTGTCGCCGCTGGTATTGATGATGTTCTCTCCTCCGCCGCTTTCTGATGACATCAGATCTCTGCCATGTTGGTATCCTATGCGAATGGCAGCATTTCGTTCCCTTTGCCGGGTAACCAAAGCAACGGGTGATTCCTGACCTGTCCTCAGCAGGACCCGGACCGAGAAGCAGTTTCCGCGGGCTCCTTAGCCCTGGGCCAGGGCCGCTCCGGGAGCCGGAACTCGGCCGCTCCGTGCTCGGTGTATGCTCTGATAAGAGCAGGCTCCAAGAAGCACTCAGGCACTGAGCCTGAGTAATCTGTCTGCAAGCCGCAGGCGAATGGCAGCCTGAAATTACCTGTTCTATGGCTGAATGAGCTGCGGTCAGTCGAAAACAGGGATGGTGACATCAGCTCTCCAATATGGTGGCCGCTGGCCTCCTCTGTGGTCTGACCGGTGTGGAGAACCGAGATGGACCGCTTCCTTCCCCATCTTGAACCCAGAATTCAGCACTGAGTACGGCGCTTGCACGGCTGGCAGAAACTGCAGCGCTATATCCCTGCGCCGCTGTCTCCTTGTTTCCCAGCGCACGCTGCAGACTCTAGCCGCGGGGCGATTTGCTGAATAAGCAGTGTTACCCTCCGTGCAACAAATCTCTCGCGTTTGAGTCCCCATAGCCGATCCTCGTGCGATGGAAATCCTTCCTCCAGGTTCCGAAGCACCCCACTATTGCTGGAAATTCCTAACAAGATAGCCTTTAGCAGTCCTGACTCGTCATACTCCCACACAGTGACACGGCACACGGGGGCAATGCACTCCCCTCGCCGCCATCTTCTTCCTCTATGAGTCTTTCCTTTTATTAATTCAGTAGAACAAATGCCAAAGCAAAAACAAGGGGGGGAGGGGGGAGGGGGAGTAGATGAAGGTGAGATGGGGGAGAGGCAGAAAGGAACATAGGGTATTGCAAGTACAAGGGAACAGCAGCTGTGTGTGTGTGTGTGTGTGTGTGTGTAATTAAATCTTGGAAGTTGCGTGTGTGTAATTAAATCTTGGAAGTTGCAGTAGACTGTTTATGTCACCCCCAAGGGTCATACATTGAAATCCTAACCCCCAAGGCACTGGATTAAGAGCTGGGTGGGGCCTGTAGGAGGTAATTAAGTTATGATATAGAGCCCTCATGAATCACAACCTTTTTAAAGGGACTCCAGAGAGCTCTGTTCTCTTTCTGCTATCTGAAGACTCAGGGAGAAGTTGGCAGTCTGCAACCCAGAAGAGGGACCTCATCAGAACCAGTCCATGTCAGCGCCTTGACCTAGCAGCCCAAGCTCACCAAGACAGGAGTGGGATCCCATCACTTTTGCCATGTTGTATCTGTCAGAAGTGAGCCACAAACATCTTAGTGGTTACACACAGATGTACACCAGGAGGCGGGAGCATTATAAGCTGTTGTGGAAGTTGCCCGCCATGCAGGCTGGGATGACCCATATGGTCTGATTGGTCAGTATATGAATTTTCTTTCCTTTCTATCCCCTCATGTCACAGAATGGAAAGTGATGCCCAGAGGAGAAGTAGCCTCAAGTATTACACTGGCAGAACCCAGGCGGGTTTTGAGTTGGATCGCTCGCTGTGTACCACCCTTTCTTATAATTTTTCCATTTGTAAGTTTGCACATTTGGTTTTATAAGTATTATACATACCTGATGATGTCCCTAGGCAGCAGATGCTCCTATGATCCCCACTGTGCAGGTTAGGAAACTGGGAGGCTCTGAGAGGCAATGAACCGATAAGAAAAAAGAGGTTCTAAACCCAATTCTGTCTGCTCAGCCCTGGGGCCTCGGGTGCATGCAGATCCTCCCAATGGTGGTGAAATGGATCCATTAAGGAGATGACACAGGGGAGGAGGGTAAGCAGTCAAAATGTCTATACTCCAGAAACTGTGACCCAGGAGTCTGTCACCTTAAAGTCAGATAAGCCTTTGAGTAGGTCATATTGAAGGAAGGGGCCCACATAATGGAACCTTGAAGTCACCTTACTTCCTTGGTGATAGACTCCAACAGAACTTAGAACTCTGGTAACCAAAAACACACAGTCTCAAGACAGATCTCTATGCAGCTGACTCAGGCAGAGACCCTTAAGATATAGAGAGATTTTCCTGTTATATTCCATTTTCCAAGACTCTGGCCCCAGGAAAGTCCAGATTGAGAGTCTTTTCCATTGCTGCAAAAATTGGCTCAGGGTTCACTCCTTTGGCAACAGGTTCCTCAAGGCCACATAGGGCAGCCCAGGACAGGCCCATCCAGGCCACAACTGTGATTTCACCTGGGCACCCCCACACCCTGCCCTCTTACTGCGCTTGGTGGGTTGCAAGGGGCAAGTTGGTTGGTAGGCAGGGGGAGGCAGGGGATGAGGACTGGGCCCTTCCTGCGCAGGGGGAGGTTATCAGGCCTGGGAGGCCTGTCACGTACAATGGCCCAAGACCACAGCTGGCAGGATGAGAAGGTGAGTGCTGGGTGGAGCACATCTCTCCGGATGTTTATCCTGAGCTCTGAATTCTCATCTCGTTTTTTTTTCTCTGGCTGTAGGCCATGCAGGTGCCCCTCAAGACCTGGCCTGGGGGGCAGAATTTGGTGTTTTCCAGCAATACTGGCCGGGCAGGCCCCTGATACCTTATGCCCTGACTGCCGGGCCCTGTCTTTGCAGAGCTCCTTTCAGAAGAAATGAACAGAAGTGCCAGGCATGCTTTTGGATGTCATTTCCTTCACAGTCTTAGGGTCTATTTTAAGTAACTGACTCCTGTAGCCACTGCCCAGCACAGAATAAAGCTTTATTGGGGGTGGGGGAGGGTGTCAGGTGTAGAGGCTGTGGATGGTTTGCAGGGAGCACTTCCAGCTCTCCTTCCAGCGCTGGGCCTCCTCCACCTGGACATTGTGGTCATTCTGGATTTTTTTCAGCTCCGCCTCAAACAATGCTAAATATTTCTGGGGAAAAAGCAGCAGAAGTGGCCACATGAGAGAGGATTCTGCACTCCCAGCCCTGGGACAACACTGTCACCTGTGACAAGCAGCTCCTAAAGAGCTCCCATCAGATACGTCCAATTGTCTTCCTGGTTTTACAGATGAGAAGACTGAGGCTGGACTTGGCTGGTGTCACTCAGCTGGGAAGGGGCGGAACATGGACTAGGACACCTGTCTTTCTGGCTCTGGGCCCTGTACCCTACTAAACTCTGACCTGCAAGGGAGGCTCCCTGGAGCACAGGGATCCTGGCTTCCTCAGGAGGCTGAGCCCTTTGGGTCTCCAGCCCTCGCTGAACTCAGCAGGCACAGCTATTGCTCTGTCTGGGGCTTGCATGGCAGCCGGGCTCTGGGAGCAGCTTCTCATCAGGCCAGCCCCACAGGGGTCTAACAGGCACTGGGTTCAAATCCTGATTCTCCCACTCGGTGGCACAGAAGGGCAAGTGCTTTTAGGCATCAATGTCCTTGTTAGTGAGATGGGGACACTAACCCTCATGGGTTCCCAGGAGGATTCAGTGAGATGCCTCATGCCAAGAACAGAAGGTAGCCATGGCTGTGAGTGCTGCTGCTACCATGCCCCACTGCAGATCCACGGTCTCGTCACCTCTGTGCCTGTCTGCCATGTTCCCTAGCTGATTCTACTGTCCCTCTGCAGTCTTTCTCACACCCATTGTGGGTGACATGTCCTGTGGTGGGGTCCCACGGCACCAGGGCTTACACCTCAGACCCCAGATAGGACTGAGACTGGATATGACCCTCATGTCATGTGCCAAAGGATATTGATGGGTGTTGGGACCTGTGGCTCTGGCCTCGCTGACGTGTGTTGTTGACTCCACAGTCTAAATGTTGGGGTGTCCTGAGGTGGGAAGTTCCCTCCTTTCCAAGGCAGCCAAACTAAGCTGCCTCATGCTCCCTGGGACATAGCTATCCATCCCATCTCACCAGGTACACAGCATCTCGGGCTTCCACGGCTGCCAGATGGCCCAGGGTGGTCTTAGAGGTGGTTATAGAGGATGTTTTCCGATCAAGAATCTTGGTTTGGATGGTGACTTCGGTGGGTTTGATTCCTGGCCACTTCCTACAAACAAAAGTACTTGGTTTCACCATTCCAGCCTAGCCACCACCCCTGTTGCAAGAGTTCAACAACTATCGTGGTTTTAAATATCTGAATTAAAAGAAAAAGAGAAGCCCCAACTGAGGATTTCACATTGTGCTTCTTTAAGTTCTCTGTTTCAGTTCTGCGTGGTCTTGGGTCCTGTGTGGGGAAGAAACGCTACATCTCCAGTGACTCCCCTTTCCTGGGCCTCAGATTCCTCCTCAGTATGCCAGCCAGGTGGCCATCTCCGGTTCCTGGCCCACTTATTATGCTGTAAAGGCCACTGCTGAGAACACAGCTCTTTGCTTTCACAGAGACATGTTCTTGGGGCAAAGGGGACAGGCACTTTAACAGCTCATGTCACAACATTCAGATGGAGTGGTTCATGGTGCCAGCAGCAACCTGGGAATGTCCCTGCCCTTGGGGCAGGCCTCCCTCTGTGGGATACTTTAGTGGCTGTTGAACTCTCAGTATGTGTCATGGGCACTCATGGACAACCTCATCACATTATTGTTGGGGTGTCCAACTGGGGCCCAGGTCCGTAAGGTAGACTGGAATGGGCTGAGAGAAAAATCGAGAGAGAGAGAGAGAGAGAGGGAGGAAGAGAGAGGGAGGCTCAAAGCCCCATGTCTGGAAACATGTGTCTTATATGCTGAGCTGTGAGGCAGTCTCTTCCCTATATGAACCTGATTGAAGACCTCACCCCATTTGATCCCATTGGTTATTTTAGAATACCAAACCGGTGGTGGAAGTCATCATGGTAATGGGACACTCTAAACAAGGACATGATGACTTATCTCCCTGTCTTGTCCTCCAGGAGTATTTTTCCTGTACTCTGCCTCCGCCATTTTGATGTCTTTGAACTCCTACCAAACCGTCTAATTTTCTCTTCATGAAGCCACATGAGGTATACAGCCATGCTCATTTCACAGAGGAATGAGGTTCAGAACACAAGGCCTTTCCAAGGTTAGCAGGTCTGTCCAAGTTCCCAGCTGGTGCCCCTAATCACTCTGCTGCTCAGCTCCCAGCAGATTCAGCCATTTATGGTGCCACCTGCTGCCCTGGGCTCTCACCTGCTCCCTCGTTCAATCAGGGGCTTCTCACTCTCTTCCTCCAGGGACATCCTGGCCAGTTTCCTCCGGATGAGGATTGATGTTTTCTGCTTGCAGGGCTCGGTCCCTGGCAGGAAAGAGGTGGGTTACTAACCATTGGCTCTCCAACAGCATGAGACCAAGGGGTCTCCCCCCTCAATATTTAGAGATAGTAGGGCTGGGGATTGAACCCAGGGCCTCATACATGCAAGGCAAGCATTTTACCACTGAGCTAAATCTCCAGCCCCTGGATGTGCATTCTTGACAGGGAGAGAAGGCTGTGTGTGTGGAGGTGGGGTGGGGAGGTGGGCGGCGGAGAGAGAGTGTGCTGGCAGGTGGGCACCTCTTTAACCTGCACCTTCACCTGCCATGGTAACAGGTCTATGCCTGGCCACCCAAGTCAAAACGCTTAGATAAGAGCAGGCAAGCACCTCCTGGGGGCCTGGTGCAGGGCTTTTGTCCAGCTCTGTGGTACTGTGCAAGGTGCCACTAGGGGGTCTGCTGCCAGTTCATCTGCCTGTTCTCCATGGGGCTTCAACCTCAGTGTCTCTGTGGGTCCTTGCCTTCCCCAGTGAGGCTCACCTTTGATATTGAAAAGTGGCCTGCACCTCAAAAATGCTGTGTATATTTTGACCCAGAAAATGTAAGCCAAGCGTCTGTCACTCCATCAGAGTCCTGACACTGTACAGGAGTTTTCTTTAGAATAATTGCAGCAATAAAAAATTGTAGGTTCAACAGCAGCAGATGAATTAGTCCATGATGATGCTTAGTAAATCACAGTGTGCAGCAACCCAACATGTGAAGCAGAAAAGCAGGGATTGCCTGGCCAAGGTCCACCTGAAGGGACTCCGTCAGGACATCTCATAGGCCCTCTACCCATCCCCACCCCGATGGAGGAGGGGCCTGGAAGGGTGGACAGCAAGGGCAAAGGGCCCTGATTTCTGAGTGGAAGGAACGGGTTCTTCACTTGCTTCTTAATTTTTATGGAATTTCTAACTTTACTGTAGAGAACACTTATTGTCTCTGTAATAATTTTTAAAAATAGAAAGTTGGGTGAGGTGGTGCAAAGCCTATAATCCCAGTGGTTTTTAAGGCTGAGGCAGGAAGATCGCAAGTTCAAAGCCAGCCTCAGCAACTTAGTGAGGCCCTGAGCAACTCAGTGAGACCCTGTCTCTAAATAAAATACAGAATAGGGCTGGGGATGTGCCTCAGTGGTCGAGGGCCCCTGGTACCTAAATAAATAAATAAATAAATAAATAGAAAAAGAATAGATTTAAAGTATAACTATCAACAAATGGATAACTTTTGAGTACATGATTGTAATCTTATCATTATAAAAGTAATATGTACATTACAAAAAGTTTAAACGTCCTCACCTAGCCGTGGGGACAGAGACATTAGGAGCCTCCCACTGCCCCACCCTGCAGAGCCTCAGCAGCAGTTCTGTGCCCAGCTCCCAGACTCTGTCTCTCTCACTCTCTGTGTCTCTCTTACACAGATTTATTTAAACACCTGAGAGTATGCATGTTGATATCATGTATGTTTTTCAAACATGGACTCATACACATATCCTGGTCCCTCATTTTCTCCCAGAAAGGTCCTCCTGTGGGCCCTGTGGCGTTAGCACGTGCAGACCTACTACCCCACTGTCACAGCCTCACAGAGTGCGTCACCCACCTCCAATCCCCTATGTATGGACACTAGTGCTGTTTCCAATTGTTTTGCCATCTGAAGAGCGCTGTGATGAATGTTCTTGAATGTGTGTCTTAGGACAAGTGTGCAAATATTTTTGTCAGGAAAATTCCTAGAATTGGAACGCTAGGTCAAAGGCATGCACATGCAAGATTTGACGGGAAGCGTCAAGAGTTCTTTAAGAGATCAGTTATCAAGGAATGCTCCTACTAAGGGTCCTTTTGGTGCCTCTGCTTCCGACCACCCTCCCTGGGCTGGCTAAGCCTCTGGCAGCCTGTTGGTGAGAAACCTATCTCAGTAATGTCCATGTTTGCATTCTTCATCATCAGCTAGGTGGCACGCCTTTTACTGTCACTGGTCATAGGAAATGCTTCTCTTTGGAAATGCGTGTGTTTGTTTCTTGGCTTCTTTAAAAAATGTGACCTGTGAGAGTTCTTTGTACCACGTGGGTAGTTACCCATTCCCTGACTCATAGGTTGTGAGGACTAGTTTTCCAGTTTGAGGTTTATCTTTCCCTATTTGACACTTTTCTGTTTTTGTTTTGGCATGAGAGAAGGGCCAGCTGCTTTCTTCGTGGCTTCTGGTTCTCATACTGTGCTTAGAAAAGGTGTCCCTAACCCCCAAAGTATGAAAATACTCCCTGTTAGGGTTTCATTTTTAACGTATATTCTTTGATCCATCTGGCATTTGGCCTTTTTAGTCAAAAGTTTATTTTTAATGAAGACAAATGAACACACAAAATCAAACCATTCCCTCGATGGAGAAAATTTTCACCTTGGTGGAGCTGGGAAGGCAGCTTCCCCAGTGCCCATCAGCCTAGCCCTCCCCCTCCCCAGGGCTGAGATGCAAGGTTGGTGCCCCTTACTTGCAACCTGGATGTCATCGATGGTGATCAGTTCATCCAGCTGCAGCAGGAACTTCTCGGTGAAGGAGGCCAAGCTCATTATGAAAAAGTGGCCACAACTCCTGGTGACTTCCTGGAGGAAACATGGTGAGCGCAGAGCTGCAGGGAGAAGAACTTCCCTCCAAGGCAGCTGAGGAAGGGCTGGCTGGCTCAGCAGGAGGACCTAGGGAGCCTTGGGGATCCTGCTGCTGAGCCAAGCCTAAAGCCACTGTGCCCACTGTGTCTGAGTTAACTGGTGTCTGAGCAAGAAGGCTTCCCTCAAGAGGTGCTTGGGCTTGAAGATAAGAAATGATTCAGAAATGACTGAGACACATGTAGACAGTTCACGAAGAAGAAATAAAACTAGACATGGATCATGAATCATGAAAAAAAAAGTACTGTTACTAATTTTATAAATAATTAATTCAGAAACCAAAGAAATGCAAAGTGAAACACCCAGTAATGACATTTCACCTCCAAAACCCACCCACTTTCATGCCTGCTCTGGTCAGGTGCCAACTAAGGGCCTTGCTCTGCACCGGCTGTTGCTGACTATTGGCACCATCTTTCTGGAGGGTGGTGTGGCCCTCAGCACCTGGACTGGAGAGTCAAGGGCACCACTGACCTCAAGATTATCCTTGTGCTTCTTGATCACATGGTCCAGCTCTTCCTGTCTTTTTTCTTCTAGTATGTGTAGAGACTCCATTATTTGGTAATGTGCAGGGTGTCCAATATTTGGATTGAGCTTCTGGGCATTCCTATCCTTTGATCAAACAATTCAGAATTCATCAGGGCTTTTGATCCAGACTTGAAGTCAGGACCAAGAAGTCACTGGCCTATGTCTTCTGTCAATTAAGGCCATAGGAAGACAAATGTGTACTATGATCTGGGTGTATGAGGGGCCATGGGTGGGCAGAGGAACCAGAGTCAGAGAGGACAAGATGGGAGCATGAATGAAGCCATGAAGAGAGGGTGAGTTGAGCATCCCCCCAGCAGAGTCAAGGCTTTAGTCCAATACAGTCAGCACCAATCCTGTCCCATGGCTCCAAGGACAGTGTGGAGAGTCATTGTTGATCTTAAAGACCATGGTTCCACCAAGCCCAGCAGACCCTCCCCTTTACTCCAACAAGGAATTTACTGAACACCTTCCATGAAGAAGTTGTTGACTCGATTCTTATTTTTTCAATGCCTCCTGCCCCTCAGCCCCCATCCAATAATCCCAAACCTAGCTCACCTCCTTTCCTTGGGCTTGACCCTGCCCGTGACCCACCTCCATTCTGAACTCCCAGCATTCCTGATTCTGGAGCAGGACTGGTTGGTCCTAGGATTCTTACCTTCCTTTTGTCTAACTGCTCTTTCTGCTCCTCAAATTGTTTCTGGATCTTTTCCACAGAGGTGCAAAACTTTTTCCAGTGCTGCTCCTTGAAGTCCTCTGTCACCAGCCAACACACCTGGGGCAGCAGCTCCTCAAATCTCCTCATCTGGACTCGTAATTCTGCAGGAATTGGGAATAGAGGGTCAGAGGAGGGGGACACCATAGAACCAAGTGGCTGAGGTGATCTTTTTCAACAAAGGCCCAAAGCAGTTTCCCAAAGGGAAAACCTTGGTCTCCAATGTGGTCCTGCAGTCAAGGTAATACAGAAAATACTAGTAAGACAAGTTCAAAGGACTCTCCGCTATATTCCTTGGACTTCTCAACCTATTTAAAATGCATTGTCTTTCACTCATCTGGCAAGTTCTCATCCATCATCTCTTCAAAGGTCTCCTTGACCCCAGGCTCCTCCCTCTCTTTCTATACCTCCAAACAGCCTATGTGAGACCTCCTCTGTCATTCACATCTCTTCACCTCTCCCCTTTGTCTCATCTCTTTGTCTTTCTGTGTAGCATTCTGGGCATTTTCTTTGGTTCTACCTTCCAGTCACCAATTTCATTTTCAGCTCTACGTAACCTGGCAGCAAAATCATTTACAAGAATAAAATTTCAACTTGAAATTTTTCCTTTTTAAAAGTTCTATTTGATTCACTTTTATATTTACTCAGTTTAATAGTCTCTTGCTCTTTGCTCATGTTTACAATTCCCTCTTTTACTTAACTCTAATAATTGCATTATTTTATATCCTGTGTTTGATATGTACAATAACTTAAGTCTCTGCTGGCCTCCTGTGTTTCCTGCTCAAGGACCCTGTGTTTGTGTGGGTTTTGTTATTGTTGTTTGTTCATCATGGTGAGCTCTTATTCTGGGAATTTTAGTTATGGGAATCCTAAGGCCTGAGTTGAAGGTAGATTTTCTAGAGAGGATTTGAGGAGTCTCAACCAAGCAAATTCTAGATATATCAACTCAAGCTCAATTTGATTCTAAGATAAAGTTAAGATCCTTTGGATGATCCACAAAGACAATATTGAATTCATGTTTAAATAAGCACGAATACAGGTTTAGAAGCCATATAAGGACTGGCATAGTTCTGGATTTCCACAGGTGGTTTTTTGGTTTTGGTTTTCCTTTTTCTTCACCAGTACCAAGGATTTAAAAAAAATTTTTTTTTTGTAGTTGTAGATGGACAGAATGCCTTTATTTTATTTGTTTATTATTATGTGGTGCTGAGGATCAAACCCACTGCCTCACACATGCTAGGCAAGCACTCTGCTACTGAGCTACAGACCCAACCCCAGTACCAAGGATTTTGATAATGCAATCTCTTTCTAGTTGCTAAAAGAAGGGATTGGTTTGTCTCATTCACTGTATTCTGCAGGTGGAGCCCTGTGCAGTTCCAGTTTTACATGGTACTTTCCTCCTTGGGTAGTCTGTGGATTTGTCTCCTGTTCCTAATGTCCTGGAGGTCATGAAAATTCTCAAGTTTTCCTGGGAGTCATCAAATGCTTTAAGGCAGTGAACAGAATTACTGTCAATTTATCAAGCAGAGTTCTTATTTCCATTCAATTTTTGGCTTTTGTGTTTCTTTCTTTACAACTAGCTCATTTGTGTGTGTCTTACTTTACATTTGTGCATTTGTCCCCCAAATATTTTATCTAGCATTTGACACGTTTTCAGTGAGAGAACGTGTAGGATGGGATCTTGAAGAGTTCACTTGGGGAAAGTCTGAGTGGAGAAACAAAATACTGTCTTAGTTTTCAATTCCAGTGATTCTACAACCACAGTGATGAGGGCTCCCATAGATCACTCCCTATACATGGTAAATCCATGCAAGGGATTAATCCTCAAAAAGTTCTTTCACAGTGGGTGCTGTTACTATCTCCAGCTTTCAGATAACGGAACTGAAGCTAAGAGAAGTGAGATCACTTGGCCAAAGTAGTACAGCTAGGAAATGGCAGTGCTGGGTCTCAGTTATCCTCTAATTCTCCTCTTTTCCTACCCACACTGCCTCTGGAATGACCCAGCAAAGCAAAACAAATGTGGTAATCTGTACAGTGAAATCTCATTAAAAGTGACAAAGGGAAGTATTGATACAATTTACAACATGCGTGAACCTTGGAAATACCACAAAAACTGAAAGAAGCCAGTCACAAAGAAGCTCATGTGGGCCCATTTACATGAAAGTACAGGAAGAGGAACTCCATAGAGACAGAAAATGAACCAGGCGTGCACATACCTGTAATCCCAGTGATTTAGGAGATTGAGGGTGGAGGACTGCAAGTTCAAGGCCAGCCTCAGCAATTTAATGAAGCCCTAAACAACTTAGTAAGACCCTAAACAACTTAGTAAGACCCTATCTCCAAATAAAAAAATAAAAATGGCTGGGGATATAGCTCAGTGGTAAAGCACCTCTGGGTTCAATACCCAGCACACTAAATAGGTAAATAAAGAAAGCAAAGGGAAAAAAAGAAAGTGAATTGTTAATGGCGTAGGGACTCAAGAGGGGATGGGCTGATGAGGGTTCTGAGATAGTGGTGGTGACAATTGCTAACTCTGTAAGTAAACCAAACACCATTGAATTGTATGCTTCATGGAAAAATTGTACTGGTAAGGAAATATACCCTAAAGCTGTCAAAAATGAGGGCAGAAGGGAGGAGAATCAAGATGGCGGATTAGAGGAAGGCTGAATTCCTAGTTGTTTCATGGCTTAGGATTCAAGCAGCAGGAGTCCTCCTTCTCAGCAAAGTGGGTAAAAAAGGGATTTCTCTAAAATTCAATATTGGACAGTCAGGATATCTTAGAGACTCAGATATTTGTGTATTAAACAAAGAAGAAAGGCAACATTGGAGCCCCACTGGTTGAGACAGGCAGCAGTAGCAGCACCGGTTCACTGTAAGAAATAGAAAGTCTGGTGGTCCATTTTAAAAATATGGTATTTAGCTTTAAATGTAAAATTGGGATGTAAGAAAAGCAGCAGTAGGGGAGAACAGAATGGAAAGTTACAAGCAGTTAATGCCAGAGTGTGAAAAATTCACAGTCCCTTGACAAACAGGAAGTGAGAGGGAAGGGGCCAGCCTGTTCAACAGAGATAAACTGCAGTATGTGCCACGATGCACTCACTCCCCAAAAGGGCCTTCCCTTCACAGGAGAACAAAGGGAGATGGGGACAACTAAAGGTATGTTTCTTTAAATAACCCAATAAGAGACGATAAGACCTAGGTGACTTTATAGGAGACAACAAAACCTAGGAAAGACTCCCTTAGTACTCAGCCAATGAGGGATGAGGGACAGGCAAAGGAAGGGACACTGTACTAGGGTATAAAATGTGATTGTAACTGCTCTGAGTGTGCCTGCTCACCCAGACACTAATCTTGCAAGATTGTCAGTAAAAAGCCTCACTACTGCAATATCTCATGTGTCTTAGTCCATTCTTTGGGTTTGGTCAGGTGAACTTATTTCTTACATTCACCATAGAGGGAGGGAGAACATGGAGAGAAATACAACAGAAATATTTTGGTATGGAAAAACTTGAGACCAAAAAGCAACCTGAACTTATGATCCAGAAGCTGCACTGTGAACTGGTATGGCAAAAGTGCCCTGTGTTTCTCAACCAGCCATGGAGAGCTGAGGTGGAGCCATCTTGAGGTGGCCATACTGCAGGTCATAGCAAATACTGCTACACTGTCCCAGCAAGTGCCTACCATGTGGCAAGTACCTACCATGTACCTAGCAGAACATGAGGGAAACAGGCACAGAGAAGACTGTACCCAGGAGGATTCAAGATGGAAAAACAAATGAGAGCCCAAACATCAGTGAAACTAATTACATAAAAAGAGAAACTACTCAAATTGAAGCCTCAGATGGACCCCAGTATAAAAATACTGGGTAATTTCAACACACCTCTCTCACCATTAGATATATCATCCAGACATAAACTCAGTAAGACTCTTTGGACCTGAAAAATATTATAAATTAAGTGGGTTTAACAGACATCTATAGAATATTTCATCCAACAACAGCTGAATACACTTTCTTAGTAGCTCATGGAAACTTCTCCAAAATAAACCATATTTTAGGCCACAAAACAACTCTTAACAAATACAAAAAAATTGATATAATTCCTTGCATCTTTTCAAATCACAATGGAATAAAATTAGAAACCAACAACAAAATCCTATAGAAACTTTATAAATACATGAGAATTTATAAAGAAAAAAATCTCCCTTGATTTTTTTCTACTGAACATACTAAAGAATGTTCAGTAGAAAAAAATTAAGGGAGAAACTAAAAATGCTTATATTCAAATGAGAATATATGATATGATACAACATACCAGAACTTCTGGGACACTATGAAAGCAGTTCTAAGAGGAAAGTTTATAGCTATTAGTGCCCACATGAGAAAATCAGAAAGATCCCAAATAAATAACCCAATGATGCATCTTGAGACCCTTGAAAAAAGAAGAAACCAATTCCAAAACCAGCATAAAGAAGGAAATAATTAAGATCAGAGTCAAATTCAATGAAATGGAGAATTAAGAAATATAAAGGATCAATGAAGAGTTGGTTCTTTGAAAACATAAACAAGATTGATAAGCTCTTAGCCAAACCAACTAAAAGAAAGAGAGAAGACCCAAATTAATAAAATTACGAATGAAAAAGGAGAAGTCACAATAGACATCACAGAAATCCAGCATATCATGAGAGACTATTTTGAAAACTTATACTCCAAAAAATTGTATGCCTTCCAACAAAAAAAAGCCCAGGACCAGATGAATTCTCAGGTCAATTCTACCAGCACTTTAAAGAACTAATGCGAATACTTCTCAAATTATTCCATGAAATAGAAAGGAATGGAACACTACCAAATTCATTCTATGAAGTCAATATCACACTCATATCAAAACCAGATAAGGCTACATCAGGGAAAGAAAATTATAGACCAATATCCCTAATGAGTTTACATACAAAAATATTTAATAAAATATCAGCAAATTGTGTTCAACAACATATTAAGAAGATTGTATATCAAGACCAAATTGGCTTTATTCCAGAGATGCAAGGATGGTTTAACATACACAGATCAATAAATGTAATTCATCACATAAGTAGAATTAAGGGCAAAAATCACTTAGTCATATTAGCTGTCAAATCAGCAAAACTAGTTAACCATCGTATCAATAGATGTAGAGAAGGCATTTGACAAAATTAAACACCCATTCATAATAAAAACACTGAAGAAACTAGGGATAAAAGAAGCCTACCTCAACATCATAAAGGCTATATATAAAAAACCCAAAGCCAAGCTCATAGTAAATGGGGAAAATCTGAAAGCATTTCCTGTAAAATCTAGAACAAGACAAGGATGTTCATTCTCACCACTCCTATTTAATATAGTGCTAGAAATTTTAGCTAGAGCAATTAGGCAAGGAAAGGAAATAAAAACGATAAAATCAGGAAAGGAAGAAGTCAAGTTACCATTGTTTGTAGATGATATGATCCTTAACTTAGAAGATCCAAAAAAATTCCACCAAAAAAATTGCTAGAACTAATAAACAAATTTGGCAGAGTAGCAGGCTACAAAATCAACATAAAAAAATCAATAGCTTTCCTACCAACAAAAAAATCTGCTGAGGAAGAAATGAGGAAAACAATTTCATTCACAATAACCTAAAAAAACCAAACAAACAAACAACTACAAAAAAGGAAAAAACTAGAAATAAATCTAACCAAGGAGGTAAAAGATCTTTGCAATGAAAACTATTGAACATTGAAGAAAGAAATTGAAGAAGACTTCAGAATATGGAAAGACTTCCCATGTTCACGGATAGGCAGAATTAATATTGTTAAAATGATCACGCTACCAAAGCAATATATAGATTCAATGTAATCACCATCAAAATACCAATGACATTCTTCACAGAACTAGGAAAAAAAAATCCTAAAATTCATTTGGAAGAATAAAACACCTAAAATAGTCAAAGCAAGTTTTAAGCCAAAAATGCAATGCTGGGGGCATCACAATCCCTGACTTCAAATTATACTACAGTGCTATAGTCCAAAAACTGCATGGTACTGGCATAAAATTGGACACGAAGACCACTGGTAGAATAGAAGACACAGAGACAAACTTACACACTAACAGTCATGTGATCCTTGACAAAGGTGTCCCAACCACACTTTGGAGAAAAAACAACCTTTTAAACAAATGATGCTGGGAAAACTAGTTAACCATATGTAGAGAATGAAACTAGACCCTTATCTCTCACCTTGCATGAAAATCAATTAAAAATGGACCAAAGACCTAGGAATTAGACCAAAAACTATGCAATTCCTAGAAGAAAACATAGGGTTAACATTCCAGCATATAGACACAGGCAAGGACTTCCTCAGTATGACTCCTAAAACTCAGGAAATAATTCCAAGAGCTAGTAAACGGGATGGCATCTAATTAAAAAGTTTCTGCACAGCAAAGGAAACAAAAAAAATAAAGAGAGAAATTACAGAATGGGAGAAAATCTTTGCTAACTACTCTTCTGATATTTATATTTAGAATTTGTAAAAAACTCAAAAAAAACTTAACATCCAAACCCAAACAACTAATTAATAAATGGGCAAATAAATCAGACACTTCTCAAAAAAACAACAACAACAACATACAAATGGCCAATACACACGTGAAAAAATGTTCACCATCATTAACAATTAGAGAAATGCAAATCGAAACTACACTGAGAGTTTATCTCATGCCACTCAGAATGACAGTCATAAAGAATACAAATAATAATACATCTTAGACAGAATATGGAGAAAAAGGAACACTTTTACACTGTTGATGGAATTGTAAATTAGTACAACCACTATGGAAATCAGAATGGAGGTGCCTCAAAAGACTAGGCATGAAACCACCATATGACCTGCTACACCATTCCTTGGTATTTATCCTAAAGAATTAAAGTCATCTTACTACAGTGATATACGCATACCCATGTTTATAGCAGCACATCTCAAAATAGCCAAACTAGGGAACCAGTATAGGTGTCTTTCAGCAGATGAATGAATAAAGAAAATGTGGTATAGATATATATGAAATTTTATTCAGACATAAAGAAAAAGGAAATTATGTCATTTGCAAAAAAATGAATGGAACTAAAGACCTTATTAAGCAAAATGATCCAAACTTAAACGTCAGGGTTGTATGTTTTCTCTCATGTGTGAAAGCTAGAGAGGAAAAAAGGAGAAGAAAGGTGGGGGGTGGTGCAGGGATCTTATAGAAACCAAAGGGAAATCAGTACAGGAAAGGTACCCTGGGGTGGGAGAAGGGAGGGAGGGAGGAAATGTTGGGGGGCCATATCGGTCAAATTATATCGTTAATTGTAACAACAAATCACATCAATATGTACAATTATAATGCACCAATAAAAAATTTAGAAAGAGAAAAAAAATAAAATGTGGAAGGAACAAAGTATTTTTTAGTGGTTAAAAAATTTACCATGCTTCTATAGAAAAACGATTCTTTTTTTTTTTTAGCGTTGTTTTACCCCAGTTAAATCTGATCATTGTTTCCACCTAATTCTAAGAGGCTTGCCTCCATAGGAGGCTCCTTTTCTGTCTGGTGACCTCCAAGTGAGAGGGGCCAGGGCCAAGGACCAGCCCCCAACCCCAGTATGTTGGTGTCATACCCACGTCCAGCCTGCCCACCCTTCGCCCACACGCACCCATGAGGCAGGAGTTGTAGTACTCATTCGTCTGGCTCTGGTACTCCAGGATCTTCCTGCCAATGCTGTCGGCACACTGGTCGAAGGTTTCATACATGCAGTCAGGCCTGGTGACTGGGTGCCTCTCTTTGCGGTAATATTCCTGCCAGAGAAAGGTGACCATGCGTGGGCGAGGACCCTCCCTGTGGGACTCTGGTCCTGGCTCTTCCATCAGTCAGCCCACCCTCATCTCCACATCTCCTAGTTGTGCTTTCCCTCTGCCACCGTCACTTCCTCTGTATCCCAAAGTGTGACTTGAGGTCATAACTGTCCCTCATTACTTCCTGAGTAAATGGCAAAATCCTGTTTGTCATTCAAGACCCAAATCAATGGAGTCTCAAGTTGTGACTGAGTTGGGAACTTACTAGAAGCACCCAGCTGGGTCCTGACTGTGGGCCACAGAGAGGGATGAGCCAGAGGCCCTGCCCTTTACCACTCCCTGCCCCGTGGGGGACAGCCAAGATAAAACACAAGCACACTGTGTGGGTTTATGGGAGCAGGGGCCAGCTCCTAGTGCTTCCCTGGCTCCCTGTGCCCGACCATGTCCATTGGACTCCTGCTAGGTGCTAGGCACCTAAGGGACAGAGGCGGGGCATGTTTCTCTTGGCATACCCAGTGCCTGACGTGCAGGTGGTGTCTAAGAAATGTTTGGTGACTAATTAAGTAAATAAATGCCAAATAAATGAAATTTGTCTTCCAGAAAATGGGCATGGGTGGGGGTCGGACACAAGAGGTTACAGAAGCTGGGGAGGTTAAGAGGAGGGTGAAATCCTTTTGTCATTTCCCCTGAGTTCCTGTGATCAGCAGACTGCAAAAGGCAAAGGCAGCTGGGGACACGCTTCCTGGATGGGCACCAGCTAGTGAGCAGTGGCCCTCACCTCCACAACGGTCAGCAGATAGTGGTTGCTCTCCCAGAGAAGGGTCAGGATGATCCCTTTAAAATGCCTGCAACACACAGAGGCAGACCCCTGAGGTTCCTTGTCTAAAGATACCAACATGGACGAACCAAATCAGCATAGCATTTGGAGTGCTCTGTTTGGGCCCTGGGCCTCCTTGCAATTAATTCATCACTACTGCCCTGGGAACTTCTCCTCCTGATTCCTCTCCAAAAACACCTGCATGATTCTTCTTGGTCATATTTGTTCCTGTTCTTTCTCAGATCCCAGCTCAGTGCCAGTTCCTAATCCTAGTGCTAATACTTTCAGAGTGTGCTTCAGTTCTGTAGGTGGATTCAGGATTGATTTGTCTGTCTGGCTGATTGAATTCCATCTCTCCCAGCAGACTGGGAATTCTACTAGGCATTTAAAATACTAATTGAGAGGTTATTAGGCAGAAAAAGCTCAGTATCTGGGGTTCCTACATTAGCAAGCCACAACCCAACTCAGTAAGAAGAGTCATACATAGTCTAGAAAAATGAAATCTAAGTTTAACCAGTCAGAAATAGCCAACTCATTTCTGGTGGGGGAATGATCCAGTTTAGCTAATCAAATATTTTCTTTGCCTTGCTTCTTTCTGTGACCCTCCTGTAAAAGCTTTCCCCTGCCACCCACCTTGGTGGAGCCCTGAACCACTTGGCAGTCTGATGCTGCCCGATTTGTGCATCGCTGTCTGTTCAAATAAACCGGTTAATATTTTAATGTGTCTGTGTTTATCTTTTGATAGAGAACATGGACTGTGGTTGTCTGTCTCTGTTGATCATGGAATCCCAGTGCAAGGGCAGTGCCTGCACCTGTCAGGGCCTCAGTGTTGCTTGAAAGAAGAAAGAATGATGACTTACAGATAGTAATCAAATGACCAGGACTTCCTGTAGGACCAAACGTTGACCTGCTCTCTAGTCACTAGGCCCACATGTATACACCAGGGCTTTATAAGCAAATTTTCACAGACCCAATGGATGTTCCTGCCCAGTTAGGTCAACGGTTGTGAAAGTAAGTGAGATAAAGGATGGATGCACTAGAATTACACGTAACTGCAGGTCACTAATGTTTCTCCATCTGTATAAAGTGTCATAGTGACATGTATGAATATATCACTGCCAATTTCTAGAATATAAGCATATAGGTAATTTGATCTTTCATTTTAAAATCCACTCATTATACTTAAAGAAAATTAGAAGTATATCGAAAAACAAGGCGAAAATCCATCCCAACATTTTAGTGAATTTCCTTCGGCTGATTTTATTTCAAATCAGTCCTAATTGGGTTTATGAGTGTTTCAAATTCTGTTCTGTTCACTTATTGAACAGTAAGTGTCCCCATTCTGTGAAATCATCTTAAGTGGCTGTGGAACACCACCAAGTATATATGCATCACAGTTTGCAATCCTCTAATTTTGAAATTTTAGGTCCGCCCCCTTTTTCAATTGGCATAAAAAAATGCTGCATGGGGGCTGGGTTGAGGCTCAGTGGTAGAGTAGTTAGTTGCCTAGTATGTGCGAGGCACTGGGTTCGATTCTCAGCACCACAAATAAATAAACAAAATAAAGTCCATTGACAACTAAAAAAAATGCTGCATGAGATATCTTCAGGCAAGAAGTTTCTCCTCATGGTGGAATGATTTCCTTGGGAGAAAGGCCTGAAGATTTGTATAAAGGCATGACTTAATGGCTTCCATTAGACTTTGCCAAATTGATTTCTAGAAAGATACTGTGCCGTTGACTCCCTACCCTCAGTGCAAAGGAAGAACCACTCTACCCCCTGGCAGCTTCCACAAAAATCCATCTGTGTATTGGCAACTCTAGTTGATGTGTGGGGAAGTGTGGGGCGGACTTGCTTCCCTTTCATTGCTTAGCATCCCAGTGAGGCTGTATTTCTTCACATTTGTTCCTAGTTGTTTCTTCTTTTGGGCTGGGTCTCTTCAAATCTACCCTCATCCCTACTGAATTCTCTCTCTCTCTCTCTTTCTTTGGTACTTAAAATTGAATCCTGGGGTGCTCTACATTCCCAGCGCTTTTTACTTTTTTTTTTTTTTTTTTTTTTTTGAGATAGGGTCTCACTAAGATGCTGAGGCTGGTCTGGAACTTGTAATCCTCTTGCCTCAGCCTCCTGAGTCACTGGGATTACAGGCATGTGCCAATATGCCTAGCTCATATTGAGTTCCGGAGGTTTCCTTAGCAATTTACTTGGGGGTAGGGGAAGAGGGTGATGTATTTATTTGCTTTTCTTTTTCCTTTTGCAAATTTCCCAAATTTTGAGATTTTTATTAGTGCTTCTCAGGGTGCCAACCTGTGTTTCTGAAGGGAGCCCTGCCTGGGACCCGTGGGAACTCACTAGCTCTTATCCACAGCTCTAAGAGGAGGGTTCTCTTCTACCTACTTTGCAGATGGAAAGACTGAAGCTGTGGAGAAGTCACTTAACCAGGGTCCTAATGTGGGGATACAAACAGGATTAGTCTTATTCTATTTTATGAACAACTGACTATTATACTAGGACAGGGAAATCTCTCTGTTTTTAGAGACTTAATGAATACTCATTTTTTCTATTTGACCTATGATTTTTTAAAATCTGTGGTGTATTTATATTATGGAATACTATTGGGTCATACATGTACTATGTATGGTACATGTGACAACTTGGAAGGGTCTTGCTGAGGTTTGAATGTATTTCCCAAAGTTCATATGCTAGAAACTTAATCCTCAGTGCAATGGTACTGAGAAGTGGGACCATCAAGAGATAGTAGGTCATAAGGGCTCTGCCCTCTGGAATAGATTAATGGTGGCATTGTGGGAGTGGGCTACTTATCATAGGAATGGGTTCCTGAGAATAGAATGATTTCAGTCCCCTTCCTCTCCTCTCTCAATCCTGCTCCCTATACTCTCTTGCCCTTCCACCTCCTGCCATGGAATGATGCAGTGAGAAGGCCCTCACCAGATCAGGCTCAACCTTGGACTTCCCAACCTCCAGAACTGTAAGAAACAAACCTCTGTTCTTGATAAATTATCCAGTCTCAGGTATTCGGTTAGAGCAAATCAAATGGTCCAAGACATATCTCAAGGGCATTATGCTGAGGCCAAAAAGCCATTCTGAAAAGGTCGAATGCTGCATAAATTTGTTTATATGATATCCTGTAAAGTGACAAAATTATAGGGATGGAGTACAGATTCCTGGTTCTTGGGGTTGGGACAGTGAGGGGAAGTGGGTAAGGGGTGGCACATGAAGAGTAGCAAGAAAGAGATCTTTGTGCAGATGAAATAATTCTGTGTCTTGATTGTGGTGGTGGGTGCAGGAATCTATACATGTGATCAAATGACAGAGATCTATAAAAGACAGAGAGTCAAGGTTGCAATGGTACAGAAATGTCCTTGGTGTATGGGCACAGGGCAGCTCTAGCAGCTGACTTGTAGGCAGTTCCTGGGTCACTTGGTGTAGCAGCATATCCTTCTTTGCATGATTCACCAGCTTCAGTCCCCTGGGCGGAAGAGCTGACACAGGTGGGCCGTGCCACACTGATCATGGGGGATAGAGGCTCAGTGCGGAGCTTGAATTTCTCTAAGGACTTTTAACTTTCCAAACTTAATAATAAGCTGGGTTTTGTTTGAAATGAAGCCGTTGTTTTAATCAACGACAGTAAAGGAAAGGAGAAGAGGTGGGTAGCATTGAAAAAATTACTAAAAAATACCCCAAACCTGAAAGGTGTCTGCTGCCTGGCCACCATAAAATGCTGAGCTGGAAAATGTAAAATTTTGGTGAAATGTCTCTCAGTAAACTTCAGGGAATGGGTTGAGACAAACTGACCTTGACCTTCAACTGGCCCCTCCCCTTCCTCTTCCTTTTTATCGGCCTCCCCCTTCTCTTTCTTATTTTTCTTTTCCTCTGACAAATTAAATGGAATTAAAGGGAACTGTGTCATTACTTACTTGGTTGATGGAGGAGACTTGTCCCCCAGCACCTGGTACTTTCTGTCATTTCTGTTGGGCTTGGAATGCCGGCTGATGCTGTAGGACAAAGGTGCATGAGTTGTCTGCAGTCTGGGGACAGACAAAAGGCAGGTCTGTGCCTCCGGAGCCCTTCCTGGGGTGCTGGAAGTGCTGGACCAGCCTGTGGGGCAGCCTGGCTCATTTCTGGGGCTGAGCCTTTCAAGATGATTCTCTACTTTTCAATTGCTCTGAACACAACCTGATTTGGGGGCAAGGCCTTTACCAATAATGCCCAGGCAAGACCACTAAGAGAGGCAAGGGGCAAAGGGTCATGGGCCCAGAAACTTGCATCGTCCCCTCCCTGAGGTGAGAACCCAAAGAAAAACAGGTTGAGCCTCACAATGAGACCTTCAGGTTTAGCACATAAACATACGGTATGGCTAGTTACACTTGAGTTTCATATACGCAACGAGTAATTTTTAGTATATGTAAGGTCCCATGCAATATTTGTGACATACTCATACTGAAAATTAAGTATTATTGATCTGAAATTTAAATTAAGCTATGCACCCATATGGGCTTTATTTTAAAACCTCTCAGAGACTGAATATACAAATAGATGATGATGGCTGGATCACATATTAAAAAAAAAAAAAAAAGGATCTCTCACCCACCCATAGCTGCAGCAACCTGCCCAGGAAATCAGCCCTTTGCCTATAATAAACAGCCCGAAGGTGGTCAGCTGCAAGTCAGAATTGCAGCAAGTCAGGGTGCTATCTCCAGTGACAGCCCAGGAAGCTAAACGATACCTGCTATAACAATAGGCCGCAGGTGGCCAAGACCAGATCTGTACCCGACCAACCACCCAGGACGCCCTGCTTTCTGCTGACAGCTTCTGACTTCTCTATGCCAACAGCCCCCGGCCAGGCACATCTGCAGCCTTCCCTGTTTTACACTGTAAGGCTTCCGGCTCCCCTGGCTGCCCTTGAGTCTGCCATGTTGCACTTGCCGGTGGCCAGTTCCTGCTGTCGCCAGCTCCTCATCAGTAGCCTCTGCTGTGCTCACTTGTTTGGTCTCTGTCCACACACTGCAGACAGCATGCAAGTTTATAAAGACTCAGAAATTTGGGTCTGAGGTCAAGGTAAAACTCTCACTTTCTCAAAGCCAAGGATTAATTCAGGGCTTAAAAAAGATCCAAAAATTTGGCTGAGTCACTTGGCTTCTGTTATCCACCTTTCAAAAGTCTGTGTGTGGGAGCTGGTGGTCAGAGACTCAGTCTAATGACCACTACAGGGTCTCATTGACAGGGCACATGACCAAGGTACCAAGGCCTAGGATTTCTGCACCTTTGTAGGAAAACTATGTAGCCATGGCTCTGACTTTCCCTCTTGTTAACTATGACCCTGCATGATGGCAGGGCCAGAATCTGCCTCTGTCTCATGGACACCTACCACCAACTCCACACATTTCTCTAGGTTTGAGGTGTGTGGGAGCCATGTCTCCCTCCACAGGAGGAACTCAAGTCTGACCAAAGGCAGTGTCAGGACAGTTTCTGTCCATGCCGGGACCCATGGTGTCCCAGAGCATGAGCTCCAGTGGAAGTTCTAAGAGTCTGGGACAATGACAGGATGGGCTCTGGCCTTTGTCTGGGGGCTCAGACGAGGGCCTGAGAAGGGAAGATTCCAGGTAGCTGTGTCCCTACCTTGCTGCTGAGGAGGTGGCACTGGCACTGTGCAAGGACTTCTTTATAAAGTTTTCTTGCTGGCACTGAGGGTGCTTCAAGACTTTGGGTGACAAGTGCCCAGAACAAGAGCAGAGGACAGGAGATGAAGATGGGCCACAGTTGCAACCAGCTTCCCCCCCGCCAGCTGTCCCAAGACCCACGGGTCTGTCTGCCTTTACCTGTCTGTGACCGATCTTTCTCACACTGGTGCATTGACTTTATGTCAGGAACTCTGAAACCAAAGGAAATGACATGAGCTTTTCCAAGTGACAAGAGGACAGCTCTGGCAACACCCCAGTCAATCCTCAATAGGTTCCATCATGAGCTCAGGAGTTCAGATGAGGAAATGAGGCTCCCAGGAGAAGCTCCTTATCTGAGGTCTTAGGCTCCCAGGGGTGAGCTCCCATGGGAACCCCAGAGTTCAGGAGCCCAAACTCACTGCAGGATCTTCTTGATCACCATCACAGCGGGGTCTTCAGTCATGGCCTTCCCTAAGCGGCTTGGCTGTGCAAAGGATTCAGGGGCGACCAGGCCTAACTTGGCCTCCTCCTCTGGGATCTCTGAAATCTGGAAGTCACTCTCCTCCTTTGCATCGGTCGTGACACTGTCCTGTGGGCCAGTAAAATGGCTGAGTGTGTGGAGACCAGTCCAGGTGCCATGGCAGTAGCAGGCTGATTCACACTGTTGTCACCTTGTCCAAGAGGTGGCTGGAGGCAACTTGGCGGCCCCTGGAGCCTGTTTTCACACCTATCAAATGGTGGTGGTCCCGCCCCTAGAAGGCGCTCATTCACTCACTCCCTGACTCATGCCTTTAGAAGTGCTTTCTGAATGCCTGCTCTCCACAAGGCTCTGCCAGTATCCTGGGGACACAGAAGTGCAAAAGCCACCAAGGCCCTTTATGGAGCTTACAGTTCAGGCACACTTAAAACAAATAAATGCTTAGTCAAAATTGGGACCAGTGCTCTGCAGGAAAAGCTCTACCATCTTCTGTGAGATGGAGGTGCGACCTGCACGGCTGCCGTAGCGGTGCCCAGGCGATGTTTTGGAACAAATGGGCGAGGAAGTGAAAGAAGGCAAGGCTGATCCTGGGGCCAGTTCAGAACAAGGGTGGAACCAGTACCCATAGCGAGCACTCAGTTCTTTTTTTTTTTTTTAATACCTTAAATTTTATTTATTTATTTTGATGTGGTGCTGAGGCTTGAACCCAGGGCCCCACACGTGCTAGGCAAGTGCTCTACCTCTGAGCCACAGCCACAGCCCTGCGAGCACTCAGTTCTTCTTCTGTTCTCCGTTTTACTCCAAGTCTCCTCTCCCACCAGCCCCCTGAAGGAAGGACCCAGGCTGGACCCTTGGAGCCTCTGTCGTGCCAGGCACAGTAACAGAGCAAATGGATGGTTAGCCCAGTCTGCAGGGTAAGAAAAGCTTCCCACAGAAGGAAGGGTGGCAGATCTGGGCAGCGTGAGACCCTGAGGCACTCTGCTCTTGCAGCATTCAGCTCTGTGACCTCCCCTGGATGATGGCTGGGTGCTCCCTGTGGACAAATCCTCATGGGACGTGAGCGAAGGCTCTGCCCTCACAGAGCTTCCTGTCTCAGGCAGAGAGCCCCTGTCCTGGAAACCTTGCCACATGCTCTGTGGGCTCATGGGGAAGTGGAAGGTGTTACAGGGCAGGAGACCCCCCACCCAGATCAGAGGGTGAGAAGATTTTATGGCAAGTGATATCTAGGCGGGGGGAGAGGGATGGAGGGGACACAGAGGCTATTCTGTGTATCCTGTTAAAGGGTATGGACTTGACTCTGAGAGCAGGGGAGTGACACAGCAGACCAGCTCTTCTGATGTTTGGTCTGGTTGCAGGTCAGGAAATAGCTGATATGGGGATATGAGAGGACATGTCTAGCCAGATGGGCAAAAGACAGGGGTTTGGATGAGATGGTGGGGTGAGACTGGAGAAGCTGGTAGCTGTTCGTGGTGTGGGTTGAAAGGAAGTGGCTGAGGCTGGCATGGGACAGGCCCAAGAGCCTATGCACAGGCTAACTTGAGGGGCCTGATAGAGACAGGTGGTGATGCCAGGAGGTGAGGGGTCTCCTAAGACACCAGTGCAAGGAAGTGACCCATTTGGTACTGGAACTCTTATCAGACTTCACAGCATGTCACCTTTCCACACCATCCTATAAATCCAGGGGAGGTCTGGGAGGCACCATTAAGGCCTGTGGGGCTCCTGGGAACCTGACAACAGCTCACTCCCCTACCACCCCATGCCACTCCTACCACATAGATGTCCTGAGACATTGACACCATGGCCAGGCTGCAGTTGAGGTACTTAATCCTCTGGCTCAGTTGTTCTTTCCAAGTTCTGACAAAACCCAGGAGGTCTTCGGCGGTTACCGTCTAGAGGGAACACAGAAGACGAAGGCTCTAAGGAGGCAGCCTGTGGAGGGCAGGCGGGTTCCTCTGGCACCGCACGGACAGGGCTGGGCTGGAGAGGACATCTCTGGGTTGCAGGAAGACCCCTCCCTTGCCAACCCTGGGGGCACGGGGAGTGCCGGGCTGGCTCTCAGGTGGCTGCACTGGGGTAGCAAATCCTTTACTGATGGGACCTGGAGAGCTCTGTCCCTGCCATAGGTTCAACTCTGGGCAAGGGATTTAAACTTGCTTGACTCAGTCTCCACCTAAGATAGGGACGTCATGGAATGTTCTCTGGGGTGTCCTTTAGCTCTATAGTTCTATGTTTAGAAGGAAACACTTAGTCCAGTTGTAGAAGTGGGCAGGAGGGCAGACTGGCCATCTCCATGGCAACATCTAACAGGCATCCCCCTTGAAGCAGCACCCTGCAGGTGCACAGGGATGCACCTTCAGCCATCTTTACCTCACTACATACCCAAGGCCTCCCAATTACTCCTAATTACTGCTACATAGACGATACTTCTCCATCAACACAGAAACACCTGCACACCCAACCTCGTTCTTTCCACCTGGCCAGGAGGCTGGATAAACCCCCTTGGCACCCTGGTAGAAGAGGAAATGTGAGAGACTAAACCATTTTCTGCAGAGAGGCAGAGCTTGCCCTAAAGAACCCGTGGAAAGGTCGTGGCAGGTTAACCCGTTCTCCCCAGTGGGTGGGCTTATAAGGGAGCCCAGGCAAGCCCTGGGCAAACTACAGGAAGCACTTTGCTCACTTTGCTCATTGTGTGGGTTGTACAGTGCAAGTTAGCGAATGTGCAGAAACATTCGTGACTGTACATAACAGGGTTGAGATCTTGATAGAAAATAAAAATAGAGGAACATTTCTCCTGCACACTATGCTCGGTGCATCTTTGAACTTTTCTTAAGGCTCTTGCATGACTGTGCAAGAATAAGCAGTAAAGAGAGAAAAATCAATGTTCTTTCAGTATGAACAACAACAGAACCACAACTCCCAGTCACTGAGATAGAGGAAAAGTGGCAGGAAAGGGTGAGGAGGAAGTCTCCCACTCAGGATCCTGCCATGGGGGCCTCTGGTTCTGGTGGCATCTGGGGGAACTGCCAAGATGAGGTTCCTTGCATGACCAGGGCACATGTGCAATGGGGCACTTGTGGAAGGAGGACAAGCGTGGAGGTGTCCAAAGACCTGATCTGCTGATTAGGGACCGAGGAAACCTCAGAACCACACTGGGGCCAAACTTGGCTTCTTTCCAGACTTTTCGTGGCTTAAATAAAGAGAATCAGCTGTGACTAAAAGAAGAATTGAAAGCTCAAATGAAAAGTATTGATGGGAGGGTAGAGCCCTGCTTCTGTCATTCACTTGGGGCGAGGCTGAGTCTTCAGTCTAAAGATGGATGCTTGGTGGCATCACAGGGGGAGCAGGGCCCACAGAGCCAGACGCAGGCTCCCACTGGACTCTGTGCATGTGCCTGGCTGGTCATGGGTGGGGATACCAGCTGAATTCTCTTCTTCTCCTGCCTTGATTCCATCACAGGGTTGATAGGAAGACTCAGCACACCACACCCCTGCTTGTAATAGAGAAATCCTGTGCCCAGACTTAAGCTTATTTTTTTAAAATTTATGACTCTACCATAACACCTCAAATATTCCCAAGTAGAATCTAGCGAGCACTCACTGTCTTATCTCCCTTTGGGTCTCGACAAATTTCTATTTGTTGTTGAAGCTGTTTCAGAGAAGAATTTAATCCATCTGCTTGCAAATTGGACTTTGCCACCTAGAAAAACAGAGGTTCCAAGATTTCGTCTCTAGAATACATATTGTGATTGGAAAAAATGTTCAGCAAAGTATATCTGAGAAATTGATTAAGCACCAAAAATATGAAATATAAAAATATGAAACCATGGACAGTTATACCAGAAACCAGATCAAGACAGATTTTTTATTTAAAAAAATTTTAAAGAGTTTAACCTTTATTTTATTTATTTGTTTTTATGTAGTGCTGAGAATCAAACCCACACTAAGCAAGCACTTTACCACTGAGCTACAGCCCCAGCCCTGTTAAAAAAATTTTTTCCAACAAAAAGATAAGGCTTAAATGAAACTGGAACCCCAGAGTGCGGCACCAGTCTGCATAAGCCAGCAAAAGGCATAAAGAGCGTTGGGATGTCCAGGCTCTGACCCCAGGCTCCAACTTGCAGGAGGCACCCAAGGGCACAGGCTGAGTGTCCTGGGCGAGTGCCTCTCTCTCAGTCCTGGCATCCTGACAAAAAGGGAACACCATGCAAGTCCCCAAAGAAATACACAAGGGAAAGTGGAGGCACAGCCACAAGAGGGAAACCCTTCAAAAGGTGTTTATGAGGGACCTTTAAAGGGTATGCAGCTTATGAAGTTGTATAATAGCCAACTTGGATACACCCCTACCTTTTCACATAGGAAAGAGTCTTAACGATAAATCAAATCTTAAACAGGAGTTGTGACTCTGTGGTAGACTTATAGATTATCATCTCCTGGGTATATTTATTTGTTCTATATTTCTAATATTGTGCATGGTAGAAATGCATATTACTTATGATACTTGTTACTAAAAACATAAGCCCCACATATGGTGAACAGCCTATTATCAGCTCAGAAAGGAATCTGTGCCAACACCAGCAGGAAGTCCATTAGGAATGTGTCCCTTAAACAGGGCAGGGGTGCCCTGGCCCTTGGGTCCTGTTCTCTAAAGCTGCACCCTCTCCACCACTTCTGGCATGGGGACCTCCACCAAGGCCTGACTTCACTGAAGACTCACTCTGCACCAGGGAACTTGAGCTTTGCAGACGTTAGCTCATTTACTGGGGCCACAATCTTACCAGTTACTTGTATGATTCCCACTCCTGGGGTGACAGGGACAGGAGGCTGGACTGCTTCACAGCCTGAGACCTCAGCCATCGCTTCTTTTACTGGAATGCACCTGTCACTCCCAGAAGATAGGCCTGTTCTTCTCAGCTCTGCTGGTCCTAGCCAGTGAGTCCTCAAACACTGTTCCCTGAATGGTATGCTGACCAAGGTGGCTGGTCCAGGCCCCTCATGTCCAGTTCACCCATATCCCACCTTTTCCACAGCCTCTCAATTCTGGAATTGAGCATGTTCCTGCTGATACCTCATCCAGCCAAGAATAGTGGTATTCTCAGTCTCAGCCTCATACCCCTGCCTCACTCCTGCTCACTGCCAACTCTGGGAAGCTAGCAGGCAGGTGACCCTCCTCAAATGTGTTCCTGAGCACCCAGACCCATCTAACCCTCCTTGGTCCTTTGCCTGACCAGGACTCTGCTGACCTGCTGATCTTTCCAGCCTCAGCTCTCTACTCCCTTTCAATTCCATTTTTTTTTTTTTTGGTATGGGAATTGAACTCAGGGGCCCTTAACCCCTAAGCCACATTCCCAGCCTTTTTTTCATATTTTATTTAGAGACAGGGTCTCACTGGGTTGCTTAGGGCCTCACTAAGTTGCTGAGGCTGACTTTCAACTTGCAATCCTCCTACCTCAGCCTCCGGAGCCGCTGGGATTACAGGCATGTGCCACTGCACCTGGTTCAATCTCATTGTGGTTGCTCTTGGCACCAGCACCCCAGAGGACTTTTCCATCATGTCTCCAGTACATTCTGTTCTCCACTCTCCTGTCTGGCTTCCTCAAGTTTCAGGAAGCCCTACTTTACCAGATTAGGTTCAATCCTCCCCTCTAAGTTCCCACACCCCTCTTTCCCCTTTAGAGCACAGATGGCCTCTCTGTGGTTAAGGCTAGGATCTCTGGTGCCAGTCAGACCTGAGTTCACATCTTGGCTCCACCATTAAGAGCTCCATCTTCCTGCCTAAGATGGAATTGCTCTATGCCTCAGCTGCTTTATCTCTAAAATGGGAATTAAAAACAGCACTTGCCTCCTAAGAGTTTTTGTGAAGACTATCACTGCTAATTAAAATAAGCCGATTAGCACAATGTATGGTGCACAATGACTTAGTGAATGGTAGGGGCTAAGATTTCATTTCTGCCTTCTCAGCTGAAACACAAGTCCATAGGACTTATACCACACTGGCCTCCCAGCACCTGGGCAGCGCTCAGCATGCAGGGGGTGCGAGTGATACCCACTGCATGGAGAATGCATCTGTCCTACCTGGCACTTGATGTTCACTTGCAGATTTGTCATCAATCGCTGGATTTTCTCTATGAAAATAAGGTCCACAGATAGGTTATGGAATTTACTTTCAAATCTGTTGATGATATCATTGGCCTACAAAGAAAGCAGGGGCTGGGTTAATCTGGAACTTTGAACTCTGGAAGAGGAGGGGACAGGCTAAATTATTGCTTAGGCAGAAACATAGCCCTTCCTTCACAGGTGACACCTGTGATGGGCTGTCCTGGAAGCCCGTCTGGAGGGTAGGCAGGGCTCCCCCACCTGGTCCAGGTACTCGTTCTCCATCTTCTCCATGTTGACCATGATTAAACTTTCGACATACTCTATCCGGGTAGCTTCCTTCTCCAGACGATTACACAGTGAGTTCATTTCCTCAGGGGAAAAGTTGCCTCCCTCCGAAAATAATCTGATAATAATTGGAGAGAAATAAAAGCCAACAATCAGACCTGAAAGTTCTACCCCATCCCAAATACCGGGGTAGATACACACTTTTTTAATATTTATTTTTTAGTTGTAGGTGGACACATAGTATCTTTATTTTATTATTTTTTTAATGTGGTGCTGAGGATAGAACCCAGTGCCTCACGTGTGCTAGGTGAGCATTCTACCACTGAGCCACGACCCCAGCCCAATACACACTTTTAATCTAGGTTTCAGATCAAAGGTGCAAGATCATGAAAATATAAATGCAGGTGGCACAAGCACAGGAGGAGACACCTGTGACCGGGGCAGGCTTGCCACTTTTGTTGGTTGGTCAGATTGAGTACTCTTATGAGGAAACAAGATGCCATGAATGAGAACCAGAAAGACAACAGAGAACAGAAAAAAACACTCCCCACAAAGACCTCAGATATTAGAATTTATCCTACATAATTATAAATAACTAAGTGCAAGATTTTAAAGAAATTAAAAGAGAAACTTGAAAATATGAGCAGAGAGCTGCCATTTTTGAAAAAAAGACTCAAATAAAACTAGAAGTAGAAATTATACTAATTAAAATTAAAAACTGAGTGAAAACATTTATCAGGAGATTTAACACAGTTATAGAGGGCATCAGTGAATAGGAAGGACACTAGGAAGAAATAAGAAAGAATGAAGCTAAAAGAGTGATAAAGCTACTCAGGATAGAGATGCATAACATGTCAAATGATAATTCTAGTTTTTGCAACTTTCCAAATTCTCTTTAAAAGCTCTATATTTATATTCATAAAAATGTTAATAATATTTAAATAAATGCAATCTTGCAAATACCAACATGGAAGACGCCTATCATGATTTGTTTGTAATGGAAGGGAACCATAAGTCAGCAAGTGTACCAGGATTCTGATTCCATTTCTGTACAAAACTAGCAACCATTGCTTATGTATAACACATAGAAATTTTATTTTTGGAGGGCTTCCATTTTTCACTTCTGTGTTTGGTTATATTATAATGGGTAAAAAATGTTTAATTTCATAATAATAATAGGATTTTTTTATAAAAAGAATATAACTAAGCTACAAATGTCAAAGACTAAATCCAGGATTATTTTCATGTTGGAGCAAATTAAGATCATGGGGGAAAATATGGGGAAAGAATAATCATTAGGAAAATACAATCAAAACCACGATGTGATATTACCTTATATCCATTAAAATATCTACTATAAAAAATACCCATAAGTGTTAGTGAGGATGTAGAGAAATTGGAGCCTTTGTATATTACTAGTGGAATGTAAAATGGGGCAGCTGCTATGGAAAATAGTATGATGATTCCTTTAAAAATCGTGAAATTAAAAAAAAATTAAGGAATTACCATCTGATCCAGTAGTTCCACTTCTGGCAATATAAAAGATGGAAAGCAGAACTTCAAATAGATTGTACACCAATGTTCCTCAAATTCTTAATTCACAAGAGCCAAGAGGTAGAAACAACTCAAATGCCGACTGATAAACAACCAGATAAACAATATGTGGCATAAATACATAATGGAATATTATTCAACCTTGAAAAGAAAACTTTGACATGTGATACAACTCGAACAAAACTTGAAGGTGCTATGTGTGCTAGTGAGATATACCAGACGTGAAAGGACACATACTGCATGATTCCCCTTACATGAGGTACCTGGAGTAGTCAAATCAACAGAAATGGAAGGTCAAATGCTGGTGGCCCGATGTTCAGGGAAGGGAATGAGGAGTTCATGTTTAAACTGTGACTAACAGAGTTTCAGTCTTGTGAAGGTAAAAAGTTCTAGAGGTGGCTGGTGGTGACAGTTGCACAACAATGCATTTAATGCCAATGAACGGTTCATTTAAAAATGGTCAACATGCCGGTTTTGAAACTTTAAGTTACACATATTTTGGCACAATAAAAAGTTAAGGGAGTCACAAGATCACCTCCCCACAGAGCAGCTCTGGTGGCAGCAGGGGCCCTGATGCTGGCTCCCACCTGCAGTGCTTGATGTAGTCAATGTTGGTGAAACGGAGTTTGCCCAGACTCTCCTCCAAGTACTGCCGGAAGCCGCGCAGGGACACCTGGATGACATCCACATAGCTAAGCAGCTCCCGGTGCAGTGTGCTGTTGAGAATGGCCAGCCTGCGGGGACAGAGAAGGGGCAGGTGGAGACGGGTGACCAGCCTGGGAGACGTGGTGATGTCCTGGGCTTGGGTGGGCACCCTGGGATGCTGCTCCAGCTCCACCCAGCGCCCAGCTGTGGAGCCACCAAACCACGCCCAGCTTCTCTGATTCACAAAGGGGCGCTAGGAAGGATTCCAAAATGCCCCATGTATGCAGGACACGGCGTGTCACTCTGGGGAGCACAGGGCTTTCCCTTCTTCCCTCTGACCTCTGTCAGCAAACCGGTCAAAGAATCCCAGCCCTACCAGTCCAGCGACTCTCTGACCTGATCCATCACGGCTCCCTGATGGCTCCCCTACTCCACGCTCTCTCAAAAGACCAACCTGCCGGTGTCCTCTTTATAAAAACCACCAGAACTCACTGTCCTTTGACAGCTTAGACACCTGCCAAGGTCCTTCCTGTGATCTGACTGAGGCCACCATCTCACATCCCCGAGTGGTCTTCCTGGAGCCCCTTGCTCTGCCCTGACCGTAGCCCTACTTCTGGCCAATGCTGCTTTTCTGGAGAACTCAGCCCTTCCCCCCTTTTTCCATCCTAAGTCAGGATGCCTCCTGCAGGGATTCCTTCCTGACTCTCTCACAGGGTAATGGTCTTTCCTGCCATTGACATTTCAGGGCACGTGTCGGCACCTGGCATGCTACTGTGTGTATGAGCCTTTCCTGTCCCTGGCTGCTCACTGCCACCACCACCCGATGATACCCAGAGTTCAACTCTGAATATTAGGAGGAGATCAGCTCAGAAGCAGGACCCTGAGTGCCTCCTGCTCCCTTTCAAGCAGCAGCCCGGCTGGGCTTCTAGAGCCAGGCAGCTGGGAGGGAGAATCACAGCTCCTTACTTTTGGCTTTTGGTGGCATTCAAAAAGATGTACTCCATGTCGTAGATCTTGCGGCGGAAGTTTTTGCTCCGCATGTTTAGCTCTTCTTGGAACTGGCAGAACATCAGCCTCTCCTTCTTCAGCGTCTCTGTCACTCCAGCACAGTGTCTGTCCAACCGCTCTTGGTGAAGCAAGAGCTCAGCTGCAAGAGGATGAGGAGATGAGGATGAGGATGGGGTCCTCTGGGACCAGAGCCACCTCTGCGCTTTCCTTTCGTGGAGCAGTGTCCACAGGCTGCCTCTCCCAGGGCAATCTAGGCCCCTTGCCCTGCCACAGTTGCCCTCACCAGGGTTCAGGCTGGAAATGGGCACTGATCGGGAGATCTCACTGGAGAGGAGGCTCTGCTGGGCCAGGAAGCGGGAGCTCCCGGCTGCAGGGGAACAAGGCTGGGAGATGGAGGATCTTGAGGATCATCCTGGTAACAGGGGGATAGAGGGCTGTTCTAGGTGAGTGAGTCTGCAGGGAACACAATACAAAGCCAGGCAGTCTGGGTTTGTTCCTTGACATCAGTGGATACTCAAGTCCAGTGATCCAAATTCAAACTGGCTTCCAAGGTGGAGTAGGAAGAACTTGGACTGGACTTTCACTCCTCTGGGTAGCAGGGTTTGGAAGGTATTGGGTCAGGGATCTCTGCTAGCTCTGAAGGGCTATAGTGAACCTTGGAATATGATTCAAGTGAAAAACCAACAGGGTTCACTGAAGGATCCTACTAGAATTGTGTATCCCCATTAAAAAAGTCCACCACATAAGAAAGAACTGGCATTTCTTTTTAAGTATGTTAAATGATAAGGGGGAAAGAAGGGCCACCACATTTCGGAGGCTGTGTCTTGTACCAAGTGCTTACAACTCCTCACTATACCATTTTAGGAGGCTTAATTACCACCTCCAACACTCTTTTCTGCAGATGAGGGATAAGACAGACAGGTCAAGTAACCTGGCCAGAGTCACACAGCCAAAGGAAATTGACCCTAAGAATTCTAATTCCTAAGCTATGGACTTGTCTCTAGAACATTCACCATGCAGGTATGTAACTGATCTGAAATCCAAGAGCTATAACAGAACAACACTCTTCATTTTAGCCTCTAATACCCTTTGGAAGGAAGGAAGGAAGGAAGAAAGAAATAGATCATAAAAAAATCTTGAGGGGCTGGGGGAGCAGCTCAGTGGTAGAATGCTTGCCCAGGGCACATAGGCCCTGGGTTGTGTCCCCCCAAATGAGAAAAAATCAACCTGATGGGGGATTCTGAGCACCCCCTTTCTTTTCAAGCCTGGGAGGTCCATGGTCCCATGCATGTCTTCCCTGATGTGAGGAATCATACTAAGTGTTACTTGGGGCAAAGTGGGACAGTTAACAAACCCGGGGCCACAGGAAAGCAGACACTCTAGAGGGGTCTGGGGACAGTTCACACCTGCCCTGACATTATGGATGTCCTTCTCAATGTGCTGGAGTCTTGGCTGGTGCAGGTGCAGTTGTAGCTCCAGCTCCGAATCTAACTCATCAATCTTGGAGGCTACGATGACCCGGGCATTGAGGGCACATTGGTCAAACCACTTCTCTAGGTGTTCAAAGAAGCCAATTCGAAGTCTGAGGGAGCAAACAGCAAGGTCAGCCCTCCCAGCAATCATGACCAGTAAGAGACCTTTCCATTTGGAGACCCAATGCTGCCCCTCATTTTATTTCCCAACTACCTCCTATCTCATTGCATGGAGGGACCATCATTTACTTAGTTGCTGGAGGACTTCAGATAGTTTCAAACCTTTCGTTCTTATCAGAACACTGTGACGAATAACCTTGTACATATGTCAAGTGAAGAGGCAACTCTGTAGGATATTCCCTGAACTAGAATTGCTGGATCAGAGATTAAAATACATTTGTGGTTCTGGTAGCTATGGCTGAATTGTATTTCCACCAGCAAGAAATAATAGTTCATGTTTCTCCACAGCCTCAGTGTGTATTGTCAAAATTCTGAATTTGACAATTTTGTCATAGTTTGATTGAGACTGAGCACATGTCCATGCGTTTGATGACATCATTTATTTTTCTGTATGATATCCTTTCATATCTTTTGCTCATTTCTCTATTATGTAGCTGTTCTTTATTTAAAAAAATAATAATTTCTGGGTGAGGCCAGTTCACTGTGATGTGAATTACAAATATTGTTTCTCAGTTTATCATTTTTTCTTTAAAAAATGTACTATGTTTTTTCGAACACATACCATTAAGATACCAGTTCTCCCAAAATTTATCTGCTGATTCAATGCAATAGCAAGAAAAAAAATCTCGGCAGGTATCTTCTTATGGAAACGGATGAGCTGATTCTAAAATTTATATAAAAATAGAAGGGCCAAGAATTGTGAAGACAACCTTGGAGCAGAACGAAGTTGGAGGACTTAAGCTACCAGATATTAAGACCTCGTATAAAGCTATAGTAATCGGGCAGTTTGGGAGTCATTGTGGAAAGACAGACACAGAGAAATAGAAAAGAGGCATGGTGGACAGTAGGGGAGAGCACAGTCTCTCTGTGAAGGACCCGGGTCAACTGGTTCTCCATAGGGGAAAGAAAAGAATTTCCACTCCTGCACCATAAAAAGATCAGTTCCCAGAGCCTTTAGATCTAAATATGGAAGTTTAAAATAATAACATCTCTAGTTTATAACATTGGAGAATCTTTTCATGACCTTGGGGCAAGCAAAGATCTCACATAGAGGACCAAGGTAAACTAATAAAAAATTAATAAATTGGATTTTATTTAAGATAAGAATTTCTGTTCACCAAAAGATGCCTTTAGGGTCTAGAGTTGTGTCTTAGAGGTAGAGCGTTCACCTAGCATGTGCGAGGTCCTGAGTTCGATCCTCAGCACCACATAAAAATAAAATAAAGGTACTGTGTCCAACTACAACTAAAACAAAAATATTTTTTAAAAAACTACATCTTTAAAAACAGTAAGAAATTATATAAAAGGCAAATATAGAGATATCTAATAAACTCCCATAAATTAATAAGAAAAAGGACAGACAACCCATCACAAAGTATATAAACAAAAGATTTCATTAGGCATTTCACAAAAAAAATAATCAGATGGCCAACAAGTGTACGAAAAGGTGCATAACATCATGACTCACCAGGAAAATGCAAACTGAACCAACAATGAGACACCACTACAATTACGCCAGAAGGAATAAAATAAAAACCACTGGCAATATCAACTGTTGTTGAGGGTGTGCAGCAACTGGAACTCTCACATGTTGTTTGTTTAAAATTGTAAAACTGTTAGGACCACTTTCAAAAGCTCTTGATGGCAACCTTTGGGCCATGTCTCCTAAAGATGGACCTACACATACCCCATGACTCAGGACTTTTCTCTATGAGTTATATATGGAAATGTAGACACATGGTCACCAAAAAGACTTGAACGAGAATGTTCAGAGCAGCATTATTGGTATATCCTCAAATTGGAAAAGACCCAAATGTGCATCAGTAGACTGGATAAATAAAATGGATTAAAATGAATTGCATTTATAATGGGATACCACACAGAGATACAAAGTGGATTCTAGCCACATTCAAAGATATTATATGACTTTTATAAACATAATGAAAGAAGCCTGGCATTTAAAAAAATGAGTTCTGAATGATTTCACTTATGTAAAATTCCAAAGCAAGTAAAATGACCTCAGAAGTTAAAATATTTATCCTTGGGAAAGACAGAGCAGTGACTGGAAATGGGCCCATTTGATGGTGTCCTGGTGGGTTGGTAACAGTTCTGCTTCTGTGGGCTCTGGGTAACACATGTGCTGTCATTGGACAATTCATTAAATGCTACACTTATGACTGCCCAGTTTCAGATTTATTATTCTTCAATATGCAGATTCCATCAGTTGGACACAGAACTTTTTCCTAGTTACAAGGTCAAATGGTACAGTGGTTGGTGTCAGACTCTGGAATTAATAGGGTATAGATTCGTGTCTTGGATCTAACTGCTTTCTATCACGGAGATCGTGACTAAATGACTAACTTTTTATGAGCTTTAGTTTCTTCACCTGTAAAATGGAGTTCATTACGGTCCCTCTCTCCCAGTTGTTGAGGGAATTAAACATGCTCAGTAAATAATAGTTGTCGAGTGATCCTTGTTGATCTTTGTAGTATGGGCTCTGGAGAGGCAAGGCGAAGACCCGTGGTGGGCAAGAAGGATAACACTGGAGTCGAGACATTTTAGATATGAGGTGACCCTGAAGTACAGGAGAAAGAGCCCTGGGCCTGACTTTCCTCCTCCTGCTCCCAATCTCCAGCCTCTTGCCACCTGTGAATATGGGAGGTGGACCAGGCGGGGGACCGTGAGCTGATTAGTCCCGCCTATGACAGGGTAGGGGCGTGAGGGCAATGGAAGTACCATTCAAAAGCCAAAGGCAAATTTCCACTTTTGATTCATTAAATGATACACCTACGATTTTTGCCTTACTTTCAGATTTGTTGTTCTTCTAGTACAAAGGCCCAGAAACTTGGGACTTAGAAGAGGTCACTCCTCAGTGTGGGGGATTAGGGATCATTTCCTTATTCTTCATTGTTCTGTTTTCTGCCATGAGTTTGTCAAAGAATCAGCATAAAATACCATACATGATCTATTCATACCTATGGTTTATATCTATAGAATTAAAACAAAAGAAGATGTACCAGGAACTCAGCAGCATCTTTCAGGGAAAACTGTTTCTGTGTATGAGGGCCAGGCCCACAGAGCAGCTGGGAGGGGTTGGGGACCACGCTCACCTAGGAGGTCTGTGCCTGCAAATCATTTCTTGGACTTTCATCATATTTTATTGTGTTTTCCTCAGTTACCTACATTTAATTTTTTTTTCAGCTAAAGGTGATCTATTTTTTTATATTAACCTGTGAATAAATCTCTGAGCAAGAGAATGAGAATCAAAGAGTTTTGTACTCACTGTTTCTTAATTTCTAAAATCAGTGTGGACGGAACTATCATTCTTTCTGTGAACTCAGTGCGGAAAGTGTTGTCAAAGCGTGGGGTTGAGAAGGCGGAGTGGGGCCTCCTATAACCCTCCTCCTCTTCTTCTTCCAGGGATACGAAGACAAAATATTTGTTCCCACTGGAGGTTGTGAAGGACTCCAGGTCCTCGGAGGAGAACTCCTCCAGATAGTCTTCCTTGGCATCACCCTAAAGAGGCAACGAGACTTCAGAATCCACATCATCCAAGGGACTTAAGGGTGCCAATCACCTGACGTGCAAGATTGTACACCTTTGGGCCAAATATGTCTACAACTGCCTACCCTCCCGCCGCCCCCAATGTACACAGAATGCTTTTAAAAATGAGAAGTTCTACATAAAAATCTGGGTTCCTGATTTCTCTTCAAATATCAGGAAATAGGTCAGCTCTGAGCCCAAGCCCACCCAGCATCCCGGGGGGGGGGGCGGGGGAGCTATGACTGCTCTGGTTGTGCATACCGCCGGGGATGCTGGGTGGGCTTGGGCTCAGAGCTGACCTATTTCCTGATATTTGAAGAGAAATCAGGAAGGAGTGAGAAATCAGGAATCCAGAAGGGTGAGAAAGAGTGAACCGGCCAGGGTGAGCAGGAGGGGCTGAGTTCACCTGTACAGCTCAGAAGGGCAGAGAAAGACAGAAGCAAGGGAGGGAAGAAGAAAGCCAAGTTGAAGGGTGACTTCAGAGTGGGCTGCAGGGATGTAGGAGAGGAAGGTGAATTTTTAAAAATCATTGCTGTGATTGAAGAATTGAATTCCTGTTGACAACAATTAAAAGGAAAAAATACATACGTAGGGTTTTGTTTGGTTTTGTTTTAGTACTGGGAATTGAATCCAGTGGCGTTTTGCCAACTGAACCACATCCCCAGTCCCTTTTATTTTGTATTTTGAGACAGAATCTTGCTAAATTGCTGAGGCTGGCCTCAAACGTGCAATCAGCCTCAAACCTGCCTCAGCCTCCCAATTAGCTGGGATTACAAGTGTGCAACCCTGGGCCCAGCGCTTTATGTTTTTTGAAGGATTTATGTTTTTTGGGGATTGAACTCAGGGGCACTCGACCACTGAGCCACATTCCCAGCCCTATTTTGTATTTTATTTAGAGACAGGGTCTCACTGAGATGCTTAGCACCTTGCTTTGGCTAAAGCTGGCTTTGAACTTGAAATCCTCCTTCTTCAGCCTCTAGAGCTGCTGGGATTATAGGCTTGCACCACTGTGCCTGGCCCAGCACATATTTTTGTTTAGTTTTGTTTTAGTTTTATATATTCTCCCCACCTATTATTATTATTTATTATTATTGCATTATAGTTGTACAGCCCAGAACTTTTCTAGTTATTTACATGCACCTCTATGGAGACCAGGTCAGGGGGACCCCAGTCTATATGAGAGGTTCACCCAGAGTGAACTCAGCACAGTTTCTCCTTCCCAAGAAAGAACCAGCTGCTGGCCTACCTCACACACAGACAATCTCTCTTGTTCTTCCTTTGCCGCCTCCTCCGCTTTGTTCTCCTCCTCCTCTTTTCCCTTTGCCTCCTCTTCCTCGCTCTCCCCTGCTTCCTCTTCCTCCTCTTCCTCCTCTTCCTCCTCCTCCTCTTCTTGGGCCCCCACACTTTCCTGGTTCAGGGAGGGTTTTGAGGAGTTCTCCCTGTCAACCTTCATTTCTTCTAATCCTTGCGGAGAGTCCTCTCTGGACTCGTACATCTGGTCACCGGATGCAGATCTGTCCTGCTGGCTCAGCCCGCTCTCTTCTGTGGAGGACTCCCGGTCCTGACCTCTTTCTTCTTCCATCTCCTCTGCAGGCCTCATAGAAACTGGCCCTCTGCTTAGGCTCTCCTCACTTCTGTACATTTCCACTTGGGCCCTGTGTCTTTTCTTCGGTTTCTTCATTTTCTTCAGGAAGTACAGTTCGTGTTTTTCTGTTGATGTCCGACACCAAAGCACAAGGAGAGACGGGTCACCCAGTGTCGCTGGACTGGGTTTCCCAGCCCACAGGAGCACAGGGACTCAAAATGTAAAAGTGTTACCTGGTTTCCTGAACTTGAAAATGACTTCCCCAGCCAAGTTCTACAAGGAAAAAACGTGAGTCACTGAAGGAACAGCACTGCCTTTCTTCAGAGTGCCACTTCTAAGGGTGTCACTTTTCTTTCAAGTAAAAGCAATTCTTCTTTCCCCCTCCCCATCAAGGTTTGATGCAGGCCTTGACCAGCTCCATTCACTGGGGTAATGAGGGCGTTTCCAACCCAGGGAACAAGATTTCCCCCGATTTCATGCAGGCTAACAACCCTTTACAGCGCACATTGGGAAGTAATGAAATAAAAGCTCATTCTGACATATTTTGGTAGTGATCTAGAGAAAAGGGAAGAAAAATGTGAGCTGAAGGGTGCAAACAAGGGAGAAAGAATCTGCTCTGGGAGCTGAACGGAGACGGACAGAATAAGCCTGGTCTCCGTGGTCTGGGAGTCTCATTGTTAACCTACCATTTCCTGTTTCACAAACTCTGGGTGAAGCTGTGGACATGCTGTTTTATGGACGATGGTGTGAGCTGTGGAGTTTGCAGGTCTGGACTAGAATCCCAGCTCCTTACAAGCAGAGTGGCCTTGGTCAAGTGCCTTAAACCCTGTGGGCTCTGTGTCCTCTCCAGTGAAATGGGGATCATAATGGTGTCCACACCTTTACTCAGGCAACAGAACCATCTCAAAGGGCAGACAATGAACTTGCCCTCCTACAGGCTGAGCCTCCGCCTCAACCCAGGTGACGTGGGGAACATTTGTTAGCAATCTGAGCAGGGATCCATCCCTTCTGCAGAAGAGCCGGGTACCCCATACCTGTGGGAAACATTCAGCCAAGTTTAGCTTCACTCTGACCAGGAAGGACTCTGGCTGGAGATGGGGCGGGGAGCCACTCTGGAGTATTCAAAACAACCCCTCCCAGGGCTGTATGAGCTTACCCGCAGCATTTACTGTGCCTAAATTATGTGCAAGACCCAGGGCTAAGGGGAAATCAGAGTTGAATAAAACACACCCTTCAGGAAACACATTCTGATTGGGTGTTCTGGACTCTTGGATTCAATAGTAACTAAGAATAAATGAATTCAGAGAAGAAGTGGCAGTGCAGGAGGAAGGAGAGACAGAGTTCGGTTGAGAGCAGGTAGGATCCTTGCCCTGGTAGTGAACTGGGAGTATGGGATGGGTTTTGGACCCAAGAGACAGAAAATCCCAGCACAGGGAGCAGGAAGAGAGAGGGCTGTGAGCGGGGAGCCAGTAGGATTCAGGGCGGAAGGTGGAGAGGGTGTCCCTGGTCACCTAGGAATAGTAAGCTGGGTCTGCAGAGTTGGTGAGGTCAGCGTGAGTAGGTTGGGACTACCATATAAATTAGCCTTTTCTTTGTAAGTCCATGCAACCCAGGAGCCTGTCCACCTCTTTTAAACTCAGAAAGAGATGGTCCCTGTAGAGACGCCTTCCGCCTCTCTCTCTTTGCCGTCCAGACATGGATTTGCACTCTGCAGTGTTAGGCATGACTTCCAAAGATTGGGAAGTCCAGACTGAGAGGCTTCCTCTCCCCTTTGCTTCTTCATGAGAGGCCAGGGGTATCGTTTCCCTCTCCATACCTGCTCAAAGATTTCACGAACAAAGAAATGTTGGCTGAGGGTGGAGCTGTAGGAGTTGAGTTCTTTCAGTACGACCACTGGATACTCCATCACTTCCTTGGTCAGGATGCCATGAAAACACTCATACCTGGGAGGGAGGGAGGGAGGAAGGTGAGACCACAGTCTAAGGGGAGCTCGGCTGATCCCAGCCAGGAGCCATGCCCTTGACCCCAACAAGGTGGGCGGTGATCTGGCAATTAGCTCTGCACAGAGCTGTTATGTGTGCGGGGATCCCTTTCACAGAAACAGTCCTTGATTTGTTTTACTATGTTTCTGATCATAAGGGGAAGGAATACATGCTCTTTGTAGAAAAATATAGAAAATAAATGAGTTTTCTGCTTGTCAAGTGGATCCCCTTTTCTTGTCCACTGTCTTCTCTCTGACCTCAGACTTGACCTACATTATCCCACCAAGTCCTCAAACATTCCAAGGCCCAGCATTTTATGTTTCTCAGGTAAGGAGACCAAAGCTCAGCAGGGACTGACTTGCCCAAAGTTATACTTCTGGATCTAAGTACTGAAATCAACTGGAGTGCAATTTCATTTATGTGAATAGTCCTTACACAGAATTAGTTGTACAAAAGCACAAAGATATAAGGAAGTTCACAAAAACTGCTGGTAATACTGTACTGACAAACCAGAACCAACTGAAAAGAGCTAATCAATCGTGAGATGGTAAAATCATTACAAAGTACCAGTAGTGATAAGTTCTTTTTTTTTAACTTTTTTTTAAAGAGAGAGAGAGAGAGAGAGAGAGAGAGAGAGAGAGAGAGAATTTTTAATATTTATTTTTTAGTTTTTTGGCAAACACAACGTGTTGTTTGTATGTGGTGCGGAGGATCGAACCCGGGCCACACGCATGCCAGGCGAGAGCACTACCGCTTGAGCCACACCCCCAGCCCAGTAATAAGTTCTTTGTGGTCATTTAAAAATTGAAATTTATCTGCAACTATACAACAATTTACATAATATAATCCATTCTTTATTTTAAAAATGTGTCTGTATCCACATATATGTCCATTAAAAGGAAAAGTTGGGCAGGAATGAGGGAGAAATCCGTATGTTTGTAGTCGTTGACTTCTTTTCCCTTTCACAAAGAGCATGCATGTTTAAATTTTTAAAAAAGGGGCCCAAGGTCTTGACTTTAAACTGCATTGCCTTGAAACTTCTCTCCACAAACTTTCCAAGACTCTCCCTAGAAGCTTCTGTATTGGCTTCAAGCAGAGCTACAAAGGACTATGATGATCTCCAATGCTGGAGCCACAGGATTGAACCCAGGGGCGCTTAATCACTGAGCCACATCCCCAGCCTTTTCATTACTTTGTATTTTGAGACAGGGTCTCACCAAGTTGCTTAGGGCCTGGCTAAGTTGCTGAGGCTGGCTTTGAACTTGCCATCCTCCTGCCTCAGCCTCCTGAGCTGCTGGGATGATAGGCACGCATCACCATGGCCTGGCATACGACTATAATTTTTATCTTAAACTTGCTGGGCACACCTAGCCTCCTGTTCAGGCTGCCTGTGACCTGAATGTGAATCCAAGCCATCCCCACCTGTCTTCTGGATTCTGGTCAACCTACCTCGATTTCATGCTCTTCAGAAAAGTTTTGGCCTTTTCCAGGTATAACTTCAAGGCTTCTTCATGGTTTTGCTGTCTCAGTTGGTCCAAGAGCTTATCAAGGTTGGCCTCCTGGGCCTGGCAGCCTCCCCAAAACAAGAGGAAGCAAATATGAGTTCCCAGAGTGTAAGTGACATCCAGAACTCCTGCCCCTGGAACTGAGGTCTAGGCAGCTGGGGAAGGCCAGGACTTCTTGTCCACAAAAGGGGAACCGGATCTATTACTGCTCTGTCTCTCTGCTATAGACTTCTGGCCTCCCCTCTGTGCCTGAAATGTTCTTGCCCATTTTATTTCCCCTAAGACCCAGTTCAGGTGGGACTCTTCAGGAACATGTCCCTCACCCCCACCCAGTGTGGTCAGGTCTGGGCTACACATTCCCAAGTGCCTTCTCCTCCCTCTTTTTGTCATCATATTCAAGATCACTTGCTGATTCTGTCCCCCAACCCCTGCACTCCACCACCTCCTAGACTGTGAGGGCAGTGGGGGTAGGGACCAACTGATCTGTGGGGGTCAGAGAGACTGTCAGACACACATACTTCATTCCCATGTAATAGAGCCTGGAAATGATACCTAACATGTACATAATTTGCTATGTGAATTGTGGGAGGCTGTCGCACTATGTGACCAGCATTTTCCTTCCCTGATCAGTTGAGACTCTGTCCGTCTCTTCCCGTGATCTGGCCACATCAAAGTGGCCCTAGATGGCAGCCCTGATCTTGGAAGTCACAAAATGTCACAAAATGTGTCTTCATGCGTAGGCGTGCCTTCCTGCAGCTCCATGGGTAGAGCTATGCTCACCTGTTCCTTTGTGGTATTACCCCCTTGCCCTGTTTGGAATAGAATGTTCCATGGAAATGCCCTTTGTGTGTCCCCTTCTCTTGCTCTGCCTTTGGGTGTGGCCTTCCTAGATGTCAGTCAACCTGCTGACAGCAGACATCATGAAGCTAGACTCAGCCCTTTGAAACCTGACCCCTTGCCTCATTTGAATGGCTTCTCCTCAATAAAAGGGGTCAGCACATGCGCGGGCTTGGCTTCTCCTCAATAAAAGGGGTCAGCACATGCGCGGGCTCTCTCTCTTTCTGAAGACCCTTAAGGTCAGAGGAGCCATCACAGGACTCCCAAAGGAAAAGGTATCTCTGTCTCTTGTGTGGCTGTTTTGCATGACCCAGTTCCCCTGGAGTGACCCTGAGTGTTTCTGTCACCGGGAATGCAACAGTGAATGATATATATTTTGCTGTATTTTGCCCCAGTGAGAGGATGTGAGGTCTTATCAGACACCATGTATGAGAATTGGAGCCCTCCCCACCCCTCAGGAAAGTTAACATCACACCTTATCAGACTGTGTATGTAAGTTGCTGACCTCAACTATTGGACTACAAAATGCACATAACCCAAGAGTTGGGCTGCATTGTGAGCACTCAGGCTGCATAGGCCTTGAAGCTTTGAAACCACCATCTCGGCTGTGTTGGTGTCAAGCAAGTTTCTCCCAAGAAACCCCTTGGAGAACCTTCAACTAGACTTTACTTCCCTCAGAGGCCTGCTTCCACTGACTTGGGCAACTAGATGTTAATAATTTTGGAACTCACAAAGTAGTGAATGAACCTGGTCTATTGTGTGTATTCACACAATGGTTTCTCCACATTATTCTCCTCCTCTTCAAACACTGTGAGCAGACAAAAATATCTTTGTATAACAGTAAACTGTGATTTATGAAATCATATTTTAATCATTGCCTTATTTTAGTCATCCAGAGAGTATTCCTGATTCTACGTGTCTGTCTCTCCCTTGCACACTCTCTTACAGACAGGCTTGGTTCTGAAGACCCATCACACAACTGCAACCTTGTTCCTCCCATCTAGTCCTAGGATCCAGGTAAGCCTCAATTTCCCCATCCACATCCATTTTACAACTTAAGGGTTTGCATTTGGGTCTAGGATCTGTTTTGAGTTCATTTTTGTTTGTGGTGGGTTTTTCTTTTCTTTTTTTGCATCTTAATGCTGACTGAGTTTACTGGCCTGGCCTGGGGCAGTGTGGCCCATTCCTCATTCCCATTGGAGGTTACCCGGGCTTGGGGGCACCTGGTTTTCCAGGCTGTGCTTCTCCCGATACTGCTCCATATTCTTCTCAAGTTCCAGCTCCTGCTCTGACAGCATATTCTGGTGCATCTCCCATAGCTGCACAGCCTCGTGGAAATACCTGAAGAGGTCTGAGCTCTGCCACTCAGTCTGCTTGGCCAGGGCCTCGAAGGATTTCTGCAGGGAAAGAACCCAGAAAAGGTGCCTTACGGGTTGACTAGCCCAGGACCAGAAAGAGGCCTGTCCATGAAGCTCCATGTCTCCAAGGACTGGATATCACTGTCTGGGTACCATCCTTCAAGTTTGACATCTGGGTCACATCTGAGTTCTGGTACCTCCCTCCTGCCATACCCATCTGGGCCTGGGCACCTCTGTTCTCATCTGCACTGAACACCATACCTGCTGCTCAACCCCCATGCACCACCACCAACAACCCCACTTTAAAAATAATATTCATGTCTTATGTACCCATCCAGGTTACAGATTGGCAAATTATTTTCTGCATGCTGAGTGTGACCCTCCATCTATTTTGTTTGGACCTGTGAACTAAGCACAGATTTTCCAGTTTTAAATGGTTGAAAAAGTTCAAAAGAAATGAAAACAAAAGAAAAAATGATGTGAGAATTTTAAGAAATTCAAATCCCAGTGTCCATCAATAAAGTTTTTAGAACACTGCCATGCTCATTCGTGTCTGTATTGTCATGTCTGTAGTGTACCTCTTGGGGCTATGGAGCTACAAGCTGTGACACAGACCCGATGGCCTGCAAAGCCTAAGATAGGCACCATCTGGTTCTTCACAAAAAAAAAAAAAAAATGTGCTGACCTCGGCTCAACACTGTCAGTGTCTTGGGGCTGGGAATGTCTTACTCCTCCACAGTCCCCAGCACCCCGGGTCAGCAAGGGCTCAGGTGCACTCATGGCCTGAGATCATTTCCTGGAGTCTATGCAGCACCCATGTCAGGGGCAGCTGTGAGGGGCCAGGGGATACTTCTGGAGTGGCCAGTGGAGGAGGTCTGCTATGAGAAAGACTGGGGAGGGCAAGGGAGTGGACATGTATAGGGACGAAAGAGAGGCTGTCCTTGCTAAAAGCAGTGACACTTAGGCCCACAGATGTTCAATGGGTAACTAAAAGCAGGATAAAGCTTGGCATCTCTGTCTTCATTTTGCATCTCTCTCCTATATTAACTTCAACTTTGTGACCTGCTCAGCTCTGCATGTAGGTGCATTAGTCATTAAGGAATATTCATCTAAAAACTGGTAATACAAGTTTATTAGCCCTAAACTTACCTAACTTATTTTGTCCCATTCAAGATTTGCAGGGACATTTACAGCATCCTGATCCAGACCCCTGGAGTGGTGCCTAGAATCCTTCCATCACTGCCCTACACCTTCCAGGGCCACTAGAGCCTTGCAGACACATCACCCTACCCTGAGACTGCCCGCCTTGGCAGGAGCACCCATCTCATGGGAACCCAATTGTCCTTTCTAGGATCACTGGTCTGATCAATAAACATCTTGAGCAGCAAATGGAGACTGTCCCCTCAAGTGATAAGGACCTCTCCAGAGCCACCTTACAGAACCAGAACTGAGATAATGATCAGTCAGACCATAGTCTGACCTGACTGTTTAATTATGCATTACCTCTCATCCCCGCCAATTCTTTCTGTTTAAACCTGAAGCTCATGTCAGCACCCAGAAGACAAAACCGAGACACTCGATCTCACTTTGTCTTTCCAATGGGGCCATATTGATTAAAATTTCTTTCCTGCTTTTCACTGTTACCAGTTTTGCTTGTTTTAGCGGGCAAGTGGCAGGACCTGGATGATTGGAACCCCTGAGTCTGGCCTCTGGCCTATGACTTCTATAACAGACATAGCAGGGACACACAGTTGGAAGTCCCCAGATTTCTACTCTCCTTACAGCCTGGTGCCCCAGGGTAACACTCCCCACCTCCCCGTCCCTGTGAGCCACGCACATCCAGGAGCTCCAGCTTCCCCTCCACCTTGCTCTGGAGCTCTCCCACCATCTGGAAGAAGGTCGGGTTCACCAGGCTCTCCGCCTCTTCCTCAGTGAAGGACTTGCAGTCCAGCAGCTGCTTCTGGAGTGAGGGAGATCAAGGTGAGCCTGGCTTAGCGCCGCAGGCCCCCCAGGCAGAACTGCATCCTACAGGGGCCCCATGGGCTGCAAATCAGACGTGGGCTCCCTCTGTTGGGTGACAGAGAAAAACTGTCAGAGGTGCAAAGGGGGCAGCAGGTAGGGTCCTCAGGGCTTGGGTGCTCTACAAAATAACTAGGCTTTTTTTTTCACCTAAACTTACCAAGGAGGGAAGATGGGGATTTTTGTTGTTGTTGTTGTTTCTTATCCAATGATTACTATTTAGATTATTTAAAGAATTTAAACATGGAAATTCCAAGGAGAAATAATCAAGAACAGTTCTTCTCACAATAGAACGTATGTTTTCAAATTCTTTTAGGTATTGGTTTCCTGGAGTTGTTGGCATCGAAATGCAAACTTCAATGCCATTGTTCTTTTTTATTATCTGATTCTAGTTTAAACTTCTTTCTTTCTCCTCTGCTTGGAATAAATTCTGTTGCATAAAAGGATACTCAAAAAGGGGATATTTTTGCGAAATATTTCCCCTACCTCAGAAAACCAGTCACTGGCCTGAAGAGATTAGGGAGTGAACTCACTGTCTCACCTTGTCGTGAAGTATGCGTGGCCTGGGAAAAAGACGGGGCAGCACCCTCTTATGAAAGGGACATTGCAATAACCCGCAAGGTGCAACCTCCAATAATGAACAGATCTTGTGCTACTAGGGACGCGGTCGAGGGTAAAGCAGGAGGTGGCCTGAAAGTTCACAACTCCAGCTTACATGGGCTTCCTGGAGAAGATGGCACCAAGCTAAGCCCTAAGGGATGGCAGGGGCAGGTGGGGAGTTCAGGCAGAGGGAACAGCATCAGAATGCTCAGAGGTGAGTGGGTACCTGGGACTGGGAGGAAGGAACAAGAGCCTAGATCAAGGCTGAAGGGTGTGGGGGAGGGGTGAGAAGGCTAAGGAGGGACACATCAGGCCCCAGCATCAGCACATGTAGTTCCTCTTCCCAGGTCTGCAGAAAGAGGTGCCCACCTTGCATTTCTGCACACAGGCCAGGCACTCCTGCCAGCTCTTCTCGTACAGCAAGCGGATCCGCATCATGCAGTCCATGTGGTAGTTGTCTCCACGTGCAGAAAACAAAATAGGTCAGTCATTCTTCCAGAAGGAAGAGGGAAATGAAAAGAGTCCCCTCTGCACAGGAGGCAGCTCCCTGCAGCAAAGGCCTCCTCTGTAAAGCTGATTTAGGTGCAGATTGGCAGGTGGTCCCAATTCAGATTAGGGGCTGCTATCTCTGTCCTCACAGAGTTCCTAGGATAAGAACCTCACATAAGGAGCTCATGTCTATGTGTTCTGAATGCATGTGACCGAGAGAGTCCTTCTCTATCACTGGAGGACAATGACACCACTGACCTCACTGGGCTGCTGTGAGCCTCAAAGGAAATGGTCAAATTATTATAGATCATCTACAGTGAGGTTTGACAAACTTTTTCCACAAATGACTAGAGAGTAAATAGTTTTATTGCTGCCGTTCTGAGGTTTCTGCTGTCACGGCACAAAAGCAGTCAGACACAGCAAGCTGACCAAAGAACATGACTGTGTCCCAGTGAAACTTATTAGGAAACAGGCAGCCCGCCCTTGGCTGTAGTGTGGTGATCCTTGTTCTAGAACATTTTAGAACATTCCCTTTATGACTGAGTACCCTCTGGGTCTGCCAGGAACCCAATCTCGACTGGATGTCAGCCCCAGTAGGGAAGGGCCATTATTATTCCTCTTAAAATTCCCATTTTACAGAGGAGGACCGTGAGGACACAGGAGGCCTGGACTTCCTGAAGGTCACACAGTTGGGATGGAGCAGTGCTGGCTGTTAGCCTCGCTTTCTAATGCAAGCCCTCACACTCCCAGGTGCTGCTGTCAAAGGTGATCATGGGAGCTATCTCTAGTCTCCATGTTTGGATCAGAGGCCAGGGGTCAGTGTGGCGCATGGAGGCTGTGGGCGGGGCAGTGAGTCCAGAAGGTCCTGGGAGGGGTGGAGGGGGCTTTCTGGTCATCAGAGTGCACTATTCCCTTCCCTCCTTCCCAGGATGGAGGTGCCACCCACTTCCTCTCAGATTAATGACTTACTGGTAGAGCTACGACAAAGCCACTAGTTTGAACAGAGTAAAAAGCCACTAGTTGAAGAGAGTTCCGGAGAGATCTGAGAGATTCCTACAAACTTCACTCACCGAGTTCCTGGTTCAGGGCATTGAGAGAAGAATGCCACTCAGTCAGCTGAGCCATGTTGTAATTGGGGGGCAGGAGGTTACTGGGGAGGGAAGGTAGGACAAGTCAGCCCTGCACACTAAAAGGCTTTCTGCCACAATGGGTAGTGTCTTTGAAAGATGTATTATCAACTGAATACCGAAGGGACAAAGGACCTGCTGGGGACTTCCTGGTACCCAAAACCTAACTTACACAAAGGTCTTTCAATGTTAATATGAGTTTCTTTCTTAGAAAATGAAGTTGAATTTTCCCAGTGAGGGAAAAAAAAAAAAAAAACAACAACTGTTCACATGACTTGACCAAGGAAGCCTGCCTCTAGGAACCGAATGTGGGTTAACAATATAAAAACCTACAAGGTTTATGCATTAAGATTAAGCCTTAAGTTTTGCATCAATTAAAAACATGTAGTACCTATTAAAACCTATAATAATGATTTTTCTAAAAAATCTTCATACTCAACAGTAGGAAACCATCTTAAAAAACTGTGAATCCTCCTGTAAAGTCTAAAGCCAATGTGGCAGATTGAACCCCCCTCCCCCCACCACCATGTTGTTGGCTCCTCCCCTTGGGAGGTGGAGCCTCCTTCTGCAGCCCTGGAATCTGGGCCTGTCTGGATTGGCTTTGGCTAATGGGATGGTCAGCAAACAGAACAGGAAGAGGCTGAGGAAGAGCTGTACCCCTCTTTGCCCTCTGTTGCTGTGGTGACAACTTTAGGGGAAACTTGGTGAGTAAGGATTAGAAATCCTGTGCGCTGCTGTCATTGTAACTTTTCTGTTAAGCTAACATGACTCCAAAATACAAATTTTATTTTTTTGAATGATTATTTCTAAATAATATGCACATGTATTTTATTGGGGCCAAGAAAATCCATGGGGCTCCCCCTAGGCCTTTGGATAACTCCCTCTAGAGACCCTGGAGAATCTCAGCTAGATGTCCCCCGCTCTGTCATCAGGGCCACATGCCTCCCCCAGGGCTGTGTGTGCAGCGGTGAGGACCACCCCACCCCAGGCTATGGGGAACTCTGGAGGAAGGGCCTGCAGCTATGGGTTGGGATGGGGTTTGGGACTCTCCATGCTGCCTACAAGGCAGTTCCTTGGGACAACTTCTGTAGGGGGCACAGGGGTCATCTACAGTTTACTTTCAAGTCCCCCGTGCACAGATGGACCACAAACCAAGCCTTCCCTGCTGATGTTCACTGAGATTCTGTGATAAAGGCTTTGCCACTTTCTTTAGACTTGTGTGCTCAAGCCTGGCATTCGCTGTTCACACTTCTGGACACTTGAATCATGCCCTGACCTCACTTGTCTATGTACCCTCACTGTGAAGGACCCACTTGGTCCTGCCACCACCCACACTGCATCTGATTTACAGAGTTGCCCCTACTCCTTGCAGGTGAGGTCAAACGGCCCAGTTCCACCTGCAGACATGGCCGTTACACAGTGCCCCTGAGCTGCAGCCCGGAGTGTCCACGGATGCTTCTTCCCCCTTGTGTTGGGCCCCATCTCTGCCCTCCAGACAGGTAGCCAGACAGCCCCACAATTGCAGCCTGTGGGAGAGGTTTGGCAGGTCTGAGGGGGAAGCAGCCTGGAAATCCCCCTGGATTTTGTTTTTGAATGCCTAAGTTCTTAGGAGAGCCCACACATGGGACAAATGTTTGAGGGGTGTGAGCCTGGGGGACAAGGATTGTGCTGGGAACCAGCTGTCTTCTCCACTCAACAGAAAAGGGTGGGGGCAAGTGCAGGCACAGCAGGGCTGAAGGGTGCCTGGCAATGGCAACCTGGTGGCAATGTGGGGACAGCCTCAAGACCCAAGGCCCTGGAGAGAAAAGCTGCCCGAGCATGAGGGCTCAGGAAACAGCAAAATCCAACTGTCTGGAGGCAGGAGGGGCCCAGCAGCATCTGGGTGGATCTGGGCCGAGGACCATTCATCCCAACACTAGCCCTGGAACTGCACGAGATTCTAGAATTCAAGGGATGGGACCCCAAACCAAGTTTTCCCTAACTTAAAGAACCAGGGCTCAGAATCAGAACTACGTTAAATTATAGGAAACAACACAATCACTTTTGCTGCCTCTGGGATTTGTATCCACCTTATCGACTTTATACCTGGATCAAAATGTAGCTGCACGTGGGGCAGGAGCCATCTTCCTGGAGGAAATCCTCTGGCTCAAGCCCAGTGCAGTCCTAAAGTCATTTACTTCCTAGGAAACTTAGGAGCTCGGGAGAGGAGACTAGAAGAACTTGTGTTCCATGACTACCAGAGCAGGAGGGATGACTGAAGAGCCCAGGAGCGGGGGAACCTTTTCCCCACATCAAAGTCTCCACTCTGCAGGACCCTGCAAGTTCCATCTTGCTTCTGATGGCAGAGGCTACAGACTCCCTGGATAGTGGGCTTCTAGGATCTAGAACATTCAGTGGGCTGAACAGCTTTATTATTGGATCAGAGTTGGTGGATCCACATCTGGAGGGAGTGTCCACAGCCTCTAATGGGTCCCTATCTGATGGCTGTAGTCTCCTCACTGACTTCCAGGGCCTCCAGTGTAAGACTCTTCTGACCCAGGATTCCAAACTGCCTCAGGTCAAGGTCCAACCAATTACCCTGGCTCCCCAGGCCTGCATGCCCTGCTCCTCCCTCACTCCTGGACACTGCCTCGCGTCAAGCTCTTTGGCATGGCCACCCAGAGCTGCTTTCTGCAGCAAATGAGCTGTGTTCACTCTTGCCATGAGTCTGAGTATCCAGCGCCAGTACCAGAGAACCAGGAAATGGCCTGTTCTGGAGGACCTGCAGGGGACAGGCTAAGGACATACTATCTCCCCACAGGACACCTAAAGGTGCCTTTCCAAGTGACCCCTCCCTCCAGGCTCTACCAGATGGTGCAGAGGTGCTTCAGCCGCTTTTGCTGCAGGACCTCCTGGGCGGTCAGCATTTCCTCCAGCTCTTTCTTCACCACCGGAGGAGACTGGATATCCTCACTGGCCATGAACTCTCTGGGCAGCCAGACAGGTTGGCACCATGGAGAGGAGAGAGAGGAGGGGAGGCCAGGAGTGAGAAGGGAAGAGACTCATGGCAAGAACACTCAGAGCCCAGCACCCTGCCCTTCTCTGCCCACCTCAGCCTCCCCTCTGGGACACTGAGGAGTGGAGGAAGTCAGTGGGAGGAGAAAGGTGGGCAGGGATGCCACTGAAGTTCTGCCACCAACAGCATAGGATCAACAAGCTTGTCTGTTGGGAATCCTGACTGCTGCCGCCTGCTCTGTGACCTTGGGCAAGTCCCTGCCCATCTCTGTCCCAAGCCCAGTATCCCAAGTTATGAATAATAAGGAAAATTGGGAAGTGTACAGAAATCGGGCGAATGTTTTCCAACAATTCGTGCTGAGCTCAGAAAATGCTCGCAAAATAATGTTCACAAGAAAGTAAGCTCTAAAGCTGCGTATGCTACATGGGTCTAAAAATGTCTGGGAGAAACCGTGCCCAGGTATGAGCTGTGCTCCTCACTGTGGGGCGGGATCTTTACTCTTAACTTTTTGAGAAGCACTTCTAAACAATGACGAAATGGGCGGGAGCTGCCGCCAGCCTGTGGGCCCCTGTGAACTGGGGAAGAACAGCGGGCAGCGCTGGCATCGCCAACCTGAAGCTCTCCATCAGGGTCTCCTTCTTGAGAGCCTTCCAGGTGTCCACTAGGCACTGCCAGCGGTAGCGACTGTCAAGCTCCTTCTGTAGGGTGGCCTCCATCAGGTTCAGGGACAGTTGGGCGATGGCCCTCTGGTTGCCCAGCAGGGCATAGTTCATGACCTGTGGTCACAGGCAGGCAAGGCAAGGGTGGGATGGAACCCTTCAGGTCAGAGCAAGTCTCAGTTAAAGGGACAGGGAGAGGTGGGAGGGGACTGGGGAGGTGCAGGCCAGGCCTGAATGGGGTAGGGCGGGTCTGAGTACCACCAAGGTGTCAGCAGGCAAGGAAGCAGCCACAGACAGTGACAGGGATCTTCCTTGAAGCCTTAACCATGAACTTCAACCCAGCTTTCAGAACACATTGGGTTGGTTGTTAAAGAAGGTGGAAGGAGTGGGTGCTCTAGTGGGCTGTAAATGGTCACTGCTTTTTACAAATTTGTTCCAAAAGCAGAGTGCTCTTGCCATCAGGAACAAGCCATGTGTGGCTGCTTTGAGAACAGGGACCCACTGAAGCAGGAGTCAGACGTTCTTTGGTGATTCTCCAAGTGACTCTCACTTGAGTGCCTTGGCACGGGAGTAGGGACAAGCCTTCACTATGTGGCACTCTTCTGCCCTTTGGCAGTCCTATCTCTCAAATGAGAGTAGCTTCCCCCATTCTTCCCAGGCACAAGTAGAGTCCCAGATGCTGCCACACATTTCCCAAAGCCTTCTAGGGAGGTGAGGCTCTACCAGGCTCAATGGGCAAAAGCCATTGCTGCTTTTTGGTGGAGCTCATCCCTAGGCCTGCAGTTTAGCTGTGGGGATACAGCTATTTACAACACGGGGATTTTGTGAAATTAGATGAAATAAATGCATACAGAGCAAGCAGCAGACAGTGAGAAGAATAAGCACAGGAAAGACAGTGTTAAGTGTTACAGTGAGAAGAATAAGCACAGGAAAGTGGAACTCATGCATGATCTGGACACTGAAGACTCCAACTCTCCTGACGCACATAGTATCTAAAATTTAGGAGCTGCTCACTTATCAAAGAAAGCTACCACCACTGAACTCTCCTGCATCATCCAAAGTAATTATCCCCAAAGTCCTGGCATTAAGTAACATTATGCCCATTTTATGGATGAGGATCTTTTGGGCACAGGGTCTGAGCCATTTCAAGAGCTTCCACAATGGGCAGTGGAGAGGGAAGTCTGTGTCCCTTCCTCTTGTGCTTTGTCCAGGGCACCAGAAATAGGAGCCAGGCTGGACCCATCTGTGATTCTGAACATGGGCTCTCTTCAGGATGCTGTGCTGCCTGGAGGCTGTTATCTGGAAAGCCCAGGAGACCCACAGTAGCAAAATGTACCTCTGGTCAGCAAGAAGAAGAGACCTTGGGCTTTTCTCTGACTTTGGAGACACCGCGAACAACCCTGAATTGCTTATTTTCCACCACCAAGGGCAGCAGCTGAGGCCGCTGGGGGTGAGGGGCCAGAGTTAAGAGGTAGGCATGGTTGAGCAACAGACACTGCTGGTGGTGAGTAAGAGGACAGGTGACAGCTAGAAAAACCAAACAGCAGGTTGGGGTTGCTCCCGAGGGTGGAGATGGCTCTGGGACCACGACATCCCAAGATGATGACTCTATAGTGTGGCCCCCATGCCACTGCACACTGTGGCTCAAACTCGGCCCAGAAAGTGCCAGCTAGAATCTTCAGAGCTCAGAATCATGGCCCATGTTAGGCGTGCCTGCTTTAAGATGGTAGGGAAACAGAAAATGTACTTCGCAAAGGTTTCCATGAAAGTGCTTATAATCACAGAGCCTCAATTCCCATCGCAAGCAGCCCACCTGCATTACTTGGAAATGTCACAGATGAGAGCCCCACCACTCCTGAGACACAAAGCTTGGGGAACTGAGGTCCTAATCCTTCTCCCATGGGCTGGTTTCCACCTGGGAAACCCACTCACCGTGGCCTCCTTATCTATGAGCCTGTACACGTCGGGCTGCATGAGGTAGGACGTTTTCTCTATGATTTCCACATATTTCTTCAACACACTCTTCAGCTGGGGAGGACAAGATGCCAGTTAGTGACTCCCACTTCCCTGAGCACTAACAGAAAAGGGAAGGAGGGCCCTTAAACCCTGCAAGTGAGTGTCACCAAGGAGCCTATTTGCTGCCAACTTACCTTATCGCCTCTGGAGACCTCGAGGGACAGCAGCGCTTCGTCCAGTGCCTTAATCTCCTGCTTCTGGAGCACGAACACGTGGGCCACCTCATCCCACAGTTCCAACAGGGTCTGCACAAGGAGCTGAGTCAGGCTGGGAGCTTCAGAGTGGGGCAGGGGGAGACCCAGCTACAAAGGGACCCCTACTTGCATGGTGTAGTCCTCAAGGCTGTTGTCGTTTTCTATCTTTTTGAAGAGATGGTTGATGTTTTTGTCAGACTGGGACAGCTTGTTCAAAAACAGTTTCCCTGTCTCTAAGATCGGAGGTTCCATTTCCTGCAACAGGCCAGGAGGGTGACGGCATCAACATCCCCCAGGGATGAAAGGGCGCTTCTTGTAATGGGGGTGCCATGCCAGGCACAGTCCCATCTCACAAATGATCATGACTGCCTGGTCCTGAGGAGTTGGGGGTTATAATCAACTCATGCACACAGGACTACGGCACCACGCTGTTCACCAGGCGCTCTGCCAGTGCTCAGCCCACCTTCTCATCACGGCTGGTGAGGTGGGTGCTGACATCAGGCCTGGCCCAAGGCTGGCACTCACCAAACATGAACTGAGGAAGGACCAAATGAAAGAACGCCAAATTTACTTCAGGCAGGGAAACCAAGACTCATGGAGCACATGGTGAAAGCAGCGCTGGCATCGAGGTGGGATGTTCTGAGAACATGGCTGGTGGAGTGTCATGGTTGAGGTGTGGTGTTCCTCAAAAGCTCACGTGTGAGATAATGCAAGAAGGTTTGAAGGAGAAATTGGTTGTAGCCTTAACCTAATCAGTGAACCGATCCCTGATGGGATTAACTGAGTGGTGACCGGAGGCAGGTGGGGGGTGGCTGGAGGAGGTGTTCATTGAGGATGTGGCTGTGGGGTATATATATATTCTGTATCTGGAGAGTGGAGTCTCTCTGCTTCTGATCATCATGTGAGCTGCTTTCCTCTGCCACACTCTTCCACCATGATATCCTGCCTCACCTTGAGCCAACAAGGAAAGGAGCCGCCCTTTAATGGACTAAGACCTCTGAAACTATGAGCTCTTAAATAAACTTTTCCTCCCCTAAAATTGTGGGTCTTTTAATCACATCAGTGAAAAAGATGACTGAAAGAGGGAGCCTGTTTTTTTGTGTTTTGGGGACAGTCAGTATTCAGAATTCAGGATAGGGTAACATGAATCAGAGAAGATTCAGGGAGATGGGAGTGAGTGGAAACCCAGGGCTCAGAGAGGAATTAGAAGAGCAAAGGTGTCAGGCATGGTGGTACAGGCCTGTAATCCCAGCAGCTAGGGAGGCTGAGGCAGGAGGAATGTGAGTTCAAAGCCAACCTCAGCAAAAGTGAGGTGCTAAGCAACTCAGTGAGACCCTGTCTTTAAATAAAATGCAAAATAGGGCTGGGGATGTGGCTCAGTGGTCGAGTGCTCTTGAGTTCAATCCCTGGTACTACCCAAAAAAGGGGGGGGGCAAAGGCTGGGATCATTTCAGGAACATTCCAGGCACCAGTGTGGGAACAGAGCCCAGAGTGGAAGTGTATCAGGGGCGAGCAGCAGTGGGCTGTCAGTGGGGGCACACCAATCAGGTCTCTCATCAACTGGTCTAAATGAACACAGACCTGGAGAGCAGTTCCAATTTGGTTCCTTATGTGCTATGTAATGCAAGCTCTCTTTTACTTTAAAATGGAGTAGTGGGGATTTTTCCAAGAGTTGAGAGCTCACAACAGGCACTCCTACCAAGTCACTCACCCATGGCCACTATGAGTCCATCTACTTCTGTGTCTTGCTGAGCCACTGAAGACCTCCCAGCTGGGGAGGGGGAGGGAGGTCAAATCTGCCTAGGAAATGCCACTGGAACAGAAGAGGAGAGGGGGTGCCGGGTCTTCTTACCCTGGTGATTTCTGCAATCTCCTCCTGAAAGTTGGCCAGAGCGTTCTCATAGTTCCTCTTTTTCTGTGCCTGTTGCCTTTGAAGGGTGATGGTGCTGGTCTCCTTAGAAACTGTGGAGCCACAACAGAGGTGAGGAGACTGCCTCAGAGCTCCAGAGAGAGGGAAGCGCTCCTAGGCAGACTGAGCACCTGCACTGCCAGGCTTGGGTTCAGAAGGTGGACCCCAAAGCCAGCCCAGCAGTGCGGCTGAGGCTTAAGCAAGAAGAAAGATGAAGGGGATCCATGAATGCTTCAGGGAACAAGGTCTCAGGCTTCCTGGGGGCGGGGGTGTGGCTCAGTGGTAGAGTGCTGGCCTAGCAGGCGTGAGGCCCTGAGTTTGATCCCTGCACCACTAAATAGATAGATAGATAAATGAATAAATAAATAAATAATCTGGCCAAGTTCCCAAATGGTAAGGTTCCATTTTTTTTTTTAAGTTTTAAAGACACAAATACATATAAGATGTTTTTATAAATTTCAATGGGGTTATATCCTGAGAAACCTATCATACGTTGAAAATATTCCAGGTCAATGATGCATTTAAAACACCTAGCATACTAAACATCATGACTTAACCTGGCCTACCTTAAATGTGCTCAGAACATTTTATCTTAGCCTTGGGTGAAATCATCTAATACAAAGCCTTTTTTTGACAAAGTGTTGAATATCTCAGTTAATTTATTGAAATCTGTCCTAAAAGTGAAAAACGGAATGGTTGTATGGGTGTGCTTTTGAGCGTCTAGAAATTGAAACATTGTAAGTAAACCACAGTAAATCAGGGATTGTCTGTACAGATAATAATACCAAACATGCAAAGAGCACCATCCACACAGCAGGCATTGATCTAACTCGATTACTATTCGGGGTGAAGCCAGGAGGTAAGTCCTATTACTAGGCTCCATTTGCAAGTCAGGAGACTCAGGCATGGGGGGGGGGGGTAAAGGGCTGAGCAGGGATCTGGACACGGACCTTCTGAACTCCTACTCCATGCTCCACTCTGCCCTGTATCTACCTGGGAAGGCAGATGCTGCATGGGCTAACAGGACAGAGAGCTCTCCTGGCTAAGGAAGGGGTGCTATTGTGGAAGGGCAGTTTTACTTTTTGCTTTATCTCCCTCTTTTTTTTTTTTTTTGTTACAGTGAGCATCTGTTCCTTTTTTAATCACAAAGACAAAGGGCTTCTATATTGAGATAGAGTCAAATTAAAACAATGGAGTAGGAAGAAAATGCGGCTTGGGACATGCTACCATGAAATCACAGCAAGCAAGGTGCCTCCTTTAGCCCAGATTTTCCTCAGCAAGTGCGCACCAGAGCCAGGGAGAACTCTTGGGGAAGATGCTCAGGGAATATCCTCTGGGTGACAGAGCAGAGGACCACAGTGTGATCATTAGGGGCTTCCAGAGAGGGGCTCCCAGGAGCCGCCCCCTGCCCAGGGACTCTCTCTTGCCCTCCGGGTGAACGGGGACTCACCGATAGTGTCCATGAGGCCCTGCACCTCTCGGGCAGCTATGGCTCCTTCGTTCTCTTGTACTTTTTCCTTCCTGGCTGTTTCCTTTTCCCTGAGAGACAAGCAGAGGGGAGGAGTAGGCGCTGCCAGATCCCACCCAGGACAACTCTGGCACATGGGGGACTCCCCAGAGGGAGCTCAGGCAGCAACAATGGCCCGTGCCCACCCTGATTCCAGAGTTTCTTGAGAAGTATCTTTGGCCAGCAGACATTGTCGGACTCTACTTGGGAACCTGGGTCCCACCCAGAGCCTACTTCAGCTCTGGTGGTACAAGGGTGGGTGGTGGACCTGAGCCATTTTCCACATGGGAAAACTGGGGTCAGCAGAGGTGTGAGTGGCCCAAGCAACCTCCCGGCATGCATCATTTTCTCCTTGAGCAGCCCGTCCTTTGGGCCAGCTGGAGTAATCCTTATCCTGTATTCTAGAACTGACCCCCATGACCCCACGGCCCCCGGGCTTGGGCCTGAGGAGAGAGCTGGACAAACCTGCTCAGCTGGAGAATAGGATTGGATGTGACATTAGCTTTGGAATAAAAATTCCTAAATGTACCATCTACAGGGCAGGCACCACAGAGATCCTGAAGTTCTTGGTGACCCCTGCTACCCCTGGGGGTCTCCGTGGGTTCAGTATTTTCCAGCCATCTTCGCACTGGTCTTCATTCAGACCAGGGCAGGGAGGAAAACCGTGGGGCCTGGGCTGCAGCTGATGGGGGCCCAGGCCAACCCTGAAGAAGAGGGATCTTTTCGTCTTTTTAGTCCAATGTCCGGGGCCCAGAGCAGCCTCATAAGAGCCCACAGGACCTAAGAGCTGCTGTCAACTCTGGCTTCTCAGCCTCCTGCCCTGGAGACTTGGGGCTTGGTTTGCACTAGTGGTTCCCCCTACCGTGGGTTGGTCTCCACCCAACCTGGGGCCCTGCCAGGCTGAATGAGCAACCCGGTGGACTGGCCTTCTCTGGCCCAGTTTTCAAGCACCTGCTGTGAGGTTTGAGGAAGATGGGACATCCCAGCTCTGTCACTCATCAGTTCAACTGAGCCTGGCCTCAGTTATCCTTGAAGAGTATCCAGAGGAATTGGCCCTGGTGGCAGGAAGAGCCCTGACTCATAGGAAGAGTGGGAGCAACCAGGGAAGGTCGCCCAGAGACCAGGGGTTTCTGAGGAGAGAGTAGCTGCCAAAGGATCACCCAGAAGAGTTGACAGAAATTCCCAGGGGACCTCTGCAAGAGTGGCTAAAGGAAGACCAGAGCGGGACTGCCATAGGCTGAGGATATCTGGGCAGGCAGAGGCTCTTCCCCGACACTTGGCCTCCAGGGAAGGGTGGGGGAGGCAGGGACATGTGAGGACAGGAGGGAAGCAGTGGCTGAGACAGGCTTCCCTTCTAGGAAAGGGGACACTGTGTGCCAGGGTCAGTGAAAGACTGTGGGGTTGATGGTGGGGGGGGAGGGAGAAAGCTGGAGAGGATAATGGCAGGAAGCCAGGCTCCCCTATCTGTTCTCCAGCTCCTGGGAGGTAGCTGGGGCAGCCCAGGAGACCAGGAAAGACGAGCTTGTGGCCTCTCTTCTCTGGTAAAAGGAGAACAGTGGGAGGGTGTGGCAGGGAAGAGGACCTAAAGGAGTGTGGCAGGTCAGGAGAGCTGCTGTGAGTTTCTGGGATGCCCAGAGGGTCCAGGTGAGCTGGGTTGCTGTATCTGGGAGCCCTCCCAACAGATGGGTGATTTTTTTCCTGCTGCTCTGGCTCAGGAAGAAGGGTGGGAGCTTTGCTGGGTGGGAAGAAGGATGAGGCTCAGGAAGGTGAGCTGGTGAGCTGGCCACTAGGCCAAGCTGGTTGCAGAGAAATTGAAGGCAGAAGATATGGACAGAGGAGGGAGGGAGGGAGACATTTCTCAGAGGCAGGGAACAAGTGACCCCTGGGAGACTCTGGAATGTGGAGTTAGTGGCCCTAGTCCTTTCGACAAGTTATAAACCCATCCTCTGTTCCTGCCCAAGCTACAGGGATCTGTGCTGTGGTCCTGTGTCCAGGACAGAGCTGGGCTTATCTGGCTGTCCCAGGAAGCCAGCACAGCACATTGCCAGCACCCCCATGAGAAGTGCCTTTCTGAAACCACCCTGCAGGTGCCAAGAGCTCCTGACTGATGTTGTATCTGGGACGATAGGTGACCCTAGGCTGAACCCTGGGGAAGAAAGAACCCTGAGGAAAAAGAGGCAGGTATCAGGAGACGCCTGGTCCTAGATGAGGTCGGCTGAGACTCCTGTGGGAGCTGGAGTCACAGTGAGGATGCCACATGGCCCTCCTGGGAGCAGAGGTGGAGCTTGGACAGGTCCCAGCTGCCTATGCCTCTGGATCTCTGCCAAGGCATCCGGCAGGGGATGTGGCTGGAAGAGGCTGGCCTCTTGTGTTGGCCTGAGTGGCCAGTAGAGCACCCATTGTAGGTAGTTAGGTGGCTGAGGCTCAGGTCAGGGCAGAGAACTTGCCCTACAGGGGGTGAGAGAGACAAAGGCAGGTAGAGGAGACCAGACTGTCCAGCCTGAGTTCCAGGCCAGGGAAGGTGTTTATGGCTGATGCCAAGCCTGAGGAGGCTCCTGCTTCATTCTCCCAAGAAGCCAGGGGAAAGATGGAGTCTTCCTTTCCTCTTTTCCCTAGTGGAAAAGTCTGATCATAGCTAACAGAAATGACATGTTTAGGAATCTCAAGTTTAACTTCCAAACTTGGAATTGCACAAGGAATGTGAGCTGCCCCTGCCTCACATACTGCCCTCACCTCAGGTTACAGTGCCTCCCTGCACCTCCCTGCACACCCAGCGCTCAGGCCAGAGATCCGTCATCAGGCCCCCTGGGGTTCTGCCTCCAAAGACACCTGAAGTCCACCCCTATTCTCCCTCTCCCAACCACCACCAAAGTTACAAGGACAACTATGAGCCTTCCTCTCTGGCCTCCCTGCCTCTTTCCTGTAATTTCTTCCAACATACTGCCCAAGGAACCTTGGACGCACAAAATCAGCTACTCACTGCAATAAAATCCAACACATGGACCGTGGCCTGCTAGGCCTCTCTCAGCCCCACCTCTGCCCTCTCTCCAGGTCCACTCATCTTTTGCTTTCTAGAATGGGTCGAGACCATCCATTTCAGTGTCTTGCCCCCATCCTTCCCCTTCCTCACCTTCTGGTCTCAACTGAGGCTCCTCCTCAGAGAGCTTTCCTGAACCTGTCCTGAGGGAAGGCTTTCCCACCTTACTTATTTGTTTCTGTAGTGGCCTCCCCATTCCATGAAGGTGGGATCCTCCTCCCTAGCACCTGGCCTTAGGCACTCAACCATTACTGGGGAAGAAAGAAAGAAGCAATCCTTCCAAATAGGTGTTAATGCCTCCCTGATTCCAGGCAGGCACTGGAGACTTCCTCCCTGGCACTCATTTTGCATGAGCTCTTCCTGAGTCTTTGAAGATGGGGTGCCCCAGTGTGTGTGGGTGTGGCCTGAGAGGCAGGACTTACTTGTAGAGAACTGGGTTTTCTGTAACCCCGTCGTTGGGAAGGCTGTGCACCCACTTCCGCTGCCGAGGAGACATCATCTCCCCTTCAGGAATCTCCACCTTTTTCATCATGGGTATCCAGCCACTCTTTGGGGTCGCAGAACGCTCCGCAGACCGCTTTCTGGAGGCTGCCAGGGACTGGACCAGCTGCACCTGAATCCATGGAAGCCCACAGATGAGGGAAGTAGTCAGAGCTGCAGACCCCTCAGCACCATCAGGGTGACCGTGCCTACCTTAGAAGGACCTCTGGGAACTGCCACAGGAAGGCCTGGAGGCTCCAGGCCCCTGCAAACCCTGTACAGGAGGGCCCTCCTCCTCCTCAATAGCCACCCAGCCACTTCAGGGAAGGCTCGCTTTAAGAAATTAAAATAAGGCACAAGATGCACATCTCAGCCTTTTTTAAATCATCATCATAAATTAGAAAAACAAAACTCTCCAATAGGAGGAGACCGGTTAAGTAAACATGGTATGTCCCTTTGATGGACTGTTGGGTGTTTATTAAAGATAAGACTTAGGATTTTTTTGGTCACATGAGGAAATGCTTATGAGATGATTATAGTTAAACATATTAATTAAGAGCCTAAATTTAAAATTATAACCAAATTACATGATTTCAAGTTTTAAAGTGAATACTATTTAAAATGAATAGCATTTCAAATGAATAGGGGGTGTGGCTCAGTGGTAGAGCGCTTGCCTCTCACATGTGAGGCACTGGGTTTGATTCTCAGCTCTTCATATAAATAAATAAAATAAAGGTCCATTGAAAACCAAAAAAATATTTTTTAAAAAATGAATGGCAAGGTGGGAGGGAGGATGTCACATGTTAAGAATGGCATATCGCTTACAGGGAGCAGTGGTTTTTTTGTTTTTGTTTTTTGTACACCTGAAACTTACAAAGGTTCTACAGAGAGCATCATTTAGGGCTCAAATTAGGAATGAAAATCCCATTTAAATAATTTTGAAGGAAGAGTTGGAAGTCTATGGGCTTCTCCTCAGGTCTTGTTTGGTCTGTGCATTGCATTGGAGAGGACACACAATTTGGTCAGCTGGTGCCATCATCCAGAGGCCTTGACTTTGTCGCTATATGAGAGATTTCTGAGTAGTGAGGCAACTTCTAGGAACCACTGAGGTTCAGGAATGCCTTGGATTTGGGAACTGGTCTGTGAGATACTGTTGCGGAGAAAGCAGGTGTCAAAACACTCACACAGAATGAAACCCAGTCTCTAAATAAAATTCTTTTATGCATGAGAAAAGGTTCCAGAGTACTGAACAGTTAATTTAGACTATTTCTGCGTCATTTAAATTTACATTTTTATTATTTTTATCTTTCCCAATTTTCAAGAGTATATATCCCATACATACATGCATAAAATAAGAATTTTTTAAAAAATCTGTTTCAAAGCCCTAATTCATTAGATTCCCAAGCAGGAAAGCCCTTAAAGGAAGAGAAATTTGGAGGGGAGCAGAGGGAAGTTTGGAGGAACAGAGAGAAGAGGGCTGTGAAAAGAGGGAGAGCAGGTCCTACTTCGGCTTGGAAGATCTGATGGTAGACTTTGCCGCTCTGAACCTGGGTCACCTTCCCCACTGACGACATGGTGGCTGCTGGCGGGACGCCCCTGCCCGGAAGCCGTCGTCCTGGAAACGTGCGCTTGGTGTCAACTCCCACCCGAGGTTGGGAACCCACGCCCGCCCCGAGTGCAGGTCCTGATCGCACCTCGAGGGTCGAGGGCAGCTCGGGGGGTTAAATTTTAAACAAAACAGAGAGGGGACGGGCAAGGAGAGGCAATGAGGGGCCCAGACGCAAGGCGCCAATCCGACAGGGACTTTGGGGACAAGAAAAGTTCGGGGTTACAGCTTGCGCTTCACCCTACGGAGATTTTCTGGGAAAAGTCAACGCGCCAAGGTGTCTGTGGGGCTGGAACCCCAGAGCCAGGGGTCCTTGGGTCCAGGACCCTACCCTGGCCTCCAGGAGCCGCGGAGACCGCGACCTAAAGGCCTGATTCTGGCCACACTAAATAGGTGGCTACTCTGTGCCCAGAAGACCCAGGCGGGTCCTCCGGCTCCCCTTCCGAGACCCTCAAGCGGTCCGGGCAGCCCCTGAACGTCCCCCTGAGCCCAGATTGCAAAGAGGCCCTGTCCCCGTGCTGGCCGCGTCCGCACCTGCTGAAAGCACCTCTGAGGTTCGCCTGGGCGAGTCCCGCCGCAACTGCAGCGGGACACCCAGGGTCTCCAAGGCAACACGGAGGGGCGGGCTCAGCTCGCTGCCTTTCGCTGGGAAAGGGGTTGCCCTTAGCAACCCCAGCGCCCGAAGTGGAGTCGTGAAACTTCACCAATTGCTTCTTTGAACGCCAGTCTCTCTTCTGTACAAGAGAATACCCCAGAGCTGTCCTGAGCAGTACACCAAACGTCCTGAAAACTATCTGAGAGGTGGCTTTGAGCCATCATGGTCAAGAAAATCCATCGTTTCTTCCTTGCTTTGGTTGAAATCAATCTTTGCAGGGAAGAAATCTGAAAGATTCTGAAAGATCAATCTGTCTCCTTCTAAAAACAAAAACAAAACAAAACCAAAAACCAGAGCTCAGAGAATTCAAGGCTCAAACTTGCCCGGCCAGAACCGAAAATATTCGTGGTTGGGACCGAAGGGTGGTCAAAGTTTCCCCTGGGCTGTGTATGGGATAGCCAGCTCCTTCTTAGAGAAGCCCTCCTTTGGCAGGGATCCCTCACAGACTGCTAATAGATATTCCCTATGCCAACTTCCTAGGGCAAGCGATTGTTCTGTCCAGTCCAGCTCTAGAAATTAAAAAACAGTGAGTAGAAAACCCTTTTGTTCTCATTCTTTGGTCTGGGATTTTAGCAAGGTGAAATATTATAATAAAAATTGAATTCATTTGAGCTGAAAAAAGAAAAAATGTCAGTGATTGAGGGAAGGTGTGGAAAACACAATATAAAATAGAAAGTGTCCAGGAATCATTTGCAGTCTCTCTTCTCCTTCCCATCCAAGGAGGCACTGCTGGCTTGAGCCTTATACAGCAGAAACACTGTCTTCTCTGCCCAGACACAGAACCAGGTTCTGGTTTCTGGCACATCTGCAATTTTGGTTTTCTTTATTTCTTTTTATACAGAATGTCATGGGTTTAAATAAGTAGGCATGGATATATGATGTGTGGCGTTTTGTTCTGATTAAACAACATACTTGTTGCAAAAAATGGAAAACAATTCAATGGGGGAAAAACCCAAACAAACAAAAATAATCCATAATCCCACTGCTAAGAATATAGCATACTTTATCCCCAAATTTCTGGGCCTTTGTTTTTGTGTTTGAATCAAATGTACAAATATGTGTGTGGCTGTTTGTTTCTTTTTGCAGATCTGGGGATTGAAAGGGTGCTACACCACTGAGCTACATCTCTAGCCATCTTATTTTTTATTTTGAGACAGTCTCACCAAGTTGCCGGGGCTGGCCTTGAATTTGTGATGCTCATACCTCAGACTCCTGAGTCAGGAGGATTACAGGCACACACCACCACTTCCTTCCGGCTTGTGCTTGGCTTTTGGTTAGCATATCTGTTTCCTTCCAACTCCACAATGTCCTAGCCAGAAAGACTAACCAGTTACAGATCACCTTTTTAGTCTCCTCCCATGTTTAGGGATGGGCCAGAAGCCAAAGACAGGGAATGAAAAATTGGCCTGAGGCCCTGCACTCTCTTGCACCTCCATTCCATCTCTGATTTTTTTTCCCCTCTCAATCTTCATTTTAAAAATGTCTTTTGAGGTTGGTTGGGGTACAAAATTAAGTTAGAGAGGAGAAATACATTCTAGTGTTCTATGTAGTACAGTAGGGTGATTATAGTGAAACCTTATTGAATATTTCAAAATAGCTAGGAAAAAATGTTCCCAATATAAAGTAATAAAAAATGCTTGAGGTGATAGATATGCTAATCACCCTAATCTGATCACTACATATTGTATATACATATCAAAATATCACACTGTGCCCCATAAATTGTATAATTAACAATATAATTGTATAATTAACAATTAAATTAAATAACAAAATAATTCTTTAAAATGTCTGTGGAGTTGAAGCCCATCCTTCTTTTCCCTCTACCCTTGTCCATCTTTTCCATAGTGTATAGAAGGAACCAAACAACAGGGACTCCAAGAGCTAATACTTATTGAGAAGATTCAATTTCCCCAAATAACTGAGAGAGTACCACCATTAACCCATCTTACAGATGAAGAAACAGATGCTCAGATTAGCAAGTTGGCTCAGATCTCTGAGCCACCAAAAAGTTGGATTCAAGATATGAATCTAGACCCTGCAATTCAAAAATTCTTGAACTAACCACCATGCCATGTAGATTTGGGACTAATCAGAAAAAAAAGTTTTTTGTCCAACTGGTGGAACCTGCACCTATCAAACATAACATACATACCTAAAAGTATGGGACTCAGTGAATTATCTGAAAGGAACCAGTAGCTTCAGAAACAGAACATTACCAACCCTCCAGCAGCCACCCTTAAGTACCCTCTTAGGTCATTTCTCTGTCCTCCCCAATGCCATCAAACACTTTATCTCAAGTTGGTTTTTCTTTTTAAAAATGTTTATTTAAATGAGATCACACAGATTAGACTCTTTTATGTTGGACTTCTTTCATTATGTTTGTGAATTCCATACATTTTTTGGGGGGTAGGGGAGCCACACCCGTGAGAATTGCCATTTATTCCCAAAGTTCCCCAAATCATCACCAAGAGTTCACCATGGGGTGCAAAGGGGGGAATGAGGAGGCTCAAACACTGATGGGGGTCAGGAATTTGGAGGGAGGGGGAATGGTGGAGGGATCCTAGCTGTCCCTCCTTCTTCTAATGCCACAGAAAGGGGTCCTCCTCTGGCTGGCTCCCCTCCCCATCCCCCATGTTCAGTTTCTCAGGGGGAAATGGGTTGGGGATGGGGAAAGAGGGCCTAGTGTTAGTGGGCCCCAGAAGGGGGAAGGGCGCTGGGGTGGGAGTGCTCCCATTTCACAGCACTCACAACACTGTCTCCCAGGGAACAGGAGTCGGGGTAAGTCGGCCAGGCCAGGTCTGCCTCCTGCCCTGGATTATAGGAGGAAAGGGTTAGTGTTGGGTGCTGGGGGACCAGGGGGCATCATTGGGGGCAGACCAGGGCCCCCACCAAGGGGAGAGATGTAGGTGGGTGGTGTTCCAGGGGCTGGGGGCACAGGGCTGAGAGGTTCCACTTGGCAAGAAGAGATTGGAAGCCTGGGCTCTTGGAGGAGTGGGGCCGGGTCGGCTCACCAAAGAGTCCAGATCAATGAGGGCTGCACTGGGCCCCAGGAAGGATTCTGGCGTCTTCCCTGTGGGGGGTGTGGGGGTTGGGGCAGTGGCAGGTGGGGCACTTCCCACAGTCTCAGCCAGAGACCCACCAACCCCACTCATGTCAGACGCCCAGGGCTGCTGGCAGGCACCTCTCCTGCAAGCAGCTCCCCCCGGTGCTACTCCCAGAGGCTGGCAGGGCTGTGCGGAGTCAGTCGAAGTCAGAGAATTCATCAGGCTCTGGATCAAAGCTTCCAGCTGCTGCAGTGCCACTGGTGCTGGGTTTTGCCGAGAGCCATAGCCAAGTAGGAATGGCGCATGACATTTTTGGTTGAAAGGTGACTCCAGCAAGCCATTGAGATGATAATGGTTATGTTAAGATATGTATTCAATTGGATATTAGACCCCTGCTGTCCGGCCTCCACCTGCTACTTTGGAACTCTCGCAGGGATTCCCGGAGAGTTCCCATTGGTTGGGGAAGTGCGGTAGGAGGGATTTCCAGAGGAGGGATTTCCGGTAGGTGTGGTGTGCCCCTGGAGAAGGCCGAGTGGGGGGCGTTACCAGGAGTTTTGGAAATAAAGTTTGTTCCTGCTTGAGTGGCTCGTGATTTTGTGCCCAGCCAGACTGCGGCAGGTTTGGCAGGTGACACCCCCCCCCAGGGGTCAGAGAATGCAGATGCAGGAGCCCAGGGATCAGAAGCTGGGTGTCCACTGACTGGAGCCCCACCATCAGAGCTTCCCCATGGGTCAGGCAGGGGGCCCGCTCCAGCTGCAGGGGCTGGGGTCCCACCCCAAGGGTCAACAGAGGGTCCCACAGGGGCAGCAGGCCTCCAGGGATCCCCAGAGGCTGGTGTGGGGGCTGGACCACCCCAAGGATCAGCAGCTGGAGGGACAACAGGTCCCCCCCAGGGGTCTGAGGCAGGGGGCAGTGGGGATGGGGGCAGCCATGGGTGCTGGGCGCCCCCATGGATCTGAAGCCGGTGGAGGTGATGTCTGCCCTGAAGACATCAGCAAGATCCATAAGAGATGACTCCTCCTTGCCTCCAGTCTCCCTCTTGCTCTCCTCCATTGCCATCTGCAGCCTTAGGTCGTCCCCACGACGGATTCGCCCTTCCTTATGGTGCTCCTCTTGGCTCAAACTAAGGGCCAGCTGGAGCTGGACATCATCCTCAGGGCGCAGGTCGGGGGCTGGTCAGCCTCCTCCTTGCTCATGGCCAGGGCCAGCTGGAGCTGCAGCTCCTCCTCCCTACTGCTCTGCGGGCGGAGCAGGCCTGGCCCGGAGCCCGCTGCTGCTGAGGAGGCCGTGGCGGTCTGTGCAAGCTTCTCCTCGGTCTCAGTGCATGGGCACGCTCTTCCCGCAGCCGGTCCTCCTCACGCAGCAGGGCCACCAGCTGCTTGGCCTTCTCACTCACATTCACGCCCTGGCCCTTGCCATCACGGTCCACGTTTGCACAGCACATCAGTGTCATGGCCTTGTAAACGTGCCGCCAGTTCTTGCCCTGGTCATTGAGCCGCTTCCAGATCATGCTCATGATCTCCGAGAAGGCCACAACATTATAGGGGAGGTCGGCGATCTCAGACATGAGAGAGCTGGACGGGCCCAGGGATCATTGCTTGTGGCCTCATGGACCTTGCTCTCTGCCTGCGAGTAGTTGTGGACAATGTTCTTCATCTGGCACCCAGCGGTGGTGTCAGGGGCGTCAAGGGGCATGGAGAGATGGGGCAACTCACAGATGGAGGCTGCAGCAGATGCTGGCAGACTGCTGCATCTTGGCCCCTCACGCGAGGCTCTGGGGGAGTCATGGCGGTCAGCCCCCTGCCCCCGCTCGGTGTCACGGGGCGCGCGCCGGCTGCAGGTGGCGGAGGCTCTCAGCTGCGCACACGCGCATGCACGGAGAGCCCCAAGCCCATGGCCCCGCACCCCAGCGCCTGCGGAGCAGACGGGAAGCAACCTGAATTCCATACATTTTTAAATTTGAGTATAGTTTATTTCTGTGTAGTATTCCATTATTTGAAAACATAATCCATTTTGTTTATTTATCCTTTTTAGTATTGAACCACATTGTCCCCCCCCCCAATTTGGGACTATAACTATAATGTTTTTGACCATCCTTTTGCATGGTGAACATATGTAGGTATTTCTCTTGGGCATATACTTAAGATTGGAACTGTTGGGTCATAGAGTCTGTACCTATATATCTTTAGGGGAAACCATTAAAGAATTTCTTAAAGTGGTTGTAACAGTTTTCACAACCACAGTGCACAAAACTGCCTGTAGCTCTGAATCCTCCTCAACACTTGATAGTGTCACCAGTTTTCATCGTAGCCATTATGTGGTGGTATAACAGCATGGTTTTAATTTGTGTCTTCTGATGTGTTATAACATGAAGCACCTTTTCTTGTACTCGTTAGCCACTTGGATATCTTTCTGTGAAAATGACATCTGTTTAAGTCAGCTTCCTGTTACTGTAACAAAATATCTAAAATAATTAACTTATAAAGAACAGAGGTTTCTTTTGGCTCGTGTTTTTGGAGGTTCTAGTCCACAGTCAAGTGGCCCATTGCCTTAGGCCTCCAACGAAGCAGCACAACAAGGTGGGAGCAAATGGTGACACCCACTGCATCTGGTAAGAAACAGAGAGAAGAGACCCAGGTCCCACAGTCCCCTTGAAGGCACACCCCAGATGACCTAAGGACCTCCCACTAGGCCTCATCTTCTAAAGGTTCCACCAAAGGTGCCACCCTGGAGAACAAGGCTTTAATACATGAACCTTTAGGAGACACAACCCATATTCAAGTCATAGCAAAGTCAAGTCTTTTGCTTTTAAGAGTTTAGGATAAGATAGAAACTAGCTTCAGAGTGTTCATATTTATTAACTCACTTTATCCTTAAAATAATTTTGGCTGCTAGGGGTATTAGCTTATGGGGTTTCTTTTTATAGATAAGAAAAGTGAATGGAGAAGGGCAAAGTAATTTGGCCAATGTCAAACAGCTTCAAAGTGTGATATGGGAGTCCTTGTTTTTTTGTTGCTAAATGCAGAATGGCAAAGCTTGGTTGTGGAGATTAAGCTAAAAGAGAGAACTCTGGCAAATAGACCTAGCCACAGGACTGAGTTTACACCACGTACTTAATAATGGTCTGGGACTCATGTGGTGGATGGGGATTTTCCTCTACGATGTTGGTGGGGTCCTCAGGGCACTTTCCCAGGCTCATGAGGGACTTTGAATGGTTGATCAAACTTTACGCAGATCTTGGGTCATCAGATACTTTATGCTTGAGCATTAAAAATTTGGGCAAGTTCTGGACTCTGCACAAAAACCAATGTCCAAGCCTACTGACCCGACATCTGTAGGTGCTTGGAGTGGTCCTAACCAACCCATGGCACCCCGCACCCCCATATGCATCAAAGTTCACCCTCATCACACATGCTGGGACATGTCTGCTTACACCATTTTGGTCTTAGTGTCCCCTGCCTGAAATGCCTGCCTACATCCCTGTCTCTGCTTCCTCAGACAGGTGGTTTACCCAGGTGATCCCACCCTGGTCAGAGAGAGTCTGAGCATCTTCCCTGCAAGCAAGGCCCAGGTCAGCTCTGATCCACTCCTCACCCCAGCTGCCATGGGACGAGTGCTCTGTGCCTGCTCATCTTCCCAGATTAGGGGCCAGGTGCTCGGGTTTCCTTCTCTCCCATCACCCTAAAGACTGGAAAGAAGAAAGCAATGAGGACCCCACGGAATTGAGGACCACACTCTGTTCTAAGAAATCAGAGTTTTCTGATATAAACCTTTTACCACCTTCTTCAGTGACAAAGTTCTGCCTTGGAGTCAAGCTTTGGGCTTCTTAACAGGTAACTTCCCAAGGTCGCCTACCAATGGTGGATAGAAGTATCCGTGGATAAAGTTTGCTCAACAAACTTCTCTTTAGTTTTTTATCTTTTTTTTTTTCATAAAAGAGTGAAATAGTCCTGAAACTTCGACCCTCAGTCCAGGTGGCCATGCCACAATGCTGTCTGCCATGTGCGTGGACAGTGCCTGTGCCACCCCCTCCCATCACAGGGAACAGCTGCTGGTTAGTCTGAGCCTTCTCTCAGGAGCAGACGACCTGACCTGGCCTCAGAGCCGATGTGGGTCGCCAGTGTCAGCTCTCTGAGCACGTCAACAGAATCTGGGTAAACTCCTGGGAACCATGTCCTGATTTTGATTTTCTGAGCATGACGAGTCTGGGGTTGTTGATCAGGGTCTGCAGCAGGCGCCACCTCGTCCTGGACCTAGCTGAGATGCGGGGACCTAGGATAGAATCAGAGCAGATGGACCACAGCATGGGAGGCGAGTGGTTGGTTGGAAGTTTGCCTCTGCCGTTCTCAAAGGGTTTTGGAAGAGTTGCCTCGAGTGTGAGAGGTATGGTTAAGGAGCTGGTTTGGGACTTGTGTGGACATGAGGGAGATGAGTCATCCCATGGTCCTGGATCCCCACAGTGTTTGGAATAGCAATGAACATACAGGGGCGCCCCAGAGCAGAATAACCCTGACTGAAGCCCACCTTGGCAGGCGTCTGGCATGTAGCCTGGAATATGAGTTGGAATCTCAAACAAATGGGATCTGGAAGACTCCACTAGCAGAACTAGAGCTCATTTCCAGGAACAACGGTGGAGGCCAGTCAGCAGGACAAGGACATAAAGCTTGAGTGGGTCCCATAGTCGGCTAAGCCTCCCAAGCTCCCTGGTTGAAGGACACCCAGGACAGAGTGCAGAGAAAAAGAGGCAGGAAAGAGAAAACCTGGAGCATCTCAGGGACCTCAGGGAGCCTCAGGGGGTTCATTTCCTGCTCTTCAAACCCAGTGAGGTCCAAGCAGGAGACATTACCTGCTGATTGGTCCAGGCACCAGTATTTGATGGCCTTCTGCAGCTTCCTCTCCCTGTGGCCTGCGATCAGGATGTGGCAAAAGCTGACGAGCACGGGGTTGGTGTGATAATGGTCCACATAGAGCATGCCGATCCACGCGCTGAACCCTGAAACCCAGCGGCAGATCAGGCCAGGCCACACCTCCCAAGCGTGGCCCAGTTGGTTCTTTTAATGATAAGCTCCACGGGTGCCTGAGTCTTTGCTGAGAATTTAGAAAATGAGGTATAAAGATCTGAAAGGAGGCTTTGAGATCATATCCTAATCTGTTTCACCTCATGGAGAACTTGAAGCTCCAGGAGGCCAGCAGCAGCCTTAGCAACAACCGAGAAAGCCTTGGTTACAGGCCCTGAAGGGCAGAGGGACTGAGTGATCGTGGCCTAAAAGCAGAACAAAATCTTTGCTTCTTCAGGAACGGCTTTGATTTGGGAGTGTCCGACTGAACAGAACATTTTCTTGATCAAATAAGTTCCGATGAACAACAATAATGATTCTGACATGTGGGCTTTCTCAAAATTTTCAGGACTGTGCATTCATAAATTAACTTCTCACTTTCGGAAAGAATTTTGACTACCTCTAACTATCGTCCTTTTCTTTATACCTGAAATGTCTGCTGAAGAGGCAGGATTGACTAGCCTTGAACTCCCTCTGACCATGGGGCAGCATGTGTTTCTATTGCTCAGCTTTACAGTCTCCACTGAGGATAAACTCTGAGCATAAGTGAAGGTGCCCACTCCAGGCTTCTCATACCTGTCTTGTCTTTCCAAACAGCCATCAAGAAGATGCAAGTCCAGCCCTCCCCAGAGGAGGTAGCCAACAGGGGCTGGTCACTCACCCATGTCTGCTCCCTCATAGCCACTCTGCATGATGGTCCTGTCGATGCGCGCAATCAGCCACGTGCCCAGGACGCAACTGATGAGCAACCTGGAGAGGCAGGCGCCCAGGCCCAGCAGCACGTTGTAGAAGAACAGGAAGTAGTTGAAGTTGTGGAAGGCTTTCCTGCACACAGAAACAAGATGGCTAGGCAGGCGGGCTCTGGAGTCCTCCATAGCCAGCATCAGACCCTGAGGGCTGGGGGCATAGCTTAGGGGTAGAGCGCTTGCTCCTCGCATGCATGAAGCCCTGGGTTCAATCTCCAGCACTGCAAAACCAAATCCTATGACTCTGCTTTCTAGCCTTGTGCTCTCACACTCTGCTGTAGGGGAAGCTGAGTCCCCATCTCCCAGCCCTGGACAGTGCAGAAGGCACAGGGCAGAACCCAAGACAAAGGTTGGGGGGACTACACTTGTTTTATGTGATCCTTAGGGTGTGAGGAAATCTCATGGTGCTACAGCTGGCGCAGGGGCTGTCCCAGCTGATGGGGCTTCCCCCCCATCTGTTGCAACTAGGACCTGCCCCAGCTGGAGCTGTTTCCAGTCCCCCAGAGGAAATCTCCTAGAGGGTCACTGGATCTCATGGTTCCTGTTGTCTCTGGGATAAAACCCAAACTTTGCATTCTGAGTGTCAGGTCCCCCTCAGAGAGGACATCTCTTGGTCTTGTCATTTTGTGTCTCCTTCCTGTCGCGCAGCATCTAAGACCCCTGTATGGTGACAGTTTTAGATCCTCAGTTTCCTAACACACCCTGCTTTTGGGGTCTCCTGCCTACAGTCATGCTGTGACAGCTGCTGGCCATGCCCTCTACTATAAGTGCAGAAATTCTACCATCCTACTCAAACTTCCCATCTGCAGTGCAATTACCACCCTCTCCCCACCCTTCAACCCCAGCTCCTCCTCCTCCATCTCTGCCTCTCCTCCTCCATTGACCATGTTTCTCTAGTGATCCTTTTGTACCCTCTGGGGTCTGCTGCCCTTGCTGTCTGTGTGCCTGTCTGTTCTGATGGGCTGTGAGCTTCTAGGCAGGTGGTGTCGGGATTCTCTCTTTCCCTTCAGTGCCCAGGTTTCCCCAATAAATGAATGAATCAGCAAGGGTCACCAGGAGCTGGGCACTATTGTTCCAAGTCCATACTTGAACACATTTTAACCTTATAACACGTTGTTAAGATACTCAAAATGATTTACAAGGGGGAAACTGAGGTTCAGAGATGTTTAGTAAGCTTACACAAGGTCACAGGGCTCCTAAGGGGTGAGCCGGGATTGGGAGCCAAGCATTCTGACTCCAGAGCTCAGCCCTGCCCACTAAATCACCTCTCAGAATATAGAGAGGCCCTGGAACCTGCCAAGGGTGAAGGGGAAGGACTGGGAGACAGCCTAAGCCCAGCCACATCCCCATTTCCTCTTCATCTCACCTGTTATTGAGAGCCAAGGGCTTCTGCTTGTCCCCTGGGCCCAGCTTGGGCTGCAGGAAGAAGCTGGCGGCAATCCACATCTGCAGGATCATGAGGCCCAGGATGATGGAGATGGTGAGGCTGAAACACAGGGCAGGCACCTGAGGTGGCCTTCCCTGCTCTTCTAGGCCCTTCTCAGATGTCTAGTGATAGGGAGGAGAGAGAGGCTGGCCACCCAGAGTGTGAGCTCCATGCTTCATGCTCGGGAGCCATCCTATGCCCACCGTGCAGGTGAGGAACAGAGGCTCAAATGTGGGAGGTGGCTTTACCAAGGCCCCACAGCCAGAGCTTCTGGCTCCAGATCATAACCCATGGCTCTCACTGATGTCCCTTCTTACCAGGAGTGGCAGCCGGTGAGTGGCTTGACAGTTTGAGAATGAGAGAAAGAAATGGTGCTTGGGAAGAGCCTGAGAAGCTGTGGGAATGTGCACAAGGTGGGCTCCACCCCAGACTCGCATGGGGCTCTGGTAGGGAGGTCCCCAGAGTGTCACATGCTATGTTGACACTCTTGAGTGACAGTGTGAGGTCATGGTTAGAAGCCTTTGGTTTCAGATTGCCTGGGCCCCGATGCTGTATCCTCCCTCTCTTTAGATAGAGCACTTGGTTGCTCTGTGACTGTTTTCTGGACTGTGCATAAGCACCAAACTCACAGAGCTGACATGAGGAAAGACACATAATAAATGCTCAAGGATACCAGCATTCACCATTTTCCAGATGGGTAAACTGAGGCTCAGAGAAGGCGAGGCATTTGCCTCAAGTCACAAAGCACATCTAAAAATTTAGCCAGGATTATTCCTTGCCTCCTTCCATCATGCTGTCCTGTTTCTCCCTCACCTCCTGAGAATTCAGTTTTCCCAGATGGAAAATGCACATCATCTCTCTCTCTCCCTCTCTCCCTCTCTCTCTCTCTCTCACACACACACAGAGTTATAAAGGCTCATTGTAACGGTAGGAGAGAAAGCTTTTTTCAAACTGGAAGCTTCCGTTCCTGGTCAGTTGAGGTGAGGGCCCAAGATGATCAGAGGCCCAGGGATTGGCTCCCAGGACTCAGGAAGGACAGACCACCCACTCAGCACTTACATCCCAAGTCCCAGCCTTCGGAGCATCTCCAGGCCCCTGTGGTGGGTGACAGGAAGCACCAGGCCATACATGATCATCAGGCCACACAGGCTCTGCATCACATGGATGATGAGGTAGCCTAGGGACAGGGGAGTAAGGCTCACTTGGGGGTGGTCATGATCTGCCCCCGTGTCTTCCCGGCAGTCCACCAGAGGCCCTGGCATGGTTGCTGATGCTATTCCTGCTGCCTGGCATGGCCTCTCCTGTCTTCCCACTCTTCTCTTCCCACCTGGCCAGGTGCGGTTCAAATGCAGACTCCCCTAGAGAGCCTCGGAGCCCTGTCCTGGCTGGGGTTAGTCACTTCCTCCTCTAGTGATCGCAGACCTTAACATCCATGGCCTGTGAGTTCAGGACAGGCGGGGAGGGTGACAGGATGATGGACCTGTGTGTTTCTCCCCCATCCTGAAGGTCCCTTGAGGGCAGAAGTAGGGCTGCTTCCCACTCACCTCTCCTCCCTCCCAGGAAACATGTGTTGGGTCGCACAGGTCCCAGGTGGCACTTACCCCACAGAATATAAGCTATTTGCCAGCCGGAGTACCTTGCAATGGCCACCTGAGATTTAGAAGGAAACAGTGACCTCAGAGCAGGAGAGAACCTTCGTTCCCTCTGACCCCCTTACCAGTCTCAGAGGTTCCCCACACCCCAAAGAGGCAGGTTTGGGCTCATGGCTCAGACTCAGACTTACCACACTCTCAGACGGGGAAGGATTGTGGAACCGCAAAGGGAGAAAGTGTTTATCTCCTGCCCACAGCCTCTTCATGTGCTTTCTGGAGAAAAAGTGTGAAATAATTAAGTGACGTCCATAACCACGGCTCCTTTTGCATGAACGAGCTCCGTGGGCAGAAACAGAAAGGCCCGAGGACGTGGGGGACAGGCGGCCTGGACTCTGCTCCGTTCAGTACCAGCTCACAGCACCACCTGATCTGCCTTCCAAACCTACAAGTTTAATGTGTTTTGTAAAAATGATTTATAATGACTGAGTCCTAATGGCAACTGAGTCTGATCAATGCGTTGTGGGTGGCTTTTATTTTCCTCAGTTTGCTTTCTACGCTGTCGTATTTTGCTACGAGGAATATCTATTACTTAGGTGATGAGATTCAAAGAACAGGTGAAAACAGAGACCGGTGGTGTGGCTGGCCTGCCCTTACAACAGTGCGGAGGGGAACAAGAGCCCGGCGGCCCGCGCCACCCACCCGCACAGACTGCTTCCTTTCCCACGTCCTTCTCTAGGCCTTGGCCCTGGACATAGAGATCAGGCTGACATTGTCACAGTCCCAGGGTACGTTTGCGTTTGTGCTGTTTTTTTATTTTAACTTAACATTTTACCTCCAGCATTTTTCCAGGACTTTTTTTTTTTCACTTTTCATGATCACTAAGTTCAAAACTCTTAGAATAAAAAAAAGACAAGAATCTCGTCATTAATTCTCATAACTATTACATTTTTAAATGAGAATATTTAGGCTATATTGACATAAATAAAATGTATTATTAAATATGTGATGTAACTAGTCTCTTTTTACTTTTTAAATAGGAGTACCAGAAATTTCAAATTTGCATGTATGACTTTCTTTTTCTTTTCTTTCTTTCTTTTTTTTTTTTTGGTAGCATTGGAGTTGTACACTACCACCACCAACACACACACACACACACACACACACACAGCATATATCTGTACTGTGCATAAGAAATTTCTAGAAAGATACACAGAAAACAGTTAACAGTAGATATCTGGGGGTAAGACCTTAGGAATCCAAGTGTGAGGAAGACTTACTTTTACACTAAATGTTCTTCATAATACTTTTTTAAAGTGTCTACATGTAGCTTAGGATAATGCCAAGAGCAATTAAAATGCTGGCACAGTGCTAGTGCCCTGAAGTATGTAGGGGGTTTTCTCACCCATAATTTCCTCTGCCCCACTGTCCTGATAAGAAGGCAAGGCACGGGTCGTCCCTCCTGGAGGACGGTGGAAGGCAAGGAGCCGCCTGGACAGGAACACAGACCTCCTCTCTCCAGATACCCTCTCCTCCCTCCTCTTGAGCCACCCTCCTCCAAATCCATCAGCCCCTCTGCAGTGTGGTTGCCCTTGGTTACACTCAGAGGTCTCACAGAATATCTCCAGCCACAGGTAGACCACCCACCAGGTCCACAGAGAAGAAAGCAGAGAGAGGGAGCAAGGCAGGGCTGGGTGGAGAGCTGGGTCCCTTCATGCCAGGAGAATATTCTTGTGGGCTCCATCTGCAAGAGACCTGCCCTTTGGGTCTCTTTGGGCAGGGAGAATCTTAAGATACGATGCTTCAGAGATGCTCTCTATGGGCCTGTGGGGTTTGTGGGGAGAAAGATAGCAGTATATACCAAAACTGACGCCTGTAAGTAAATGCTTATGCATTTTTAAGGCCACCCCCTCCTCCTGCTCTGTGCACTGCTGTCCCTGCACTGTCATTCTTGAGACTGATGCTCCTGGTCCACCTGACCCAAGTTCCACTGATGTCCCTTGATCTAGATTTACCTGTTGGGAGCCCACAGTTATCAACCTCAAATAGCTGAGTAGGTCTGATGCCCAATGGAAATGCCAGAAAACATGTCTGTGGCCAGAAAGACTGAACCATCTGCTAATTGCTTGGGCATATTATTTAATTGCTGAGTCTCAGCTTTCTCAAAGCGTAAAAATGGAGACATACAATGAGGATTTTAGCTTAATGCCTGTTCATCAGAGAAGTTCAAATCCATAGTTGAATTTTTTCTTCCTTCCTATCAAAAGATGTGGCTACCCTGGACATTGTATTCAATTCCTAGACACAGATTGGTATTGCAGGTACCGCTCCGGAGTTCTGAGAAGTCAGTGATAACATTCTGGCTAAAGTCACACAAATGACTCCCAGAGTCCTCTTACCTGTAACAGGCCAAAATATGGAACAGATAGCTCACACTTGTGAGAGATGCAGGCAAAATGGTAGCCACCCAGACTCCTGGAATATGAAAAGGGAGATGAGAGGCCTTGAAAAATAAACTTAGAATGGAATATTCAAGAAGCAGAATCCCATACCCAAAAGGTCTAAGCAAAATTATGCTTCTTTTATCTATACATTTCCTTTATCCATACATTTCTTGATAGATAAATAAACTTCTACTCATTTTTCTGTTTCATTTTAACCACACACACCCTTGATGCACTTTATTTCCTTCATAATTCTCTCCTTTAGTGTTATATTTTTCACTCTGTAGCGAATAAAGGAAGGGAAAATTGTGGAGTACACACATCACTGATAGCCTCCGTCTATGGAAAACAACATTAATGTTTGAATTACAATTGCCACTTCTGGGGATGCGTTGGTTACACAGCAACCAGATACAAGGATAATGGGGATCAAAAGGTCTTGGCTATTCACTCATTCACCCTTAATCAAGTTTTTGATATTTAGAATCTAACTTGCTTTCAGAGAGATTCTGTGCATTAATGAGGGAGGAATGTAGGAATCAGGGAAGGAAGGTGATGCTTTGGTTTAAAAGGTTCTGTAGAAGCTAATCCTCAATAGGTACAGGAAAAAATAGCATTTGGCAAATCCAATCTTTATAATTAAAAACACTCAATGACCTAGTAATAGCTGGGAACTTCCTCAGCCTGATAAAGCGCACCTACTGAAAACCCACAGTAAGTATCAGACTTATTGGTGAAAGACTGAAAGTTTCCCTCAACATCAGGCACAAGATAAGCAATGTCAGCTCTTTTTTTTTAAAATAAATATATTTAGTTGTAGACAGACACAATACTTTTATCTTATTTATTTGTTTTTATGTGGTGCTGGGGATCGAACCCAGTACCTCACACATGCAAGGCAAACACTCTCCCAACTGAGCCACAACCCCAGCCCGCAATGTCAGCTCTTGTCAATTGTAGTCAGCATTATACTGGAGGTTGTAGACAGTGCAATTAGTCAAGAAAAAGAAAATAAAATGCATCCTGGTTGGAAAGGAAGAAGTAAAACTATCTCTATGCACAAATGACATGGTCTTATATACAGGAAATCCTAGGGGATACACACAAAAAATTAGTAGAACTAATAAATGAGTTCTGCAAAACTTTCAGGTTACAAGAATAATACATTAAGTCAATTGTATTTCTATATACAATGAACAATCTGAAAATGAAGAAAACTATTGCGTTTATAATAGTATCAAAAAGCATAACATACTTAAGAATAAACATAGTAAAAGAATATTCAACTTGTATATTGCAAACTACAAAAGATTTTGAAAGAAATTAAAGAAGATCTAAATTTATGAAAGGACATTTCATGTTCACATATAGGATATTAATTGTTAAAAAAATTGATCTACATATTCAAGTTAATCTGTATGAAAATCCAAATGCCATTTTGCATTAATTAACAACTAATCCAAAAAATCACTTCCAATGAAGAGACTAAGAATAGACAATATAATCTTAAGAAAGAATAAAATTACAGGATTCACTATTCCTAATTTCAAACTTAGTACAAAACTACAGTAATAAAGGTAGTGTAGAACTGGCAGAAAGATAACCAAATGGATCAATGGAATAGAATTGAGTATCAAAAATAAACCATTATAGTTTATAAGTCAATCTATTATCAACACAGATGATAAGACAATTCAGTTAAGAATAAATATGCTCTTCAACAAATGGTGCTAGAACAATTGGCTATTCACACACACATAAACACACACACAAATGAAGCTAAACGCATATCTCATACCATATGTAAGAATTAAGCCAAAATGGATCAAAGGCCTACATGTAAGAGATAAAACTATAAAAGACTTAGAAGAAAATATGAGGAAAAAAATCTTTGTGATCTTGATTTATGCAATGGTTTCTTAGCTCTGACACCCAAAGCACAAGTGATATAAGAAAAGTAGATAAGTTGGAATTTATCAAAACAGGAAACATCTGAGGGATGGACACAGGAATCAGGGGAGGAAGGTAATGAAATAGTAATTGACAATAAAAAAGGAATTAAAAGATACAAAAAATAATAAAAAGTTTAGATACATGCTACGGCATGATTAATCTTGTAAGCATTATGCTATGTGAAAGAAGCCAGTCATGAAAAATGACATAAATTCCTTTTATCTGACATATTCCGAAAAGACAAATTCATAGAGACAGAAAAAGGATTGGTGAATGTCTAGGACAGGGAGAGTTGGGAGGTGGGAGTGGGAGTGACTACAAATGGGTCATTATTTCATTCTGAGGTGATTAAAAATGTCCTGAATTTGATCCTGGTAATGGTTGCCCAACCTTGAGAACAAAACCACTGAATTGTGTAATCAAAAAACCAATTACACAGCATGTGACTTGTGTCTTCAGAAAGTTACGTTTTAGAAAAGAAAATAAGAGCTGATTTCAAGTTTCAAAAGAGTCTTTGTGTCTGGATCACCAAGACTAGGCAATGGCTATACCCCAAATCCCAATCAACCCATAGAATATGGTAAACCATCCTGAGCCCCCCAGGGGACTCCGAGGCCTTCTTGGGAGGAAGGAGTGAGTGCAGGCTTGCACCAGCTAGCAACCCAAACTTGACCTCACTGCTTCAATTCAATGCCTGTGTCTTCCCAGATAAAGGTGAAGAATGTCAAGTGAAAAGTCTCTTGGGACAAGAAGGCAGCTGTCTTTTTTTTTAATATTTATTTTTTGGTGTAGATGGACACAACACAATGCATTTTATTTTATGTGGTGCTGAGGATCGAACCTGGGTCCCACCCGTGCTAGGCAAGCGCTCTACCACTGAGCCACAATCCCAGCCCCATGGGCCGCTGTCTTAAAGTTGGAAGAGACCAGAGTACAGGGAAATTTTTATGTTGATTCTCAGAATACACATATACATAAGAAATATTTCAAAACATGAGTGACTTGGTTATTTTTCATTACCATGCACCCAAACCAGGAAACGGAGATTTGCCTTAAAAATTTCCTCAGAACAAAGATAGAAATGGGGACTTTCATAAATAAGACTTAGAATGGGTATTCCTGAAATTAAAGGGTAGCATATGCTCTCTGTGTTATGCCCAGGATCTCACCATGCTGAACATAAATATGCATTGAAGATAAATGAAATGTTCAGGGGCAACAGTAAACTATGGGACTATGGAAGGAGCAGTACCTGCCTCAGCATCCACCTGGAAGGTAACATCTATGACATACCTGGGTGTAAAAGAGTAATTCATATCAAGGCTCTCCTCGCCCAAGTTTTGATACTCTCCCAGCTCAAGAGTCTAAAAGGGGGGAAAAGTCACTTGCCACGTCTGTTTCATGAGTTAGGGAACATTAGCCATTAAATATCAGAGTCCTGAAAGTTTTTGCAAACCATTTAGCAAGCCTCTACAAGCCCCACTCTGCAGATGAGAAAACCGAGGCCAAGAGAAGGGTTCCAACTTGTCCTGCAGCAAGGACAAGTTGATCCTGATGCCTTGTCCAGGTGCTTTCTCATTTTGGAATAGAAGACAATTCTCCTTCCTCCACAGACAATGGACACGTCATTAGGATAGATCATTTTCAAAGAAAATTTTCTTTATAGGAGGACGTGACATCTCTGTTGCCCACAATAGAGGGGCAAAGGACTTTCAAAAGGAGACATATAAGTGGCCAATAGGCATATTAAAAACGGCTCATCACTAATTATCAGGGAATGTAAATTAAAACCACAGTGAGATATCACCTGTTAGAATGAATATTATCAAAAAAGACAAATGATAACTTAAGTGCTGGGAAGGATGTGGAGACATAGGAAATTCTGCATACTATCGGTTGGTCCATAAATTAGTACAACCATTATGGGAAACAGTAGGGAAGCCGTTTCAAAAATTTCCAAAAAATTGAAAATACAACTACTTTATGATCTAGCAATGCCACTACTATGTATATATTCAAAGGAAATAAAGTCAGTATGTCAAAGAGATATCTTCACTCCCATGTTCATGGCAGCATTATTTATAATAGCCAAGATATGGACTCAACCTAAGTGTCCATCAGCTAATGAATGGATTAAAAAAAAAAGTTGTGTATACAATGGAACACTATTCAGCCAAAAAAAAAAGAAGAAAATCCTGACAACATGGATGAACCTGGAGGATATTAAGGCAAATACCATATAATGTCACATACACATGGAATCTTAAAAAAGTTGAATTCATAGAAGCAGGAAGTAGAGAATGGAGGTTATCAGAGGTGGGCAGTGGCAGAGGGAAGATCTCAGGGAGCAGTTAATCTAAGGATACAAATTTCAATGGGACAAAAGAAATAAATTCGAGTCTGTTTGTGTGTGTGTGTACACATGTAATACTGCAGATTGAATCCAGGGCTTTTTAAAATTTTATCTTGAGACAGGGTCTCACCAAGTTGCCTACACTGGCCTCCAACTTACAACAAGAGATCTATTTTAAAAAGTGACCTTCGGGCAAATTTTTAAAAATGTGAATGAACTTTTCATGTTATCTTAAAGAAAAGTGAAGACTCGGTGTTTTATTTTATTTTCCAAGTGGAAAATAAAAGAACATTTTAGTTCTTTCCACTGGAATTGAAAAAAATAGGCTATTTAAGATAAGAAAATTCTCAGGGCACATTCAGTTCAGCCCCAAAGAGATCCTGACAAAATGTTCTGTGTCCCGACCCCTGTGTCTTTCTGTTGACCCAGGGAGGCACAAATCAACTCTAGCATATTTTGCTCCAAGGCCAGGCATCTCAGCCAGGTGAGTTCAACACTAACAGCAATATTACTACAAGTGTGCACTGCCACACTTAAAATTCCCTTGGTTTCCCACGCTGGTGGCGGGAATGTTGGTAGCAGATGGTTTTACCTTTGGAGACGCTGATCAGCTCCTTCACCTGCAAGATGACTGGGGTCAGGGTCCCCGTCTCGTTCATTAAGGCGACATAACTCTCCAGCTTGCCTTCAAACACATCCAGCTTGTCTCTCACGAACACAAACATGCAGAACTCAATGATGATGAACTGGGGACACAGAGCAAAGGTTTCAAGGTCTCACCTGAGTTTGGCTCAACAGGGGAATAGCATATGGACTCCCTTTGGTTTTGAAATCAGCCTCTTACAGGCATTTCAACTTCCAAAAGTGACCCTGGCTATTTTAAGATGAATGAGACAGGAGCTGATAGAAAACTTTCCACTCTGTTCTCACCTTATAGCACACAAGACTGGGCCCCAAGGAACTCCTCAAACATTAATGGGATCAGCGTGAAATGAATGGGTAACTTTGAGTGAGGGTGTAGGGCAAGCCCAGATGGCTACAGTTAAGCTCCCTCACTGAGACTTCCAGCCAGCTATGTTTTAGAGTGTAGTCAAGGTCATAAACACCCTGATTCAGCACTTTTGCTCAGATCAAAAACATCTTCTTGTGGGCACGCACTTATGTAACCTGCTGGCAAAGTGCCTTCTTTGTTTGGTTTGCATATAAAAATGCATATGGTAGGGATGAAGAGCATGAGAAGAAGATTAACATTAAACAGAGATGAGAGGTGGGAGGGAAAGGGAGAGAAAAGGGAAATTGCATGGAAATGGAAGGAGACCCTCAGGGTTATACAAAAGAACATACAAGAGGAAATGAGGGGAAAGGGAAAAATAATACAAGGGGGAGAAATGAAGGTCAGTAGAGGGGGTAGAGAGAGAAGAGGGGAGGGGAAGGGAGGGGGGATAGTAGAGGATAGGAAAGGTAGCAGAACACGACAGTCACTAGTATGGCAATATGTAAATCAATGGATGTGTAATTGTGATTCTGCAATCTGTATATGGGCTAAAAATGGGAGTTCATAACCCACTTGAAGCAAAGTGTGAAAGATGATATATCAAGAACTATGTAATGTTTTGAACAACCAACAATAAAAAAAAATAAAATAAAATATATAATCAAAAAAACAACAACAAAAAAAAATGCATATGGAAGGACTGGTGGCTAGAGGCTCCTACTGTCTCCAGGTAGAGCACGCCTACTATCCCAACTGCACCTTGCAACTTCTTTTACCTGCACAGATGCCAAATCTGTTTCCCAGGGTTTGAGCCCCTGCAGGACAAAGGGCTGACCTTGGGGACCGTTACAACCACCACTCCCATTGCTCTAGCCTTCATTGATCCTGACAGGAGCCAAATAGGAGAAGGTGTTTCCATACAAACGTGCTTACCCACCAGTCTGCCTTCCTATCATCGCACATTGTTTCTATGGCTCCTGCTGACATTTTTCTCTGCCAACCAAATCATGTTTGTCTCTGAAAGTGGAGCTCAAATGCTATCACGTACAAGCAGTATCTCAATTTAGAAGAATTCACTGAACTTCCAGAGCACATTCACCTTATCCACTTTTTTATCCTAGACTAGAAGATGTCTTATATATCCATACCATGTCTTACATCCATCACTCAGAACATGAGATTCTTGGCACAGTGCTGAACATACAATAGATGCTCAATGAACACTTAAGAAATGCCATAACTCCTAGGGAGTTGTTCAATATTGAAGAGAACTCTAGGTGTCCCTGAAAATCCATTCTCCCTTCTTTGGGTTGCAAAGCTAGACCCATTTCCTAGCTTCTTATATTAGGTGTGGCTACATGGCCAGTTCTAGCCAATGGAAGAGGACTAGAAGGGACATGTGATACTTGCCACCCAGTCCATGAAAATTTCCTATAAGCTGAACATAGTGGCACCCACCTGTAATCCCAGCAACTCAGGAGTCTGAGGCAGGACGATTACAAGTTAGAAGCCAGCCTCAGAAACTTAGCAAAACCCTGTCTCAAAATTAAAGGAAAGAAAAGTCTGGGGAATGAGGCCTGGTGGTTAATCAGCCCTGGGTTCCATTTCTGCTACCAAAAGAAAAAAAAAAAAAAAGAGAAAAACTCCCATAGGCATTTCTCCATGCTCCTTCCTTTCTGTTGACGGCATGCAGATGGTAATGAGGTTCTCAGGAAGCAGGAACACAGGATGAAAGATTACTGGGTTCCTGAATGACCGAGCTCTCTGAATACCCCCTCAGCACTGCTGTGTGGGCAAATAACGTAGAGTGTTGATCCACTGAGATTTAGGGGATTACTGGACACTTCAGCATAAACTAATTAATACATTCACTTGAAAACTTAATCACAGGATTAATTTAAATAAGGATCATCCCTATACATAGAGACGAGCAAAAGATGATTGGCCTTTACCATTTTTATTCTATTTGACACTCTCTTGACTGTCATTTTACCTCAGATAACTTTGACCACACACAAGTTTTGATTCTACAGTTAATAAACACTGAAATCCAGAATCATGTCAACATTTAAAAATTTGGGGTGAGGGCTGGGCTGTGGCTCAGTGGTAGAGCACTTGCCTAGCACGTGTGAGGCCCTTATTTCAATCCTTGGCACTACATAAAAATAAATAATAAAATAAAGGTGTTGTGTCCATCTCTAACTAAAAAAGTATTTTGGGGGCAAGAAAGCAAATTAAAATTAGACTCTTAAACTTCGTTCCATTTAAAAAATATACTACCATAAACCAATTCTAGTTGATCCACTTTTATATATTTATTTATTTATTGATACCGGGGATTGAACTCAGGAGCACTCGGCCACTGAGTCACATCCCCAGCCCTATTTTGTATTTTACTTAGACACAGGTTCTCACTGAGTTGCTTCATGCCTCACAGTTGCTGAGGCTGGCTTTGAACTCACGATCCTCTTGCCTCAGCCTCCCAAGCTGCTGGTATTACAGGCATGCACCACCGCACCAAGCTATCCATTTTTATTTTTAATTCACTAATAATTTGGCAGGATCAATTATTTGCTATTTAACTGACTTGAATTTTGATAAACAGCACAGTTTACTAACTAGATTATATAATTATGTTTTCTTTTATTTTCATTTTTGTGGTGCAGAAGATTGAACCCAGGATCCTGGGCATCCCAGGCAAGCACTCTGCCACCGAGCTACAACCTGAGCCCGAATTATAAGTTTTCTTTAGGGATCATTAATCCTACCAACTTTCCTGGGTCAAATTGTATATGAAATTATCTCAAATTTATTTTTTCTTCCATTAATTCTTAGTTAATGATAAATTTCACCACGTGGAGTTGTAACCACTATCAGTTTTATTTGTGTGGATTCATTTTCTTAGTGATATCTACCCTGTGGGTAAACATGTCCTTTGTGATCAAAATGGGAGCACTGAAGCCCTGTACTTCCTTGACTTACCAAGATTTGAATTTGGCCCAGCTTTTCAGGAACCTACTCAACAGATTCCATGTCTCAAAGACCCCATAACCCCAGCCCCCGCCCTGCTCCATTTATGAAATATAAAAGGATTTCCACAGAGCTACTTACAAGGTATAGGCAGATGAACGCCAACACGATAGTTCCAACCATTCTGCTTGGGAATTGAAAACAGGGGTCCCAGTCATATACCCTGGTTTGGAACCAAGACTTTTCTCTCTCTCTGTGAATGAATAAATACCAAGAAAAGAGACGTAGGTAAAGAAATACCCGATTCTTCCAACAATAGCACTGTCTTCTCCTCTTTGTCTTGGAATTTAGGGTACAGAAAGAGCATTAGTAGTTTTTACTGTTTTCATAATCCCTTATCTTTTTAAAAATATTTTTTAGATGTTGATGGACCTTTATTTTATTCATTTATTTATATGTGGTGCTGAGAATTGAACCCAAGGCCTCACACATGCTAGACAAGTGCTCTACCACTGAACCACAGCCCAGCCCCCATAATCCCTTATCCTTACAAAGACTGTGGGGGTTTTCTGGGTGGGGGGGCAGTAATTTACTAAGCTAAATGACCAAATTCCTAGCTTCTTAGCAGTGAAGAGTGATCAGACTAAATTCAGGCCAATGCAATTTGAAAAGTGGTGGTGGTGGTGGGGGGGACTTTGGAGAGGCTACCAGGGAGTAGTTCACCACTGAACAACATTTTTAACCCTTTTTATTTTTGATTTTAAGACAGGGGATTTTGCTAAATTGCTCAAAGTCTCACTAAGTTGCTGAGGCTGGCCTCCAACTTGTGATCTTCCTGCCTCAGCCCAGTCGCTGGGATTACAGGTGTGTGCCACTATCCTCAGATAGTTTGAGACTTTTATCTGCATAACTGGAAAGGAAAATTTTTCTTTCTTCTGAGCTCAAGTCAGGAGGATATAAACTTAAAAGTCTGGGAGCACCACACAGAGGAAGCCCACCTACCTGTGAAGCCCAAACAGTGAAAGCCTAGCTGGGAGAAGAGTGAGGGAAAGAGACCTAGTTCTGATGATATCAATAAGCCCCTGGAGGGCCGCACACAGCAGTGCACACCTGTGATCCCCAGTGGAAGGCTGAGGCAGGAGGATCACAAGTTCAAAGCCAGCCTCAGCAAAAGTGAGGCACTCAGCAACTCAGTGAGACCCTGTCTCTAAATAAAGTACAGAACAGGGCTGGGGATGTGGCTCAGTGGTTGAGTGTCCCTGAGTTCAATCCCTGGTACCAACAAAACAAAACAATACACCCTAGATTTGACTCCCTCCCGATTTCTTAGCAGTGTGAACCCACTCATTTCCTTTCTTGCAGATAGTTCACTTGGGGTTGTTTTCTCTAATTAGCCAACAAGAGCCCTGGCTCCTATAGCGCCATCCCACCAGTCCCAGGGCCTGTCCCCCGGGGGCTCCTCAGTGAGCCTGGGGGTGAAGGGCAAAAGCCGGCTTACCGTGGGCAGGCCTTCCTCAGGAGCTGTTTGACATGCTCCGCCTGGTGAGCTTCCAGCAGGGGCTTTTCCTCCTGTGGGAAAGGACACAGGAAGGCACCTGTCTGGTTCGGGTTCAGGACTCTGGGGGGCTATCGCTTTTGAGAGCAGGACTTTGGGAATGCGATTTAGCCATCGTTTCTTGGAGGGTTCCATCAGATTCCTGTTGATCAGGCTCTAGCTGCTGTCCTCGGCCCTCCTGCCCCCTGACTGCCAGCCACTGGGTCACTGTGTCACAGCACTGACTTCCTGAGACACTGGCGATTTCCCATCATAGTTCAAGTCCTGAATTAAGAAAGATGCACCCCAAATCCTAACACTCTCATTGTTGATGAAGAGGAGATTCTCTGGCTCATTGCTTACCTTTTCAGCATTTAAATAAAAGAAATTTTAGTGGTCTGGTTTGAAATGTTTCTCCAAGGGCAGTGAGCTTCCCACAAAAGTCACTTACTTTTTCTACAGATCAAATGTGTATATTTTCTGTGCTGTGAGGGGAGATCTTATATATCCAGGATTTGGGGTAGAGTCCAAAAGATCTGGTTAGGATCCCACTGGAGATCGGGATTTGTGTGCCTCAGACAAGCTTCGTCTCTGCTCTTGGGCCCCTCAGTAGCAAATGGAGTAAATAATATCTTCCAGAAGGTTATGGTGGGGACTCAGGAAGAGACTCTCTACAAAGCACTTGCACAATGCCTGTCCAGGAAAAGCCCCCAACTAGTGACAGCTATTTTCTCAGGATAAAAAAAAATCTTCCTTTTTTTCCCCCAATTTTAAGCAAAAGCATCCAAATTGGCCTTTTTTCTCTACAGAAAAAAAAAAGTATATGTTTAGATAAAATTTATATTTTAGAAAAAACACTACCAGCAACTGTATTTGAGGGGAATCCAGGAAGCCCTAACTTCCACATTCAAATATGAAACATTTTGAAGCTCTTTGTCATAGCCAGGGCACCTTAATGTCACTTTCTTTCTTGTGCTATTTTTAGGCAGCTGCAGATCTCTATGCTGAGTCTTCCCGCCATCCACCAACACCCTGGTTCTACGTCCTTCAAGATACAATACATAATGTTGTGTCCTCTCATCCACTTGAAGGTGTGCATGACCAAAGGGTGGCTTTGTCCAAAAATGTCTGAATGGCAAGTGACCTCATGGTGGAGACTTGAAAAGCTAGTGCATTCTTCACTGTTTTCTTTCCCTGTTCTGTGCCAATCAGTAGGGTTTTCAGTGATGGCTCTTCCATCATCCTGGGTCACAGAGCGAAGAGAACTTGGGAGAAAGCCCCCAGCACACCTTTGATGGCCATGCAGCAATAGTGAGACATGAGTTTTAAGCTACAGAGATCTGGAGGCTTGTTCGTTACTACAGCATAACCTAGCTTGTCCTGACTGCCATGTATTCCTTTTGGAAAGATAACCAAATGACAAGAAATTTTCAAGTTAAATAAAACAAACTAGTCACAACTCCTTCAAACTCAGGAGATGCAAAAGGCCAAAGCTGCAGCAAGTGAGTCCCAGGTATCACTAGAAACCCCAAGTTCTGATTCAACAGGAAGGTGTGGGGAGAGAGGAGAACCTATCTTACCCCAGCATGACCCCATGCTACAGCATTTACCCCAAGCCAGAGAGGCTGTGTATGACAGGGGTTAAGAGAGAGGCTCCCTAACCCCACTGTCTGGGTTCCAATTCTGGCTCTGCCATATATTGGCTGGGTTACCTTAGGCAACTCAACTCACCTCTCTGGGTCCAAGGTTTTGAATCCAGGAAGTGAGAAGTTATAAGGGTACCCACCTCCCAGGGCTGCCGTGAGGATTAAACCTGTGGTGCACACAACCAGGACACTCACCGCGCGGGGCTCCCAGCCCAGGTGGGCTTTCAGAGCCTTGACGAACATGTGCAGGAAGCGGCCCAGCAAGAAAGCCAGGCACAGCAGCGAGGGCCAGTAGAAGAGCAGGGTCTCGTACCTCCCCACAAACTGCAAGGGAAGCAGAGCAAGGGCGCGGGCTGCTGCGGGGCAGGGCCTGGCCACCAGGGGGCGCTGTGACGAGGGCTCGGCCGGCCCAGCAGCTCCCACCAAGGCCCGCCAGCCCGCGCTCCGAAGTCCGCGGCCAGTCCCCGTCCCGCCGAGATGCTCCGGGAAGCTCTGGACTTGGAGTCCCGCAGCCCGGGTTGCGGGTCTTTCCACCCCCGTTTTCTTTTATGAAAACAGTGTTCATGTCTTTTTTGTTTTTCCCGATTAGGAAATTAGATGTTCTTTTTGAAAAATATGAGAGACTGAGAGGCAGCTAGCCAGGTGGACGGACGAGGTGGGAAGGAAGAGAGGAAGAGGGAGAAGTAGCCCCGGAGCAGGGAAGGAGAGAGGGAGGCCTAGCAGCCCTCTTGCATCTTTCTCCATTTCTGGGCCCCAGGGCTAAAGACATGAACCAGCCTCCACCAACTCTGAGAAGGACAACTCATGGCCAACCCGGAAGGGTGCCCTAGTCTAATCCACCCCTTTTATAGACAGAGAAACCGAGGCTACACGGAATGGAAAGAAATGGGGTTTGGAGTCAGCCAGACCTGACCTCAATTCCCAACTCTAGGCTTCCTATGAGTTACTTAATGTGCTGAGACTCAGTTTCCTCACCTGTAAAATAGGTTTGAGGAACTTCCCCACCAGGTGGGGCTGCTGTGGGACCCCTACCTGCCTGTGAACAGGCACCCTGATGACCCCTTGATGAATGAACACAAGGTGTTACACAAATGGAAGCATCATGAGTGGTTCCCACTCCCTTCTTTGCACATGAGGAAGTTGAGGCCCAGACAGTGACAGAGGCTTGTCCAAGGTCACACAGCAGGTAGGCCATGATGATGTGACAGGTAAGGTCAGCAGACACTTACCTGCCCATGAGGACACTCTGAGATTTGAAGAACAGTGAGTACAAACCTGTAGGAACAGAAACAGGATTTAGGGCACTGGGTTCCCTCTGAGCCCAGCCCCACCAGTAGCTCCTGTGAAAACAGCCCAGATCCCACCAGCCCGGACTTGCCTCCCACTCCTTGCCCCCTGGGGAGGTCTGGTATCCCTCCCCCTCAGGCACCGTGTTTGGAAGATGTGGGGAGCTCGTCCTCCCATCCCCCATCCCCCATCATTCAGGTGGGACGTGGACGTCCAGAGTTGACAAGGTCTATCCAGGGCACAGGGATGCGGGGGCAAGCCAGGACTCGGACCCAGATCTCCTGACTGGGCAGCTGAGGCTCCTTCTGCCTCTCTGTGGCCTTGTCTGTAAACCCCCCTCTGAAGCTGTGAGCCTGGCTCAACACACTCCCCTGGTCACGTTCAAGGTCGGGCCCCAGCCCTATGGCAGCCAAGCTGCTGAGTGATTCCCATGCTCCTGTTTCCTTGTCCAGGGTTTGTCACCGGCTAATGGAGGATAGTGCTCCACATCGAACCCTGGAAGCCCTCAATTTAAATGTCTAAGAAGCATGTCACTGACAAACTTGGGATTGTGGCCGCTGGTGTGTCAGTTGCTTGTGAGGCCCTGCCGGCCACCCCTGGCTGATGGACCTGAGGACCTGCCCCCTGGAAAACACTAGCAGGTTCTAGAGGGATTTGGAAGCAAGAAAATGAGCCTCCCCCTGGGAGCTGGAGAATCGTTCTTGGTGTTACTCAGTCAACAGTGTTCCCTGGTGCCAGCTCTGTGCCAGTCTGGTGCCCTGTGCTGAGGGCACGGAGCCCAACAGGCAGGTGAGGCAGCTGGGTGTCTGGCGGGAGCCACTGTGCATGGAGCAGGAGGTCATATCTACCACTGGACCCGGTGGAGGGAAGACGACCCACACCAGGAATAGGAACACACGAACCAAGGGCCAGAACACGGGCCCGCGGCTCCGTCTTGCTTCCCCTGGCTCACGGTGGGCATGTAAGAGTGGTTGCAGGGTGAGCTGGTGCAGGAGTGCAGGAGTGTGGTCTCATGGGATGGAGGTGTGTGCTAGACACGGCTGGGGACTGCAGAGGGAGGAAGAGGCCAGGCTTCGGTGCCCCTGAATGCCAAGCAAGGGCACATGCGCTTTCTCTGAGGATCCTGAGACAAGCCATGATAGTGTTAAAGAGAAGCATCAAATGGGGTTCTCGTCTTCCCCAGGGGGACCCTGGGCAGCTTAAGTCCCCGACTTCTAGGAATATTCTAATAATGAGCAGCCTTAGGTGGGGCAGACAGAATGCTGCTCTGACCTTTGGAAGTCTCAAGTGCATTTCAAGAAGGGGGTCTCATGGGACCCTGGACAGGTCACCCCTGCCCACTCTGGGTCCCAGTTCTGGGCAAAGGTGTCCTTCAAGGGTTGCACTCAGATCACCTCCAGACTAAGGAATCAGGGGGTGCAGGGGAGCGGCAGAGTCCATCTTACCAGAGCAGGGAGTAGCAGAAGCCCAGGATGGAGCTGGTCAGCCGGAACTCAGACGAGAGGCAGGCAAAGAAGGGGAAGAAGGACAGGCCGACCTCGAAGCCTCCGATCAGAAGCACAAAAGCTGGCAGAGAAAAGGCCAGAGACGGTGAGCTCCCCCCTCACCCTGGGAAGCTGCGGTGCTTGTACAGACCTCAAGTTGGGGAAAGCGGAGAAGCTCCAGGCTACACCCAAGGAGGAGCAGAGCCTGTCATTCCTGCAACAGGCCCTTCCTGGTCCTGCTCTGGGCAGGCAGGGGGCTTTCTAAAGAGATGAAGAAGATTCGATCCCTGCAGGTGATTAGCTCACAGTATGACAGGTGGAGACAGACCACAGAAAGACACTCACAAAAACTACGAGAATACAGTACCATGAGCGCACAGTAGCAACATAGAGGGACATGCTGTGTACACTACAGCACACCCTCTGCATACGGGTCCTGCCACTCCCCAGCTCTGAGATGTTCTAACAGGATTTAGGAGAATCCATTCATGCAGGAGGACCTGTACCAAGTGTCTACTCTGAGCTGGTCCTGGGAGAGGCTCCGAGAACATAAGAAGAAAAGGTATCAAAGCTCCAAATGTTAAAAAAAAAAAAAAACCCACGAGAAATCTACATGACCTTAGTTTAGGCAAGAATTTCTTATATGATACCATAAGCATGATCCATAAAAGAAAAACAGAGTCGATTAGATTTCATCAAAATTAAAGGGGTCAGCCTTTCAAAAGTCTGTTAGGAGGATGAGAGTACAAGCCAGAGATGGGAGAAAACATTTTCAATTCATATATTGGATAATAGACTTATACCTAGAATATATAAAGAACTCCCTGAATTCAATAAGAAAACAAAAATCTCAATTTTCAAAACTAGCTAAGTGATTTGGACAGAATCATTATTATTAAACCTTTATCAAAGAGGGTATAACAACAGCAAATAAGCACATGAAAATACTCTCAGCCCCATTATTATGAAAATGCAAAGGAGTACCACCATGAGGTGCCATTACATACCACGCAGAATGGCTAAAAATAAAGTTTGGCCATACCAAGTGCTGACAAGGATGTAGGAATTCTAGAATTCACATACTATGGTGGCCATCTAAAAATGGTCACAATGACTTTAAAAAACAGTTACATAGTTTCTTAGAAAGCATGATCTACTGTATGATCTATATGACCCAGCCATTCCATTCATATTTATGTACCTGAAGAAAATGGAAACATGGACATATTCTAAGACTTGTACACAAATGTTTATAGCAGCTTTATTTGCAATAGCCAATAAGTGGAAATAAATCAGATGTTCATCAACAGGTCAGTGGATCAACTGTGATAGGTAGTGAAATATGCTCAGCAATTTAAAAAGATGAACTATTGATGAACGCTAAACATGTATGAATTGCAAAATAATTATGCTAGGTGAAGGAAGCCAGGTCAAAAAAAGAAAAGAAAGGGCATTCCAGATGATTCCATTTATACAAAGTCCTGGGACATTCAAAATAAGCAGGTAGAGGCCACAGGGAATCAGAGGTCACAAAGGGGAATAAGGAAACTTCTGGGTCCCTTATCTTGATTTTGGCATTGGATTCATGGGTTGGTTAAAACTTCTCAAATTGGGTACTTCTGACAGGTGTCCAGTGAGATGCCGTTTGGGTTCTGAAGATGGACGAGAGCCTGGTAGGCATTTGATCTTTTAAGCTTAGAGCCCCCGAGAGGGAAATGGGCTGGGCAGAGAGGTTCGGGAATTGTCTAGGAAATCCCTGAACCTGTAAATTAGACCCGCTTCTTCGGATGGAGCATGAGGCGGGAGGTAGGAGTGGATGGGAAGCGGAGCCAGTGGCCGAAGGAGCAAACATCATGCTTTGAGGAGGAATCCCAGGCCTGTTGACAACCAGAGGCAGCAAGGCTGGGACTCAGGAGAGCAGCCGGGTGTAGCGGGGGACAATCCCACTTCCTGCTCCCTTGTTACATCACGTCTAAAGGGTCTCTGAACCTCGCTGGGGGAGAGCCCCACAAACCAGGTTTAGGGTTTTGTGAGCTAGGTCTTGACCCTGGGCGAGTCACAGGCCGGGAAGAACACGGCAGTTCACAATGTTAACCCCCTGTCCCCAGAGAACCCCTGTGGCCCCTGATAGCAAGAACGTCCATGGTGAAGTCCCAGCAGGAGTGAGGCGGCCTGTACCTTGGGCCCACTGCGGGACCTGCAGGGGCTGGTAGCCTTCTGAGAACAAGAACATGATCTTATTGGCTGTGGCCCCAAAGGCGATTCCATAGGACCACCGGTTACTGAAAGTCCCCACGAAGTCCAGAGGCCTGCAGACAACAGAAGCAGCTCATGAGGACAGAAGATGACTCTGAGACACTCCCACAGATTGTTTCCAAAGTAGCCATCTCATCTGGAAGAGGGATGATTGGAGAGTAAACTCTTCATTATAACCGAAACTCAACTCGGAGGTCCCCTCAGAGCTAGTCCCCCGCCCTGCAGCTAGACACAGACTCCTGAGACTGAAGTGAGGAAAACGAACTTCTTTCCCTAGAGGAGCTCCAAGTTCAGTAGGGGACACAGCAAGGACACTAGTATCCACGACATCAGGCAAAATGAGACACGTGTGGTCTAGGAGACACAGACTGTATGACTGACTTGGTAGAACAACAAAAGTGTCCTATACAGGTTTGGGGTAACCTTCCCTGGACCCAAATATGTCCTATGAGAATTCTCTCTCAGTGTATCTGATGGGGTCTGGGTATCTCTGGCCACATTGGTGCCAGGTGATTGAAGGAACTAAGCCTATACCACTCTAGCACATTGATTATTTTGAGTTAAATACACTTTTAAACCTGAAGGCACAAGAATATTAACTCTGACCTTCATGTTGCTACTTCAACACAGGAGGTGAAATTCCCACGTGAAATTTCCCTCTCTATAGGAGAAAAATAGCATTCTTATCATAAAGATGAGAATTTGAGATTGGAGAATTCTGTTCGGAACTAATTAACATAACTCTAATCTTCACATCATTTAGTTACTTTTCCACAATGTGTTACTTTGGATCCAATTCAATATATCCATGTTCCACTTTAGCTGCCTCTGTGGACCTTCATTTCCTTGGGAGGGCTCCTGTGTCACATAAAATTTATGTTAAATCAATGTGCATGCTTTTGTCCTGTGGATCTCTTTTATGTCAATTTAATTCTGGGACCCAGCTGAATCACCTTAAGAGGGTAAAGAGAAAAATTTGCCTTCCCTATACCACCATGACTTCTTGGCAGGGTCACCGCCTGACTTTGGATGAGCCGGGTGGATGCCTGTTCTTGTATTTGGATTTGTGGCCCTTGGGCTATGAGCAAGTAGGTGGTTAAAGTCCTAATTTGGAAAGTCACATCATGATGGGATCAGAGTCAATGCCACACAGAGATCCTAAGTCAGAGATCCTAGCTACCAGAGAGGAATACAGCAAAATAATGCTGAGGGGCCCTGGTGACACAGGGACAGAAAGACAAAGAGCCAATCTCCCATAGGTTCCCAGCTCTAGAGACCAGTTCTCATTAGGCCATTCTGGTTTCTGTGAAATTTTTTATTTTCAAATTTTTTCTTTTCTTTTCCTGTAACTAAGCTTGAATGCACGTCTGTCTCTTCCAGCCAGGAGAGTTTGGTCTAGACCAGAGTAAATAACTCCAACTATAAACTATCAACTCCTCTGGGGCAGGACCTAGCCCAGGACCTTGGAGAAGGGTCCATACCTAGTGCAGGTTTTCAGATGTGCATGTTGTTGAACGAATTGCATTCCAATCAAGATGCCACTGACAGTACTTATAAGCCACGGGAGAGTCAGTTTCCCCATCTTTAAAACAGAGATGGACACCCCATTCTGCTCACCAGAGTGCCACTGTGGAAAGCAAATGGTAATCTGTGGAGGGCCACATGCACATGGAGTTATTGTTCAGTAAAGATGGAGGCAAACATCATGAAAAGAAGTAGGATGGGAAAGTGGCCAGGAGCAAGTCAAATGTGCCCTGGTCAATTTAATTCAGAGAAGTTTAATACAATTGCTATGGAATTCCTGCTTCTTACCAAGTCCTGCACCAGCCCCTTCATGTCAAATGCCAGGGGTGGGGTCTGAGATCTTTACCCATCAACCTCAGCTTTGCCTCCCCCAGCGTGGCTTACACCTGGTGCTTTAGGAGGGGTCAAATGTCCCAGGGAGTGTCCAGAATCCTCTAACTGCTGCTCAGAGCTGGTGTGAGGTGCCCTTGGACTTGGTGGTTGGATTTTTCCCTCTCTGCATCTAGGGTCAACCTCAGCCTCAGTCCTGACATTCTGGCTTCCTCTTCCTTCTCCAGAGCCCAGCGATGAGTTCTGTGGGTGTCCCTAGCTTGAACCTGCTCACGTTGACACTGAGAGATGGAAAAAATACCAAACCAGTCTGGGTTAAAGCTCCTGTCACTTGCAGCTCTATGGCTTTAGACAAGTCATTTAACCTGAGTCTGAGTTTTCTTATCCATGGTATGAGGATAACGGCCTCCACGACGCTATATTGCCAAGAGGGTTTAGGAAACTAATGCAAGGCAAGTGGCTTAGGGCCCGGGTCACAAACAGGGTGCAATGAATGTTAACTGCATGACAGTGATGATGATAGTGATGGTGATGATGGTAATGATGATGATGATGGTGATTATGGTGGTGGTGGTGATGATGATGATGGTGATGGTGATGGTAATGGTTGGGGATAATGGGGCAACATAGAACCCAAGAAAAAATATGATCAGGAATGTAGTGACTCAGAATGGCCTGAAAGGACTAGAAAGGACCTGAAAGCTCCCCTGGTGTGTGGAAGGTAGAGAGGAAACAGGAAAACAAAGGTGGTAGGCATCACATGGAAACCAAAGGGGGATCCGTGGAGTAGTGGAAAGGGGTTATTTACTGAAATATAACCCTTCCTGTGCCTGTGGCACTTCACAGCTTATAAAGTATTTCTTCATTTGCTCTCTACATTGACACTGTGATGAGCAGAATAGGGGTGTCCATCTGTTTTAAAGATGGGGAAACCAAGTCTCACATGGCTTGTAAGTACTGCCAGTGGCGTCTTGATTAGGATGCAATTCAATTCAACAACTTGCACATCTGAAAACCTGCACTGGGCGTGGACTTTTCCAACACTGGGGAATGATATTGGCCAAGTCATATTGTTATATTTTGTGCATGTAACAAATACGTAACAATGAATCCCGCCATTATGGACAGTCACAATGCACCAATAAAAAAAACTACAGAGGGGGGGAAAATTAAAGAAAGCTCCCCTGGTGCAGCAAGATCTGGCACATGACTCATGGCACCATCCGCCAGGAAGACTCCCTGCCTCCAGTCACAGGGAACGCTCTTCCTCCTGTTCCCCGAGATGGCCACACCTTCCACGTGGGAAGGCCTTTTCCACAGGAATCTGAGTCCTCTTAGTCTCCTTCCTGCAGATCTCAGCACCCAGGGCTGCGATGGCTTCGAAGTGGATTCTCATCTCTCGGGTGTTGTTTGGATTGGGGAAGGGACACGCAGGACTGTGCATGGATCCTGGGAGCTACCTGGCCTCAAGTTGATGTTGGTCACAACTACAGAGTACCCCCAGCTGTAGGGGCTGACCCCGACTCAACTCACACGATGATTCCAAAGTGGTTCCCCAGGAGGTAGGAAGTGTCGTCTGTCTGTCTACCATGCTCTCGTCTTTGTAGGAGGGACAAGACCAAAATGATGAAAAGCTGTAGAAGAGAAGATGGAGAGTCAGAGGGACCTGTTCATCTTCAGCTGGGCCTCAGTGTCCCCACTGAAAGAGGGTGTGTGGCTGAGCCCAGCATGCAGAGCGTCCCTGTCACCTCACACTGCAGAGTCAGGGGTCTGACTTTGTGGCCCTGAGCTACCAGATATTTTGCAGTGAGCTTTCTTTTGTGTTGCCCTGAACAGATGTGGGTTCAAACCTGGTTTCTCCCACACACTGGCTTGAAGGGAGACTTAACTTCCCTGAACCTTGGTCTCTTCATCTGTGAAAAGGCAGTGGTGACTGTCAGAGATTTGCTCTGTGGATTCGGTCATGTCCTCATACATGGAACATGTCTCATGTTCCAAAGCTCATAACTATACAAGCACACATTCGGTATTTCTTTGTAAGAAGCATCTCAAATTCAGTGGGTCTTAAATGGAACTCATGATATTCTCCCTGCCTTGTGGTTTCATCCACCCCAAACCTGGATCTCTTCTAATTTTCCATCACTAGTGAATGGCAGCTGCCACCACCCTTCCAGATGTGCAAGTAAAACCCAGGAGTCATCCTCAACCTCTGCTCACTCTAACCTCCCTCCCCCACCCATGAGCAGGTCCTCTCACTCCCAACATCTCAAGTTGTCCACCCCCATCTAGGAGGACCTAAGCTGCCCTCCCTGAGCCCCACAAAAGAGTCCAGCCTCCTCTCCACACTGCAACCAGAGTGAGCTTTAAAAACACAAATCTGACCATGCCACCCTCACGCTGAAAACCCCTCGGTCACTTCCCTTGTCCTCTGATTGATGACAGAACTCAACAGAGAGCCCCACAGGGCTGGGCCCTGCCCTGCTCCCCAGACTCCTCCACCTGGGCTCCCCACTCCTGGCCTTCTCAGCTCCTCACGCTCTCCATCTCCTCTCTCCCCACAGGGCCTTTGCACAGGCTCCGTCTTCTATCCGATATCGCTGATGGTTGAATTCTTTACATCTTTCTTCTATGAGATTGGTGTATAATGTAAGAAACTGAATGAAGGTTTTAGAAGAAACTCTGCTGATGTCCCTCCCCTGAGCTGTCAGCCCTCCAGGGGCCTGTGTCACACAGCCACCCAACTCTTCTCCCCTCTTCGTCCCTCCCCGGTCTTTACTTACTGATGGGATGATAGAGTAATGGAGAAAGAGCTCCATGTCCACTGAGCTGGTGCAGGTGCCATTTAGCTGCCTGGTTCTGGAAAAGGGCCAAAAACCACATCGTCGATCACTGCTACGGACTCCTCAGCCTTGAACATCCCCGACAGGAGTTTGGCTTGTTGACCACTAAGACCACCTGATCTTTTAAAATTTTGCTTTCTCTGAGTCAGGGATGCTCCTTTGTGGTGTGTCTTCCCTAAATGGATTGATTTTCTTTCATATTTCTCTCTCCAGCTTGATGACTTATTCAACTTCCTTGGTAACCGAAATGAATTCCTTCTTTTGTTGATGACACAAGCAGGGACAGATTCAGGTTATGTGAGCCCCAAAATATGTAATCTGGGTGTTCTTTTAAAATATAACTACAGGGGGCTGGGATGTGGCTCAAGCGGTAGCACGCTCGCCTGGCATGCGTGCAGCCCGGGTTCGATCCTCAGCACCACATACAAAATATAACTACAGAAAGATCTTACATTTTCACATTTTAAGGAAAACCTATGACCACGTACACACTTAACTAGAGTCCCTCCGCCTTCCCAGAGCCTTGGAAGTGTACAAACAAGGAGACCTCAGACTGAACCATCACTAGCTTCCCAGAAAATCTGTTTATGGACATAGTTTCCCATGGTCAAGGTCAAGAAGCACCAGCTGGGCTGTTGGGGCAGGAGAGAGGCTATTGGACTACACCACAGACTGGCCTCTCTGGTCCAGTGTCCGCAGGACAGGTGGTGGGGCTCATGTCTGAGACACACGGACATAGTGGAATGACTTGTTTTTTCTTTTTTGGTACTGGAGACGGAACCCAGAAGTGCTTTACCACTAAGATACTTCCCCAGCCCTTTTAATTTTTTATTTTGAGAAAGGATCTCCCTAACTTTCCCAGGCTGGCCTTGAACTTGAGACCTTCCCACCTCAGCCTCCTGAGCAGACGGGATTACAGGCATGCACCTACGCGCTCAATTTCATGGCTTCTTTGTGAGAGGGATTCCTTCCTTTCTGGGTCGAGGAAGGAATTTGGCTGGTTGCCCACTAAGACCACCTGATCTGTACTCTGTTCTGCTGCTCTGACTTCACAACACCCCCAAAGCCCACTCCTGCCGTCCCTGACCCCTGTGGCATCCACTCGGCCATCTCCTGGGCTTCCTTCCCTGGCAGTGACTACTGTCCCCTCCAAAGCCTCAGGGAAGAGCACTTCTCCAGGATCCCATGAGGTGACACAGTCCTCATAATTCTAAAACCTCCAGTAAATGGTGGGGTGGAGGTGGGTGAGACTCAAGCTGTCAGAAATGTCATGGAACTGTCATCGGTCTTCTGCTCTTAGGAAGGTAAGCTGAGCCCATGCCCCAGTCTCCCCATTCCATGTGAACCCTCAAAGCGGAAGGCAGGCAGGCAGGCAGTTATGTTTCCAAGCAAGAGAGGTATCTACCAGGGGGCACAGAAACTGCTAGAAAACTCTGGACAGTGGGGAGCAATTAGGACTCTAGCAGAGAGAAAAGGCACCACCCAACATGACCACAGACCACGCAGGAAGGCTCCACGCCCACAGCAATTGGCGGGGGGAGGAGCAGAACCGGGCGGCAGCAGAGCACAGTGATGAATGGGGTCTTCTGAAGACAGCAGTAAGACAAGATTCCCAGGTAACAAGACAAAATGGATCTGTGCGGAAGGAGAAGGATTTAAAGGCAACCGTCATCAAAGAAGTTAGTAAAACACTGTTAAGATCTAAATAAGTAATTATCAGCAGGGCACCATGGCGCACACCTGTAATCCCAGCTGCTCAGGAGGCTGATGCAGGAGGATCTCGAGTTCAAAGCCAGCCTCAGCAACTTAGCGAGGCCTTAAATTATTGAGACCCTGTCTCTAAATAGAATATTTTTTAAAAGGCCTGGGGATGTGGCTCAGTGGTTAAGCACCCCTGAGTTCAATACTCAGCACATATATAGAGAATGTAAACCATTATATTAAAAAGTATATATGGGAGAAAAATTCAATCTTCCCAACAAATGACCAAGAAGAGGAGAAAATGAAGATAAATAGAGACCCACCATGAAGACAAAAAGATCCAAAGACTAGTAAGCCACCAACAGAGGAAAAACCACAAATATTTTTAAATACTTAAAATTTTAAATGGACAAATGATCTGAATTGTCATTTCTCCAAAGAAGACACACAAATAGCCACGAGGTACATGGAAGTGTAGATTAGTGCTAAACATCACTAATTTCCAGGGAAACACAGATCCAAACCACAGTGAGGTGTTAGCCCCCCTCGTTAGAATGGCTACGATCAAAAAGACAACAAATGACAAATGCTGGCGAGGATGAGGAGGAAGGAGAAGGCTTTACGGTATTGGTGGAAATGCACATTTGTACAGCTGAGAGGGGAAAACAGTATGCAGGTTCCTCCAAACACTGATACAGAACTCTCATGGGACTCAGCAACCCCATGGCTGGTGACACATCGAAAGGAAAGGAATTCAGGGCTGGGGATGTAGCTCAGTGGTGGAGCACTTGCCCAGCACACACAAGGCCCTGGGTCCCAACCACAGCACCAAAATATAAAGAAGGAAATTCAGAGTGTATTGCAGAGACATCTGCAGTCCCAAGATCATTGCACTGCTGTTCAAAATGGGCCAGATACGGAAGCAGCCCAGGTGTCCACTGGCAGATGAATGGGTAAAGAAAATAGGGTGCATATACACAATGGAGAACCATCCAGCCACAGAAAAGACTGAAATCCTGCCATGCAGCTACATGGATGAGCCTGGGGAACGTTAGAAGTCAGGCACAGACGGAGCAATGCTGCATAATCCCATTCGTATGTGAAAGCTAAAGCAGCTAAAATTCTATAAGTTTAGGTCTAAGGAGCAGAGTTGGATAGAGAGACATAGGTTAACGGCTGCAAAGTACAGTAGGATAGGAGGAATCCGTTCTAGTATTATATAGCACAGAAGGGTGACTATAGCTAACAATAGTTTGTTGTATATTTCAGAATTGACAGAAGAGAGAATTTTGAATGTTCCTAACATACAGGATAAATGTTTCATAGACAGTTGAGAAATGTTTGAGGGGACTGATTTGTCCTGATTTATCACTACACGTTGTACATGCATGGAAATCTTCCACTGTGTACCACAAATGCTTACAATTATTATATGTCAATTAAATAGTAAAAAATGAATGTAAATAAATATCTAGAATTCAATTAGTCATGAAAGAAAAAGTTAAGATGAAATGCTACCTGATCTATGAAATTGGGAACTATCGTAAACAGTTACCCAGCAATATTGAAAGTTAAGACAATTAGTATTTATTTACTGGGGGTCATTTATTTACATTCTGAGGATTCATTTTGCAATGTGTACCAAGAATCTTTAAGAAACAATTCCATTTCCAGAAATTCTACTTTTAAGAAACATCAGCTAAGGACAAAATCTGAGAAGGGTTTGAAGGTATGAACTAGAAGACTACATTGTGTGGAGAATTTATCTTCCTCCCTCTCTCATATGTGTGCATAAAATGTTAAATGTAACATATGCTCATTGCAAAACCTTCAATATATTTGCAAGTATATAAAGTAGTAAATGAAAATCTTTTCTCCTTCCAAAATTATGTTTATAACCTACTTTGTTTTTTAAGCAAAAAACCAGAATCAGACTAAATTTGATTTTTCATTTAATAAATAAAGGAAATCATTCATGCCACTATGTAGAGACTCATCTAATTCTTTTTGATGGGTGACCTTGCCTGGACAGATTTGCTGCTGGGCCTGTCTCCTGCATTGAGGGGCTAAGTCAGGAGTTAGACTCGTAGCGTCTTAGCGACTGGTTTGTTCAGGCGAGGTCTACAAGTAGCTCTCCAGGAGTCCAGAGCTGCAGAATCTGATCCCCTGACTCACCTCACAGCCCAGCAGTCACTGTGGTGTACAGAATTCACATGTGTTGGAGTCAACATAAGTGAGAAGACCCCTGAGTCCATTTCTCATATGCTTTCTGGTGAACCCAGGGTTGCCCCAGTGGGCTTATTGAAGTTTCTGGGCAGTGGCCAGATGTCACTCTACAAGATCTGCCTAACACTGAGAGTGGCATGACAAAAACGTGCTTATGATACACCGCTCACCAAAAAAATGTAAAGATTATAAAACATTACATTCCCGGGTTGAGAGTGGTCATCTCTGGTGGTGGGATTGGAGGCCGTCTGCTTTCTTTTTCTTAATACTTTTCTGAATTTTCCACCTAAAATACAACAGAGATGTTTGGCTCGACGGCTGTGTATCTATCCTAGGGCGTAAAGCAGCGGCTAGCACAGAGTAGGTAGCAAAGAACGAACACGCATGGAATTTGCAAGTGGGGAGGACTGAATGCTGTCCCAAAGAATGGAAGGCCATTCTGAAGGGAAACTGTCCGTGAAATCAGCGGTAAGTGATGTGACATGTGCAAGGTTTGCCCTAGGACAGAGCAAAATGCACAAATCTTTCATCAAAGTTAAAGAAATTGAATATAAAGCTATGGAGTCAGGCTGCGAATTGACGTGTCTCTTCGTACATCCAGAACATAGTCACCTGTACTCCCATCTCCTCTCTCCAACACCCCAGCGTGGACTGTCTCCTGGGGGTGGAGGGTCCCCCACAGTCCTGCTTCCACTGGTGCTAACATGTAGTAATAGGATAAACCCATGATGGATAGCCCCCGTCGACTGACGTCACTCTATTGTGTGTCCCTCTGTCCTAGGCACTCCACTCTTTGTATTAACTAATTTAATCTTTATAAGAATCTTGCAGGGCAGGCTGAATCAGCCCCTTTTTAAAATGAGGAACTGAAAATCAAGGAGGCGAGGTTAGAGTCAGTGTCCCTGCAGTCACCCGCCTCCCTGCCCCAGTTCTCAGAGTTCCCTGGCCGTCCAGGCAGCCGTTGACCCGTCAGTGACCCCGAGTCTAGTCCAGAGCCCATTCAGCAGAGTCTGAGAAGATGTTTATTAATGTTTCTTATGTTTCTGTGGAAACTTCCCTCAGGAAGCTGAGGCCCAGAGAGAGGCAGTGACCAGGGAATGCCACACAACCCAGGACCAGTTCAGGTTCCCCTCGGTGGGCTCAGTGGGCAGGATGCTGACCACCTCATGGATAGCAGAAAGGATGCTTGGTACAGAGGAGGGACAGGGGAGGAGGAAGAGGTGGGTGTGCATCCACGTGTGTGTGTCTGTGTGTCCGTGTGTGTGTGTGTCTGTCTGTGTATGCAGGTATCCGTGGGATGCCTGGTAACCCACCCCCTGTGTTGGGGGTTCTTTGTGAATCCCAGGAGCCTGCAGAATCCCACCTCAGAGCTGGGAAGTGGTGCTGAGGCTGCCTGGAGCCAGATTGGAAGAACCAACTGTCACCCGATCAGGAACTCCGCAAGGGGGTTAAACACCACAACTGCCCCAAATTAAATTATAGAAACTTATATTTAAGTCAATTATATTAAACACAAAAGTACTAAAGACTCCAAAGTCATCCCTTCCTAATTACTTTCTACCTTTTCCTATTACCTGTGCACTGGAGGCTCTTTACCAACATTGTGTGGAGAGGAGAGCAGCACAGCGTCAGGGTAGGTGATTGCCTGTGTCCTCCCCGGCCACACTCAGGGGCATCTTGCAGCCTGACATGAGTCACGTGGGAGGACTAACACTGTGAGAACTGGCAGTCACTACCAACCAGGGGTTGGACTGTTGTTTTGTAGATTGTCTATAAAGTAATGGAGACACGTTAATAATGCAGATTTTAAAATATATTATGTTTGTAGCCTTTACACTGTGAGTAGCAAAAAGTATCTATTTTTTTTTTTAATATTTCTTAGGACTCAAAAACTTTTATCCCATTCATCAAAGGAGCAGCTCCTGTCAATTACAAGCAAAATTCTGACTAACGTCTTCCTTGTTTCACACTTGTCTTACTCATTAATGTAAATAAAAGTGTCAACCAAAGTTCATGTCAAAACTACCCTCATCTATCAGTGGTCACATAGGCTGGCCACAGGCACGAGAGGACAGCAAAAATCAATGGAAAGCATCCTGGGCAAATGAATCAGCAGGATGGAATATGTAATAAAGATCATGGCATATTTTATTATAATTTGTGAATTGTGTGACATATCTGCTGTATAAATATGACTTACAATCAACTTATATGTAAGGATGCCACCTTCCTTTCGGGGAGTCCGATATGACACATTTCCCAGCACACCGCTGGCAGATGTGACCCTGGCCTTGGGCATGGCCTAGAAGAATGAGATTTCCAAAACTGGAGGATGGGGTCAATATTAACGAATGTATTAGGGGAAAGCCAAGTTTAGGGTGAGGAGCACAGAGGAAGCCATCGCGCCAGCCCTCTCTCTTGGGCCACTCTTCCTTATTGTACAAGTTCGTACTCTGTAAAATGAACAGATTGGGCTAGGTCAGGCTTTCTAAAATTTTTGACTACAAGTCACATTTGTATGTGTTACACACAACGCACAATTACAGCGATGACCCGGTTCAGGTATGTGTATGTATATAATAAATCTTCATAAAACAATGTCCTTCCTCTGCTTGGTGCTCTCTGATATTTTTAATCTGAGTCAAATCATTTCTGGTCTGACCATTTCATTTTGCAAAATGCTACACCACTGAATTCACCCGACAGCCCACTTTTGGTTGCAGCCAGTTGTTTGAAAAAAAAAAGAAAGAAACTGATCAGATGACTGCTAGGGGCCCATCCATCCCCAAGGGCCTCTGACTCCATGACACATTCAGCAAGCATGTGTCTTCGCACTGCAGGTCCCCAAACTCCAGGACTTGCTCAGATGTGTAAATAGCAAGTGAGGTCATTTGGAAAGTTCATCTCGGCTTTATCTTTTCTTTCTGGAACTGGAGCCAAGGCCTCCTGGCTCATCTCCCTCAACCAGAGACACTCCGCCTCCTTCCCTTGGGGGGTTGGAGGGTCACTCCCCTCCGTCAGCCCCTCTGCAGCATTAGCACTTCTGCCTCAAGTTCCCTGTGGGGTTTCCATGTCTCATCTCTCATCTTTAGGGCATGGGATTTTTCAAAAACTAGAAGCAGGTTTTATTCAAAATTGGACTTGAATCATCCCCCACCTACCCCTACCCCTGGCTTCTGACTTGAGTCAAAGTACATTACAAATCCAGGCAAGTGCTTGAAGAAGGAGGGAAGGGAGGGAGGGAAGGAGGAAGGAGAGGGTGGAGGGTGAGGGAGAGGCACATGGCACGCATGTGGCTGAGCTGCCCTGACGCCACCCCGTCCACCATGATGTAAAACACCCCCAACTGCTCCTGCTCACAGGATCAGAATCCAGGGCTCTGGAATCCAACCCCATGTGAGGTTTGACTGCCTCTGAGCACCCCTGATCCCCCATGGGACAGCCAGGAAGCCCCATTTGACCTCCCGAGGCCAACTTCCTCTTACTGGGTCAGTGGGGAAAGGGCTGGCTTTGGAGCTAGGCCGACCTGAGGGCAAGTCCCACCACACAACTGCTGTGTGGCCCTGGGCGAGCCATGCCCCTCTCTAGACCTTGTTCTTCTCTTCCTGGAAAGAGGTCCACTGCCACCCTTCAAGGTGCCAGGAGGATCAGATACAAGGAGAGTCACATGATGCCCTTCGTGACCTTGACAGGAAGAGCAATCCTTCTCTCCCCACCATCCTTCCCTGCTTGTGGGCAGCTCTCACCAAAAAAAAAAAAAAAAAAAAAAAAAGTGTTTCTCCCTTTGCAAAGCTGAAAGGAGACACCACCAGATATGCTTCTGCCTCTGCAGACGCTGGCTGCTGCGCCTGTGTCCCCTGAGAGCCTTCGGGCCCTTCTCCAGGCTGAGCACCTCTGCCCTTCCTCGGTCTTCCTTCCTGTCCTCCCCAGCCTCCCCCAGTGTGTGTCATGACCAGCAGGGCGGGGAGTGCCAGGGCTCCCCTGCTCTTGGCCCCTGACCATGCAGTGGATTGCAGTCTCCCACCTGGTTAACCAGTAGCCAAAGGCACGACCCACGCCTGGCCCTGTGACCAATCTCACACTTCCCGTACCTTTGCCCAGAATGGCCCCATCCCTGCCCCCATCCACTGGCCTCCTCTGATCCTCTGACAAAGAGGCCAGGCCAGGAAAACTGCATTGAATGGGTCCTAACTCTGTTATTCAATGCAGTGCCTCCTTAGCCTCAGGAAACCCTGGGTTTGCTTGGTCACTGGTGAATTGAGAGGGACAGACTGTCGCAGCAATCAGTCCACTGTGTGAGGAGGGTCTGTGTCTCACATTGGATGAGGAGGCTCCTTGAAGGCTGGGACACTTCTCCTCATCTCCAAGTGCCCAATCCCTGGGCACAGTAGAGAGAGGCTCACTGCTATTTCTTAAACAGATAGATGGTGTGCTGACACCCCTTGAAATTCCAGCTATGGTTTAAGGGTTGTTTCTTAACTAATTTCACCCCCTCAACAGCTCTGTGAGAAAGGTACTATTCACCTCCTCACTTCACAGATGAGGAAACCGAGGCAAAGAAAAGAACCCTGTCCAAGTTAGCAAGGGAGGGAGCAGGCTTTGAGCTCCGACAACCTGCACAATCCCTTGGCTTCCAGCCATCGGATTCCATGACTCTTCAATTTCTAGCTCCTGTGGACAGGGTGGTCTGAGCTCTCTCAGGACAAAGATGAGACAACAGCAGAAGGGGTGACAGAGTGACTCATGCACCCTGTCACCTGGACACAGCTGTGAGAATCCACGGGGGAAAGCAGACCTTCTTTCAAAAATGAATTCCCTGGGCTGGGGCTGGGGCTCAGCGCTAGAGCACTCGCCTAGCATGGGCAAGGCCCTGGGTTCGATCCTCAGCACCACGTAAAATAATAAATAAAATAAAGGTATTGTGACCAACTACAGCTAAAAAAGATATTTTAAAAATAATGAAGCCCCTGATGCCAGGGCAGTGGGGTGGGAAAGGAGTGGGACGTCACAAAACACGACAAGCCATGTGTCCACAGGTGTCGAAACTGGGTGATCGATATGTGGGCTCCACACACCATCCTCCCTTCTCTTGAATGCATGTGAGCTTTTCCCTAATGAAAAGTTTAAGTTTTTAAAATGCGACAAAATGGAGCCCAGAAATACCATAAAATGCAGGCTGTCTTCTCTGTTTTCTTTCCAGTTCCTTCCTCCCCCTCAGGTCTGTCTCTTGGTCTCCCAGGTTGTTGTGTGACTCTCAGTCCGTCGCTCTGTTTCTTGGTTTGTCCCTGTGGGTGTCATTTTCTGTGACTCTGGGAATCAGGGAGAAAATGGCAGTGCCCCCCACACCCCCTGTCTTTATCCCATCTTCTCCCAGGGCCCCTCCTTTTCCTCTCCCTGTGTCCAGATCTCTGTTCTCTTCTCCTTGCTTTGACCTCGTCACCCATGTTAAGTTAACTGCACATCGAGGCACGGTTGGCTCCGGGTTGGTGCCCCTCCTCTGGACTACACGCATGGGGTATTTTCATGCATGTTTAAAAAGCTCAGATAGATGGGCGCAGTGGCCCATGCCTGTAATTCCAGCAGCTTGGGAGGCCGAGGCAGGAGTATCACGAGTTCAAAGTCAGCCTCAGCAAAAGTGAGGCACTAAGCAACTCAGTGAGACCCTGCCTCTAAATAAAATACAAAATAGGGCTGGGACTCAGTGGTCAAGTGCCCCTGAGTTCAATCCCCACCCCCCAAAAAGGCTCATATAATGCTGCCATGAAAGAAAATATTGGTGCTTCAATTCACAATAGCTAGACTGTGGAACCAACTTAGATGCTCTTCAATAGATGAATGGATTAAAAAAATGTGGCATTTATAAAAAAATGTGGCTGGAGTATTACTCAGCACTAAAAAATGACAAAATCATGGAATTTGCAGGGAAATGGATGGCATTAGAGCAGATTATGCTAAGTGAAGCTAGCCAATCCCTAAAAAACAAATGCCAAATGTCTTCTTTGATATAAGGAGAGCAACTAAAAACAGAGCAGGGAGGAAGAGCATGAGAAAAAGATTAACATTATTAAACAGGGACGAGAGGTGGGAGGGAAAGGGAGAGAGAAGGGAAATTGCATGGAAATGGAAGGAGACCCTCATTGTTATGCAAAATTACATATAAGAGGATGTGAGGGGAAAGGAAAAAAAATCAAGGGAGAGAAATGAATTACAGTAGATGGGGTAGAGAGAGAAGATGGGAGGGGAGGGGAGGGGAGGGGGGATAGTAGAGGATAGGAAAGGCAGCAGAATACAACATACACTAGTATGGCAATATGTAAAAACGTGGATGTGTGACCGATGTGATTCTGCAATCTGTATACGGGGTAAAAATGGGAGTTCATAACCCACTTGAATCAAATGTATGAAATATGACATGTCAAGAGCTTTGTAATGTTTTGAACAACCAACAATAAAAAAAGAAAAGAAGATATTGGTGCTTGAAAAACACAAAAATCCATTTTCTACCTACCATTCTCCTCCTCCTCTTCCTCCTCCTCCTCCTCCTCCTCCTCCTCCATCTTCTCCTTCTCCTCCTCCTCCTCCTTCTCCTCCTCCTCCTTCTATTTTTTTAAATAATCAAACCTGGGTGTAACTTCACAGCTATACCCCAGCCCTTTTTATTTTATTTTGAGACAGGGTCTTGCCAAGTTGCCCAGGCTGTCCTTGAACTTGAGATCTTCCTGCCTCAGCCTCCCGATCACTGAGATTACAGGTGAGCACCATCATACTTCCTACCATCCTTAACTGTAAAATAGAGTGTTGCTCATTTTCATTTCTTTTCTCCGACTAAACATAATAATAGCTGTTGCTTGTTGGACGCTTGCCAGGTGCCGCATATTAGGCTCAGGTTCTTCCAGTTATTACCCCACTGAGCCCTCTCACAACCTGTGCAGTATGTACCCCCACTGCACAGACGAGAAAACTGAGGCTTTGGGGAGGTGGAGGAAAGCCCAAAGTCACTCAGCTACTGACTGACCGAGCTGGAATCCGAACCCTTCTTCCAGTTTCGAAACAGGAAACCCATTCAGCACTAAAAGAACATGAAGATATTGATAATGCCTTAGTGTCTGGGATCCTCAGGGGTCCCCTACTCTTAACTGGTAGACCAATCTGAATAACACGCTCAGGCCTGAGGCTGCCCTGTGAGAAGGACCCAGACCAGCTGAACCATGTCCAGAGAGATGACCTTGATGGTGAGGAGGTCCTGGGAGGGACAAAGGGAGGCTCTTGAGGGCCTGGTGCTGACTTCTCGGCCTGCCAAGGGCCCAGAGGGCACAACTGGAAAGGTCTCTGGGCTCAGATCACAGGGTCAATTGCCTGCCTCCTGGGTATCTTTTGGGGTGTCCCATAGGTACCCCAGTCCAACCTGTCCCAACTAAATACTCCACCAGCCTGCTCCTCCTCTGGAGTCCTCGCCTCATGAGAGCCACACTACACACCCATCCGTCCAAAAAGAGGCCCAGAGTCACCTCCCCTCCTTCCCTGCCAAATCCAGTCCCATCTGTCCACACTCACAGCTTCCGCCTTAGTCCAGGCCACCTTCCTCTTCACTGAGACTGTCACCGGGGCCTTCTGTCCTCCTGCTACCTCTCACCTGTGCTCCACCTGGCTCAGAGGGACCTTTCTAAACACCCACAGCTCCTCCTTGTCTCCCAGCCACAGAGCCTCACTGGAGAGAGAGGAGAAAGGGACAGGTCCCCTCAGACTCTCTGCTCCGCATCCCCCACCCCCCTCCAGCTGACACTTAGCGCTCTCCGTCCACCTGTCCTTCAAGAACCACCCCCTGCCCCGTCTGCTATTCTCCCCCCACTCCTCTCGGGCTCCCTCCCTCCTTTATTGTGTCTGGACGGAAGGGTTCTTCTTTTTTAAGCCTGGCAGGGTGTTCATGGCTCCTTCTTTCTCTTTTGTCCTCTACAGGACAAAATGTCTCCAATGTTCTAAGCAGATTCTATGACACCAGTGATGGTCCTTTTTTTTTTTTTTTTGGTTATATCTTCTTAGATCTAAAACATTTCCGCGTTAGAGTAAGAATTCTTGATTCCCACCACATCTGGGCAGGACTTCGCAGATGTCCAATCTTTCCCATTTGGTGTTCATATGCCGTGGGCTAACCTCGCTCCTGATAGAACAGTTAGTAACAAAAAAGACAACAAAGCTGGGGAGGTGGCGCACACCTGTAATCCCAGTTACTCAGGAGGCTGAGGCAGGAGGATCGCTAGTTCAAAGCCAGCCTCAGCAACAGGGAGGCCCTAAGCAACACAGTGAGACCCTGTCTTTAAATAAACTACAAAATAAGGCTGGGGATGTGGTTCAGTGATTGGGGGTCCGTGAGTTCCATCCCTGGTACCAAAAACAACAACAATAACAAAATACAACAGAAAACGAATATTGGCAAGGATAAAGAGGAAAAGGAACTCACACCAGTTGGTGGGAATGTAAGTCAGCACAGCCACTATGGAAACAATAGGAAGGTTCCTCAAAAAATTCAAAATAGAGCAACCACAGGATTCAGCAACCCCACTACTTACTGGGTTTATATTAAAAAGAAATGAAATTGCTATGTCAAAAAGATACAGCAAGCCAATGCCGATGGCAACACTATTCACAAGAGCCAAGATAGAGAATCAACCTAAATGTCCAACAGCAAAGAACAGGTAGAGAAATATGGTTCATCAACACAGTCGGGACAGAGAAAGAGGGCAGTCCTGTCATTTGAGCAACCTAGAAGACAGGGGAGGATACCATGTTAAGCAAAAGGAACAGACACCTAAAGGCAAGCACTCATTATCTCATTCATATGAACAATCCCAAAAGGCTGATCTCATACACAGTGAAGGGTAGGAAGTGTGTGCCAGAGCCTGGGGGGGAAGGAGCCCAGGGATGGAGAGACTGGTCACGGGCACCGGTTACGGGGGCTATTCCACCTGATTAATAGATTAACAAACTGGGGTCAGAAACTGCAGAGTTGGGATTTGAACCCAGAACCCTCTAATTCCACGTCTGGGCTCTGTTCACTCACTCTGTGGCTCTGAACCAAAGATGAAAGGAACGACCCAGGAACCTACCCCTGCTTCTTTCCTCCACGCCAGCCCGCCTGCACATTACCTAACCCCTGCCTTCTCCCAGTTTCCATCAATCAACATAGAAGACAGGTGCCTGGGACACGCACTTGTCCCGCCTCATTACCTGGCACTCACCTTGCGTTTGCAGTGAACATCTGGCTGGTAACGGGCCACCTGAAGCCCGGGTGGGCGATGCACTAGCGGACGAAGGGTCTCTGGATTGTTCTTGGGGCTCCTGGTTATGACTGCTTCCTCTGGGCCGGTGTTCTCGCCAAGTCTCTTCCCCGCACCCAACAGGCAAATACCCAGTCAAATATTTACCTGAGCAAGGAAAGCAGGAGAGCAGCCCTCTTCCTGGTTGCACAACACCCTGGCTTCACTTCTGCTCTTCCTCTCCTTCTCATATTTTCGCTGCTGGCCCTTACGGGACCCCCCGCCTGGCCCTTCAGTTGTCAGAGCTTCGTCCCGCAGCTGTGGCCCCTTAGACTAGCTATGAAAATTATTATAGGCAATAAACTAGGAATGTGCCTCACAGCAGGTCAACTCGACTCCCTGACTTGCTGGTTCCCCTTGGAAACAAGGCAGCCCGTTTGCTGGGAAAAGAAGCTGGAGATAAGTTCAAACTGAACCTCACCTGCGTGCAGAGCCAGCTGCCCTGCTCCCTGTGCAGAAAATAAGGCTGCTGCTGGGTGGGACCTTCCCAGGCTGGACCCTACTCAGGAGCTAACACAGGACGAGGTCTCACCCATGGGCTGGGAAGGGAAGTGATCGACGTGGTCAAGAAGCAAGGCTGTCTGTTTTCCCCTCCTTCCTCATCTGCTGGTTGGACTCCAGGGCTGTACAGGAAGTGAAATCATAAGATTGAAGGAGCCTGGGTCCTTGACTTACCATGTAGAGGAAAAGGCCTCCTACGGACCATCCTCCTATAGACTAGCCCATGAGCAAGAAATAAAGTCTTCTTGTAATACTCCAGCGGTGTGTGGGGCTTTTTTGTTGCAATAGCTCATAGGGCTGTTTAATGTGGCACAGAGAATGAGGGACTTGTGAGCATCATGTGGTTCAGGTCCTGTATGTTAAGAATAAGACCTTGTTGTAATTGAGATAACTCTTTAATGATCCGATGTCCAAATACAGTCATGTTCTAAAGTAATGGGAGTTAAAACTCCAGCAAGTGAGTTTGGAGCAGACACAATTCAGACCATAATACCCCAGATCTAATCAGCTACAAGGGAGCAGGAAAGGGCCTTGGAGGCAATGAACAGACACCCTAACTGACAAAGCCTGGCCATTTGTGGCACCCACCTGCTTCCCTTTAACCCTGCCTAGACACCTCCACCCACCCTGATCATCAGCACCAAATTTGTTCATTGAGTCCTTTCTTGACATAGTAACTGCCTGGAAATATCTTCTGATCGATACAGTGTAATCTGGGTTTAGTCTACACACCTCTTGTATCTTGGATATAGGGCTTCTGTGTTTTTTCACTTAGACATATTTATGGAGATCACTATGGTGCAGTGGTTCAGAGTGTGGACTTGGGGAAAGACTCCACAATTTCTTAATTGTGCAACTATAGGCAAGCTACATCATGACCCTGTTGTAACTGGGATGAGTTACACCTACTTCATGGGCATGTGTCACTGTGACCAAAATACCGACATAAACAACTTGAAGGAAGAAAAGCTCATTTTGGTTCAGGGTTCCAAAGATTTCAGTCTGTAATTGGCTGACTCCATTGCTATGGGCCTGAGGGGATGCAGAAAGTCATGGTGGAAGGGTGTGGTGGAGGAAAGTGGCTCAGCTCAGGGCAGCCAGGAAATGGGGCGGGGGTGTGTGTCCCAGGTCAAGACCCCAGTGATCTACTCCCTCCACTTGCTTCCACCTTCTAGTAGTTTATCCAGCTATTAGTGGATTAATCCACCAAATTATGAGGTCAGAGCCCTCAGTATCCAATCATTGCCTAAGAGCCTCACCTCTGAACCTTGCTGTTTTGGGGACCACACTTTCAACAAATGAGCTTTGTGGGGATGTTCCAAATCCAAACCCTAACAACATGCAAGGTTGAAATTAGCTAAGATACAAAATGCTCAGCAGAGTGATTGACACCCAGGTAAGCACTCCAGGAACACTATTATTCTTGGGGACCTACTGTGTGCCAGGAACTGCTTGGGATGCTAAGTGTATAATCACATCACAGCTGTCCAAGTCCCAGCTTCCCTGACAGATCCTAGTGACTTGGAAACCACAACCAGATGTGAGTCGGCACACCTGGGACACAGGAGAGGCTCTGTAAATGCTTCTTCTCGAGGTAAAACGAGGCAAGGAAGATGAAAAGGAGACATGAAGACTGAGTACAGCAGAACTCCTTCCTCTAGCCCAGGCCCTCGGCTTCACCCGGAGAGTCCATTGATGGTGGACTCTCAGAAGAGTCCACTCTTCTGCGTCGCTCAGAAGAAAAAATCTGAAGCTCTTCTCCTCCTAGGCACAGGGAGATGCTCTCTCTTCCCGGAGCACCCTTCTGCCAATGCTTCGTGGCTCTGCCGCCCAAAATGTTTTCAAGTCTTGGGGGATCACGGTGGTCTTCCTCAGCACCCTACAATTCCTCTCTTTCCACCATTAACAGAGAGTCATTATTGATTGTCACAAACTCCCCAGGGAGGTTGGGAAGGCAGCCACTTTAAAATGGAGAAGAGCTAAGACATTTATTCTCAGATGCTGACATTCAAGGAAGTATCGTCCATGGTAATGAGGACCCAGTGCTGAGGGGCTGTCACATTCCACACGTGAGACCCAGCACAACTCCACAACGTGATGAATTTCCCTCCTTCTCCCAAGCTTTTGCATTTCAGTGTTGAATTCAAGCAGAATTTGATCTGTTATCTCCAGAACATTTCAACATCTCATTTATCTCCCCCATGAAAACCCATGCAAGCCTTTTGAACCCTGCTTGTTCTAGCCAATGTTTACTGATTCTATTTTTTGACTGAGGCATTTGAAGACCCTGACTTCACCTGGCTTGGTGATAAAGGACACTGAGCAGAACAGAGCTTCCAGCCCTCCACTAGAGACCTCTTCCTAGAAGCTGTGGAAGAGTGCCACCCGCTGGCAGAGATGTCAAACTACACCGGTTTAGGAGGTTAGTATATTTGACCCCTGTATTTAGCAGGGCTCAGAGTGTGGGCAGTGCCACAGAAGGAAAGTCAACAGCCCCTCATGAAGGCCGTGCTTGTCTCCCAAATGTTGGGTGCTTATCTCAGGATGGCCTCTATTTATCCTATATAGAGAGGGCTCAGTTACTAAATTCAGAAACAACGGAGCCCAGATGCCTGGAGGACCCAGTGCAGTGGTTGTCAGGGGTGAGACTGTCTGAGGAGTGACTGTTCTAGAATCCACAGGTGATGTGTGGCAGAGATGGGGCTCAAAACATCCTCACCTAATCCAATGTTCTTCCTGTGTATGTGTTACAACCAGAAAAATGAATGTCAGAAACAATCATCAAAAAGAAACAAATTAATTTATATTCCCATCCCATTTCTTCTCTGTTCACAGGCCGGCTTGGCTCCTCCCTCTTGGAAGAATAAAGCCAAGCTCCTTAGCTAGGCATTCAGTGGTCTTTGTGATCTGGCCCCAGGTTGTCTTTCCAGATGATTCTAGAGAAGACTCAGCTCTGGAAAAGTCTACAGAGACACTGGGACTCAGGGCCCATCCACCTCCCCTCTCCTCCTTCATTGCTCTGTAGGAAGCCCCTATGCACCAAGAACTAGGCCAGCTCCTAAGGTCAGAGGCTCTGGGGTCACGCCTGCCCCTTCTTCCCAGGTAGGCCAACGGCCTGGCGTGTGCAGTGTCCTCCCTGGGGAGAGTTCTAGTGTTTTGCAATGTCACCCAGATGGAATGCAGGGAACAGGGAAGCGCTAACTGTACTGGAATGCAGGTAGTGACAAATCACTGTGATGGGGCCACATGGGACAGACAGGGGCAGAAGATCAGGTCCTGCAAAGGCCACTTCTAGCACACCAGGAACAGGAAGGCCAACCATGTGAGGAAGAAGAGCTCTGGACAGGGACTCCCAGAAACCTAGGTCCTCAATCCCACTCTGCTAAGGGCTGTGTGGTGTTAACGTTTAATAAAACGTCCCCTCCAATATACGCGTTGTACTCAGCTTTTGTGGTGGTGTTGGGAAGTGGGGTCTTTAAGAGACAATTAGACCATTAAGTGGGGTTCATACGTTTGAGTTTTCACTCTCTTGGGACTGGATTTCTTACTGCCAGAGCTGCTGGTTATAAAGCAAGTGCCTCCCATGTTTTGCCTCTCTCACACACACTCACTCACACTTCCACTTCCTGCCATACATGAACAGCACAAGGTCCTCAGCAGAAGCTAAGAAGATGCTGGCACTGTGCTTTTGGACTTCCCAGACCCAGAGCCATGAACCAAAATGAACTTCATTTCTCTATAAATTACCCAGCCTCAGGTATTCTGTTATAGCTACAGAAAACTAAGAGAGCAAACTTGAGCAACTCCATTCCTACTCCATGATGCAGTTACCCCCTTGGTCTAGTGGGGATGTCGGCAGGTGACCTTGAAGATCCTTCTGCCTACTGGGCCAGCTCAGTTGTCATCTCTGAAACCTCAGCTATCCCCCCTCCCCTGCCAACTCCATTGCTGCATAAATGTGGAGAGCCATTCTCACACGTGACTGGGCAACTCCCGGTTTGGGTCTGAGGCGCTCTGGCTAATCTGTGTCAAGAGTTTCCCGGCCCTCTCCTGATGAGAGAGCCCGTCCGTGTGGGGGTTTGACTGACCACTGACCCCGGGGGCCAATCACTGACCCTGACCTTGGAGTGCAGCCCCCCTCAACCTTCATTGGATGGAATTCTCCCCTGAATTTCTTGTTCCCCAATAAAAGGCTACTCCCTGGCGTGCTCCCTCTCTCTCTCTCCTGCTAGCCCTGAGTAATCCCTGCTGCCCTACCGGGCGGTTAGAGGTGGGAGCCAGAGGGGGAGCCATCTCGAACCTGGTCATAGAAAAAGATAACTGAGTCTGTGTGTTTTATTTCGATCTCGCTAGCTAACTTTTATGCCAAGAACCTCATTAATGAAACCAGTGCGCTGGTCGCATGGTGGACATAAACACTCATACCTCTGAGAATTTTGTGATTTCACTATGTGTTTCTGTTCTTTCTTTTTGACCAAGAGCTGTTTATCCCAATACTCTGACTCCTAATAATTAGGAAATATGCCCGGATTGATGTTTGAGGAACAACCATTCCCATATCTGTAATTCTGAAATTGGCCACAA